GCTATGGAAAGTGTCAAAAATCATGATAACCTGCCAGTAAATATTTGCCTCTCTGTTGCAAACCTCCCTTTCTTGCAACGGATATTTAACCTTTGATGCATAAGGAGAATAACAAATCATTTTCTCTCAGGTTTTGATTCTGAAGATATGGAGCCCAGACATAATAAGTTCAAAAGTCAGTACAATGGGCAAACATTATCTTAATGAATTCCTTTATAATTTTACAGTGTATAAAAAAAAAGCATGTCAGATCATAGTTATTCTACAGCAAATGAAGTAAATAAGATTACTGGCAAAATTATTTTGTCACTTGCCATAGTATTAGTTTTAGATAATGCTCAAAATACTTTAAATTATAATTTGAATGTAAGGACTGGCATAGTATCCTTGACATAGTATCACTTGAAAATGTAAAAATACAAGCACTTTTAAAATGCCATTCATGAGCATTCACATACTCCTGCAATGACTTATATAAGAAATGTGCAAAGTATTTGTAGTATAACTCTACTGCAAAGAGTTTAATATTTCTGTAATGTTTTAGTGGTGATTTGTTTCAAAGACTTCTTCGAATCTGTTTTCATAGTACCTTACGGAAACATGCCTCTTTCACAGTACTTTCACTCAATATCAAATAAAGTTACTGCTTCATTCCAAGTAATATAACTACTTTTTTTTGTCTTTTCTTGGCACTTCTGGTTTAAAATCATTCTGAAAGGGGAAGTATTGCTTACTTTAAATATCTAAAAGTGAGACATTTATGCATCCATGTGAAAGTTGTTATAATTTTCCTGAAAAGGAAAGAATTTCAAATTTGTTTCTTGATGTAACATGAGGATGCATAACTTTATGGTTTGAAATTCATTGCTCTCATTGCTCATCATTACAAATACAAAGCTCATTCACATTTTTCTACAGTGAAGAGCTTTTTGAAGATTTTGTGGTAGAGAAGCAATTTAAATTAAACAATTGAAAGACTAGGTAGCTAAACAGAGTTCCTTCTTTATGAAAGAGCTGTGCTGTGCCATTCACTTCTTTTATGTAATCATCCATTTGAAAAAGGAAAAAGCAGTGCTTCTACATTCTATCACCACAGCTCCCACCTTATATTTTTTACTAGCTCCTGTTTAAAGGCGCAATGTTTCTGCAGTGGAGATCTGCAACCACAGCTTCAAACAATGTTATGGACTGGAAGATTTTTGAAAAATTTTGGAGTAGCTGCAAGAATCGATAAAATTTTGTAACAAGAGAATAAAAACCTGCAGGCTGCATTTAAAATCTCTTCAACTACTAGATTTGGTAATACACAACTTGTCTGAGAAATAGTTAAAACTACTGTGTATGTATCATTGGCATTACATCAAATCAATCAGTGTGGATTTTTTTTCCATTTCTGCGTTTTTTCATAATGTTTTGCACTATGCTAAAAGTTAGAAATGCATATTAAAGAATTATATCAGTCATAATTTGAGATTTCAAGAGTCATGTTAAATCTTTGAATGTGCTTTTTTCACAGTAGCAGCTTTGCAGAGGTTTGGTGTGACTTTTTTTTTTTTTTTTTTTTTTTCTTTTGGAAGACCCTATTTATATGTACATGAAGTAGAATCATATCTAAATATGAGTTATTATATTTAAGTTCAGAATTTAGACAGGATCTTAAAAAAAATCTGGAATTTAAAATGTAGTTTGTGTAAAGCAGCTAAATGAGTTTTAACGATAGATTTTATTTGATAGAAAGAAATATTTTAGAGAATTCAATTATTTTTTAGAAAATTATACTTTGTGCATAATCTTTTAGAATGTAGAATTAATCTATGACTAATGGAAAGGTCTTTTGTTGAAAAAGAAATTCAAAATATAAATTGAATCTAACTGGAAGAGAAACAACCCAACGTGAAATTTAAGCGAAAAAGTAGTCTTAGATTGGCATAAATTTTGAATGAAATTATATAGATTTTGAGGGCAATCAGATATTTTCAGGAGAAAAAATACTTTTATTGCTGACGAAGATGGACCAACAACTGATCACTCTCAAAATCGATAGTTTTATTAAAAAATTATGTCATTCTTAGATTGCTTTTTGCTATTTTTAAATACAAGTTGAATACATTAATTTCTGTATGTTAAAACTTTAACCTTTATGTTAATATTCAAAGATTGGATAGTAAAAATGTAATTACTTATTCTTCGTTGAATGAACAACTTTTTTGGGGCTATGATATATCAGGTTTAATATTACGCCGAAGAGGGGGGGGGAAACCTGGTAAGCCTAATATCATGTAGGGCTCCCACGAGCATGCAAAACTGCTGCAACATTCATGTGGCATGGACTCAACTAACGGCTGAAGGTTTGCTGTAGGTAAATCACACTATGAATCCTGCAGGCCAATGCACAAATCCATAGGAGTGTGAGGTGGTGGATATCTCTTCCGAATGGCATGTTGCAAAGCATGCTCAATAATGTTCATGTCTGGGGATCTAGGTGCCCAGTGGACATGTCTAAAGTCAGAAGAGTGTTACTGGAGCCACTTGGTAGCAACGTTCGACTTGTGTGGTATTGTATTGTCCTTCTGTAAATATTCAAGTCCGTACAGAATGACATGAATGGGTGCAGGTGAGCGCCCAGGATCATATCTAGACAGAGTCGTATCTAGACGCATCAGGTGTCCTATATCACGCCAACTGTACACGCCTCGTACATTGACGGAGCCTCTACTAGCAGCAACAGTCCCCTGTTGACATGTAGGGTCCGCTGATTCACAAGTTTCTGTCCTTATCCATACATATCCATCCACCTGATGCAATTGGAAACAAAACTCATCAGATCAACGGGTTATTAATAGTCCAATGGAGGTGTTGACGGGCCCAGGTGAGGCATAACACTAAGTGTCCTGCAGTCTACAGCAGTACACATGTGAGCCTTCGACTTCGAAAGCCCCTATCAATCATTGTCTGTTAAGTGAAGTCCAACCATTGAAATCTGCAGCAGTTTGAGGAAGGGTTACACGTCTCTCATGTTGAATGATTCTCATCAGTTGTCGTTGGTCCTGTTCTTTCACAAGCTTTTTCCAGGCACAGCAGTGTTGTAGATTTGATATTTTTACTGGATTTTCGATATTCACAGTGCTCTCTTGAAACGGTCGTATGTGAAAATCCAAATTTTATCACTACCTCGGAGATGGTAAGCCCCATCTCTTATGCGCCAACTATAACACCATGTTCAAACTCAATTAAATTTTAATAACCTGCCATTACAGCAGTACCTGAACTAACAACTTTGCAAGACACTGCTGACTTCCATGCTTTACTGTGATTGGTGTGTTAACTTTGTTATTTGCATACATAATACTATACCAGTTTTTTTTTTTTTTTTTCTCTTCAGGCTATATCACCTTTGTTTCAGTTAACTGAATACTTAATTTGTAAGCTGTGATATTTATTTTTGTTTAAATAGTTTCATAAGAAGAAAAACTCACAAAGCTATTTATAAATAAAATGTTTTGATAACATTAATTTAAACATAAATATGATAAAATATATTTTTAACTGCTTTAGAAACTGAAGTATCTAAAATTTCATATTAAAGTATCTAAAATTTCATATTTAAAATAATAGTTTGGTTTATACGTTACATATAAATTAAATTTACTAATTATCATATTTTAAGAGTTCTATTTAAGCATTTATGTCTGCAGAAGTATAAACAATTGAAAAGTTAATTTATTAGTTTATAAAATTTAGTGCAGCATTTTATTGTATTTTATTTTAATGTAATTGGATTGGAGATAAGATTGAAATTTTAGATGCAAATAGTTTTTCTGTCTGAAAACTTGAGCTGCACGTAATTTTTATTGTTCAAGTTATCCTCAGCAATATATATTTATTAAAAAGCATTAAATATGCAATATAGATTTGATAAGCCAAAATTCATTAATGTTGAAGTTTAAAATGTCTTTCACAGCAGTTCTGTCAATTTTTCCTATGTTTAACTTTTTAATATATTTATGATTTGAAAGTTGAGTATGAATTAATTGTATTTAAATGCATCATTAGCATAATATTTTTAATTGTAGCTCTGAAATTTTACAAGCTATATTAAAAGAGATTTAAAATTTGAAATTTATTTAAATTATTTTGTTGGTTTTATATTGAAATATAATGGTACTTCAGCATACATGTTCCGCAACCGAGTTCATAAGCGAATCTGCTTGTATGCTGAAATCCATTTAAATACCATTATTCCATTTCAGCTTTCCAAATTATGACCTGTGTTTTTGTTATATTTTTTAAATAAGAATAAATCCACTGTATTTTTAAGGAAACTAATAACATTATAAAACATATAAAAGAGAATATAAAGAAGAAAAATGCCTGAGCATATACTCTTCAGCAGCTTGCTGGTACACCATGCCTGACAATGGAGTGAATTCCACTTCCTATCAAATTTTTAAAATGAGCCACGACTTGCCTTGAATGTCCCTTTAGATTCATTATTTGAAGACCTTGGGGCCATCTCCAGCAAATTGGTATATAACTTATGCCTTCTTACAGCTGATCACCATGGTCACAGTATTTGCTTTGAGCTGCTTCACCTTCAGTCACACCGACAGCAGCTTTTCCTTCAGTCACACCGACAGCAGCTTCTCCATCTTTTAGAGAACTAATCTGTTTGGATATTATTATAATTTCACTGTCTGGCACTATAGCCTTTATTGCCTTCTTCTGCTTCAGTAACATGCAAATCGTAATAGTACTATGCTGATACCATTTCGCTAAATTGACAACATACACACCTTGCTCATATTTATCAGTGATTTCATACCTCTTTGTGAATTTCAATATATTACCATCTAAGACTATTTTCACTTGAAGCTGTGATTGCTATTTATTATATGTTGCAGAGTTTTAAATATCCTGTGATCGGTAGTACCAGTTACCATGTTATTATATTATTAAGCTGATTAATATAAAATATTCTATTTTGTTTTGTTTCATTTTAGGTTTGGTACTTTTGAGTCCCTCAAGAAAAAAAGTGTTGATGAAAAAGGGAATTTGCCTCCTGTTAAGCGCTTGCTTTGTGGTTTAGGGGCAGGAGTCGCAGAAGCAATATTTGCTGTAACTCCTATGGAGACTGTGAAAGTGAAATTCATCAATGATCAGCAGTCACCAAATCCCAAGTTTCGAGGGTTTTTCCATGGTGTTCGTGAAATTGTAAAACAACAAGGTATGGCTTGAATTATCATTGTAAAACTCTCTATTCAATAACTTATGGTGTGTTGAAGACTTGTATGCTGAATGAAATATATTTTTTTAATAATGCAATTTTATTTGAGGCTGTTTATCATATTAAATATGTAAGGTTATTAAAAAGGAGTACGTAACTGTAAATTGTAACTGTAATATCATAAATCATAAATCCATGGCTTCAGTTTAATAAATGAATGAGATATATCAGGTTTTCATACTGCAACACTTTTGATAATATGATACATTTAAGTATAAAATATAGAAAATTTGGTTTATTTGTTTTTATTATGGGGACCATCAGTGTTTCTCAAAACCAAATGGGTCAAAAAGTAAATTCTCATAGTAAATATTAGTTTAGTTTCATAATAAACAGTAATAGTTCACTGTAATATAAATCTGAATTTCTTATATATATCATTGTTAATATAAATTTATATCAGAAATTTTTGTTATAGACATTTGTAAATTAAATTTCTTATTAGAGACTGCCAAAATTTCCGTAGTTTGAATACATATTATTATACTCTTAAAGCAGTGGTTTTAGCAAGTGACTGTTCCAAGAAATGCCTTGTTATATAATCTTTCTTAAACTGTTTAAGTTTTTAAGAACATAATGTTTGAATTTTTGGACTGATGAATGAATTCTATCATTTTAAATATTGGTAAAAAGAAATTCTTTTATTTCATCAGTTTTAAAAACTGTCACTTGCTTATGCATATGATTTACATTCTGAACTGTAATATCTGTTTTTAAATGCCCCCAAATGCGCATTAATGAATATTGAAGATACTTATTTTTAAAAAGTATGTTAAATTTAGAAATTTAATATTCAAAAGGATATGCATCAAAAATCTATTCTATGCCTAGTCTGAGCCCTGTAATTATATCATGCAGGAATACCATACCACAGTACTGATCATTCCTAAAGATCCTACCCACTTCAATTCTGTTTTGCTTTTATTACCAATTGGTTACCAATAAAAACAAACCAATTGGTATTGATATAAAGCCAATAATTAGCAAACCCTGTTAGAATTTTTATCATCACTGTTGTTATTATGTGTCTCTGTATCATAAGTCTTGGAAACCTGGCAGTATATGATCACAGTCTGAAGGCCCACTTGCAAGAATATTTAATACAGCAGTAGCATATCACAGTACAATTCACTGTGAATAATGTGGCAACAATTCATTGAAGATGCTGAAGTAAAAGAATACCTAGGCTAGATAATCTAAAATATATAATTGCTAGAGGTTACCACTGTTTACCTTCACTGATAAATTGGCATGGAATATATGCTGCTTTGCAACTATATTTACAAATAGATCTCTTCAGTTAATGAGCAGAATAACCCAAGTAAACCAAATGAAGGGAAATGTAATGATGATGCGTGTAATGCCAGAAGCTTAATATATTGTCCGGTCTGCACTTACCAGACAACTAGTTTGAAGATCTTGCAAACTGAATCTTTCGCAGAATGAATTAAGTTCTGGGCCATACTTTCGTAAGATTGCCACCCCCAAATTAAAAAATCCTCAATGATTAATAAAATTTTTATTTCATATTCACTAAGTACTAACATATGACAAATTGTATAAAAAGTTCTTACAATGAATTTAAAGTATTTAGGCGTGGTATCATGAGAGTTCAGACAACCCTGATTTTAGCTACCTGCATACTCTTACGTGCTGCACCCCCGCTAGGAAAGCAGTGGTTTTAGTTTTCAGTATTTTCGTAGTTCATGTTCTCTTTGCAGACGAATTTGGTTTGCATAATGATAGGTGCGGCCAATTCATCTCTAGGTGAGTATGATCATTTACTTACTTGAAGGTGAAATAAAAAAAAAGTATATTGTTTCTTTGTTTTACTACAGTGAACAAGGAACACAGTATAGCCTGTTAAATATAGGAAGATGAGATTCTCTTTAAAGTGGTGATTTATTGATGTAACATGATATGCTGATAAGTGGCCATATATCTCACCACCTCTTCCTGAGAATGAATGAAAATAAGTTGCAATCCTCAATTTCTATGAGAAGCTTTGCTGAAAAACTATTTTCCTAACCTTTGTTGAAATTTATTTCTAACTATGGTGAAACCTCCGTAAGACAACTACTCATTGATTCCAGTTAATTTTTGCTTTCCGTGGAAGTGGTTTGTTATCTTAAAGAACATAACTGTCAGTGATGTTCTATATTGCTACTTCATTATATTATCAGAAACACCAATAATTCAATAAGTAGTTCATCTTAGGGAGGTTGCTGTCATGAGAGATTTTTTGCATTTTGTCATCTTGGAAATTAATAGTTTCTTTTTTCCTATATGTATGTACTTAGATACTTATCTTTTATACAAATAAAATTTTTAAGATTCCTAGAATTTCATTTTCTTTATAAATAGGTCTTAGAGGTGTTTATCAAGGTGGAACTGCAACAATAATGAAACAAGGAAGTAATCAAGCAATTCGATTTTTTGTTATGGAATCGCTCAAAGATTGGTATCGTGGTGGAGATCCAAATAAAAGTGTCAACAAGATAGTAGTAGGATTGTTTGGTGCTGTTGCAGGTGCAGCTTCTGTTTTTGGAAATACACCAATTGATGTAGTTAAAACAAGAATGCAGGTAGGTTGATTGATGTAGTTAATAATAAGTGTGCACAAACATTTTATACAATTTTCTAGCATTTGTGCTGAACAAATTTGAAAGTTTGTTTAAAACTGTAAATTTACCTTGAAGGTGTGTTATAATACTGCTAACTATAGGATCTCCTGTTTTGATGCAGGTATTGATATAATTATTAATGCACAGTATTTTTCAAAAGTTAAAAGTTTTTAGTTTTTCATATAACATTATCCAAAAAATTTCATTCATTGGTGTGTCAGATTTACTTTAATTAATGTAAATACTCATATTAATGTACACATAAGTAGATTTCAATGAGCCTTTTATTTATTTTTGGAAATTCATGTACTATTCATGACATTCTGGCAGCAGCTCATTTTCTTCATCTGTTTTGAAAAAGTCTGCCTTTAATCAGTAAATTTTTAAGTTTGCTTTGAGCCTTTAAAACCCTAATTTATTTTGAAAAGCTTTTATCATGTATAAATGGCTTAAATGGATTTATTTTTTATTAATAGCTTGTGATAGAATTTTATTACTGTGTGGTATTTTTGAGAAGATCCTTATACTCCACATAGTTTTTTTAAATGGTTTGTTGTAATATTATAGGAGTAGTGTATAATTATGGGGAAAATGATCCTGCACAACTGACTGAACAGGTTTTTAGGGCATCTGATAACTGTTTGCTAACAACCTCATGCTCATTTCACTGCTATTTATCATATGGCAGTAGCATATCACCTTATTGATTATTCATAAAGATTGCCATCAACATACCCACTTTACATTCTGTTCTGTACTCAATTTCTTTCCACTGGTGATTTATTTCAAACTCCAAAGTAGTATGAAGCCATGATATGTCACCTAACCATTTTTTATATCATGTGCTAACCTAGTCTCTATAAGCAGTATGCTGTTAACATACTAGGCTATCTCTGTAATTAAATTTGTTGATAACCAAGCTGCTAGCAATTCAGCAATTAATAATACTATAAACCATACTTACCAAATAATATATTGCACAAACTATTTGACATTTTTATTATTTAAAAATATTTAATATAAAATTTATTTGGCATCATGATGATGAATTTCTTTAAATAGGCTAGACTTTGTTCCAGGATTTAACATAAGAAATTTGTTCCAGGATTAACATAAATAAGTTTGCATTGTAAATTATACAACAGTGATTTTTTAAGTGTCCACAATGATCTGCGAGTTAATGGTCAGTCTGCAAGAGATTTTCCAAACATATTTCGTTTTGTTTTGAAAATATCTTTAATAGGTAACCATGATGGTTAAAGTTATTAGGTATCTGATAAAGTATGCATCATATAAAAGTAACCCTGGAACTCATAAATTTTAAGAACCATTGCTGTACAGTAATCTATTAATTTACTTGTTAGTATTTTGTAAATTAAGTTCACTAAAATTTTTCGGGTGTATTTTAAAAATTTCCGTTATCATACATTAAGAGGTCTCAAACCAAAAAAAGCCTAAGATAGTTTGTTTCCATTTGTTGTACTTCTGCCCTCCAACAGAAGTTGTTTTTTCATTTCCTTCCCATTGTCATAGTTGCTTGATCATTCTACAAGATGTTGATTGTAAGTTGAAAGCTGTCTAGATCAAGACTTTATTTTAATTAAAATTAATTTTCTTATAAATCTAGTATCAAAAATGTAAATTATGTTTTTTTTCCCTTGAGTAACTTATAAATTCTTGCTTATTCATAATTTATTTTGATTTCACTATTTTATAATTCAAATTAATTACTTTAATGAAATCTGATGCAAAGATAATTTGCAGATTTGCATGTCATTTTATCTTCTTGTTTCCCCCTTCCAAAACATCTAAATGAACAGAGTATTCTGTTTAATTTATTTATAATTTAGTGCAAGTTTTAAAAATAACTTATAAAAAAGTTCTGCAATTTTTTAAAAATATTATTTGAGAGTTATATTAAAAGAAATGAAAATGATATTGGGAAATATATTTCTTTCATCCTTAGTAATTAATGCTTCTTTTTTCTGTTTCATTAATCTTGATTTTTTTTAAAATTTACCATATTTGTTATCTTTATTTCATACTTTTATCACTTTTGTTCCCCAACAATTTTGTTTGCTGTCCTGTAATATTAATTTTTTCATTCCCTTCCCACTGTCTAGTAGTCTGTTAATGCAACACTGTTCTGTTACTTTTATTTTATTATTTTTTTATTTTGTACGAGGGCATTTTGAAAAGTAAAGATACACCGTACGTCAGAGGAAAAGAAAAGTTTTGGTGAGCAAGTTGGCAACACAGGTGTTAACCTTGAACGGTTAGCTTTCTCCTCGCGGTAGTTCGGCATTTCAACGTTGATTCTGGTTGGAGTAGGTCGTGTTTAAAATGGCTGCGCTGATTCAAAATCCCGACAAATGCGAAGTGCGCTCCGTCATGCGTTTTCTTCATGTAAAAGGTCAGCGACCAGCGGATATTCACAAAGAAATTGTTTCTGTTTATAGAAACATTATGAATCGACAAAATGTAACGAAGTGGTGTCGTCATTTCTCTGAAGGTAGGACCGATGTTCATGATGAACAAAGAACAGGTCAGCCATCTGTGATCTCTGATGCCTCCTTCAGAGAACAGAGCAAGCAATTTGTACTAATAGACATCTCAAATTGAAAGAATTGCATCAGATCATACCAGAAGTGTCAATGACAACTCTTTATGAAGTTGTGACTGTCAAGTTAGGGTACAGGAAATTGTGTGCGTGCTGGGTTCCAACAGGTGGCAACCTTCTATGACTGTGGGATACAGAAGCTTGTGTACCGACTTAACAAATGTTTGGATAGTGGGGGTGATTATGTTAAAAAATAATAAATAATCCAGTTAATAAGATGTAACTGATGTTTTCTAAATATATTTTTTTTTTTTTTTTAAGGAATGTGAGCCATTGTATCTTTACTTTTTGAAATGCCCTCGTATTATGAAATATTTTGCTTTTTCTTCACCTGGAATTTTATGCTATAAATTAGTGGCTGTAACTACAGTGGTAATAAAGCAAATTTTCATGAGCTTTCAGTTATATAGTTTGCATTAAGATGTAGTAAGTGAAATCATATAATACAAGGTAAATTGATGTGATGTAATATGAGCTTTAGGACAAAAAAAGGGAAAATAAATAAATAAAGGGTTTTGAAATGTAAATGCATGGTAATAAATGTATTTTTATTCTTCTTTTCTCAGTTAGTTTTTCTAAATAGATTTTCATTTTAGCTTTTCATATAATTTGGTGTGTAATTCTTTAACAAGGGCATTGTTTGCATGTTTTACAATTATATAAAATAAAAAAAAATACAAACAAAACATTTATTATATTTATGTATATAATTTTATTATATTTAGAAAATAGTGACATTTCAATTTAAACCAATGCTGTTCATTTTTTTAATGAAATGTTTATTTTTATAGGGCTTAGAAGCACACAAGTATAAAAATACATTTCATTGTATTTATGAAATTGCTAAGAATGAAGGTTTCTTTGCGTAAGTGTTTGTATTGCAATTTACTGTTTTTAAATTTTTATTTTTTATGTTTACTACACAAATTTCCCCCTTTCTCCAATGGCGGGCTCTAGCTGTTTATAGGCATAGGCCTCTATTAAGGCCAGAAGCTGTGATCTCTATTATGGAGGCACCTTCCAGGTGGTCCACCATTGCTTCTTATGAAGGAATGGACAAATTACATACCACTTTCTTGTTTGGGTGGCACTACATAATTTTTTTCAGTTATATTTTAATTTTGCACATTTTAAAGTAATAATTTTAATTTGGCATATTTTTTGTTGAGGCTTATCTATAAAAACCGAATCATTTATCATTTTGTCATTTAAAGATCTTCAGCAACTTTTTATGTTTGGTGTTTGTGCAACAGGGGCATCAACAGTAATTATAGATACTAAAGCCAAAAAGAAAGAAAGAAATCCTACACCTATCACATCAGCATTTTGGCCATTAGTCAGCAAATTGCTCAATGAAAGGTTTAAAGAGCTCATTAAAAATCAATTTCTAAAAAACTATAAAAAAGTCAGTAATTTTAAGGTATTCAGTTCCTAGTTTCATAATATACATTTGAGAGATTTTTCAAATTCTCAGGTCTGGTTTGCTTTAAATTTTTTCAGTAAAATATTGGGCGTCAGATCAGTCAATTATATGTGTGATAGTATATTATATTATATCACGAATTATATCACGAGATAATCGTGATATAATTTCTTAGTATATTTAATAAAAAGTGAAGGAGGCTCTTTCAGCTTAACTTCAAAAAGAGCTCACATTTCAAACTTTTTAAGTTTGCTAGAAACAGAGGCAAATATTTACAGTACAAACAGATATACACTATCTGGCCAAAAGTACCTGCACACCCAGTGGTACGTATTCAGAGAGTCCTGAGGTATAATGTTGGTTCCCCCTTATGCATCGATGACAGCCTGTATATGTCTGGGGAGATTTCACACCAGTTTTTGATAGACAGCCATAGGAATTGACTTCCAGACATCCATCAGAGCTGAAGTGAGTGCTGGCAGTGAGGATAGTTAGTTTAGCTAGCTACGTAATTTGCTTTCTAATTCGTCCCAAAGATGTTCTATAGCTGGTGCCCTCAGTCAGCCCCAATCCTTTAGGAGGGACCCCAGTTCTATGAGTCAGTCCAGTTTTTGAACACCCATTTCATCAAATCATGGCTGTGCAAGTCTTGATGTGTGAATGGAGCAGTTATCCTGCTGGAAGAAAAATGGGCCTTCCTCGAAATACTGTGATAGAGTTGGAAGAGCGGCATTACCCAGAATGTCCAAATACATCTCAGAGTTCATGTTTCCAACCACATGAACTAAGGGACTTGGGTCAAACCATGAGAAAACACTCCTACATCGTGATGCTGCCACCAAACTTTGCAGTCGGCACAATGCAATCACTTGAGAAATGCTAGCCGGGCATCCACCAACTCCAGACGTGTCCATCGGACTACCAGATTGTAAAACGAGATTCATCACTCCAAAGAACATTTTTTCACTTGTTCACAGTCCAACGACGGTGAATTTTGCACCACTGCAATCATTGTTTCACATTCTGGGTAGTTATGTTCGCCTTGTGAGCAGTTGCACGACTATGAAATTCCAGGTTTTTTTAACTCTTGACAAACAGTCCTGCTGTTAGCACTAATGCCTGCTGAACATTGGAACTCCTGAGTGATTTCAACCAATGATAACTCGTGATTTTGTTTCACTGCCCTTTTCAGAATTCTGTGGCTGCATTCAGGTGTTTTTTTTTTTTTTTTTTTTTTTTTTTTTTTGGTCCTGCCAGCCACTTCATTTTTCTGCAGTCTCATTGCCTTGACATTTCCATTTCACATTTACATCACTCACACTGGATTTTGGCTTCTGTAGAATGTCCAAAATTTCATGAACTTATTTCCCACAAACTTGGCATTCCACACTGCCACAATCAAATTCGCTAAGCTCCTTTAACTTACTCATTGTCTCACAGAAGCATAAATATGACCTGACAAACCACTACCAACACTTTTAAGTTTTTGGTTATGCATCAAATTACATCACCTGCCAGATCCACTTCTTTAAGGGTTGTTCAGACTCAGATAGTATATGACAACATAGTCCTATTTGTTGATGTAAAAGACGAATAAAAGTTTATTTATTTTAACCTGGTTTAAATGTCTGTGTAGTGATTAATGTAAAACAAATAACCCCAGACCATTAAAAAAGAATTGAGTTTAATAACCATTTATTTTTGAGTAATATGCTTTAGGTCTTATCAGTAACAAATATGCAAAAAGTTTTCTACTGATATTATTCTTTTTAACATTCATAAAGTAGTGTTCATATTTTATGTGCCATTTGAATATTTTGGAAGAACTACTATTTCTGAATAAAATGTACTAAAAACAAAGAAAATCTTATCTATAACACTTTGGTTTATGTATTTCATTACTCTGAAAATGTAATGTCAAAAAAATTTAAATAAATTTGTTTTAGCTAAACTTACTAGTGCTGGTCTCTTTAAAATCCTTCACTGGTGGTTGATAGTAAGTAAGAGTCATTAAATTGTAACATTTGTAAAATAGCAATTTATTTCTCTCTATTTGTGTTGGTATTAAAATAAAAAATACTGGTATAAGTCAAAGATACATTCACAATAAATCCAGAATGGCTATCTCTTTAAAAACGTTTTTAAAGTGTCTACTGCTTAATGCTTATCTATCTAAAAGTATATATTAATACATAATTTCCTTCCAAAAACTAGAGATAGCCCCATTCAATATAACTATTAAAACTTATTCCTTGAAATGCAGCCCATCAGCAGCCGAGCGGTAAAATTGCTGAACACTGGTAGTTCAGTCTGAATCCTGCGAACAGGCTGGCTGCATAAGTGTTTTTGTGGTTTTCCCCATGTGTAACGTAACAGGACACTAGTGAAGAAACAGCCGTACATATATAATCAATCACAATTTCATTAAAATAATGCATCAGTTCATATAATCTATTAGTTCATAATTTCAGAAAACAGTAATTAATTCCACAACTAAACTGCAATATGTTACTTAGGTTTTCTAGAAAATTCATACTTCCCTAACGATCATATAAGGACATGGTAGACAACTAATAAAATAAACATAAGCAATAATATATCAAATTAAATACATTTATTAATTATCTGTAAGCATAAGTCAACATAACTAGCCAGACTATCCTCTACATCTGTTGGTAAATAGTATTCTCAAATTATTTCAGTATTTATATCAAATAATATAGAAAACTAATTCATCTTCCAACATTTAGCACTCTATTAACTTTAATATAATATTCTATTATCACTAAGGCAGTGATACTTTTTCTCATAACACATTAAAATTTACCTCATCTAATAACATATACATAATATAAATTGAAATAGTCAAACATATAAATTTCTCCTTTTCACTAATAGAGAAATATTTAAAAATAAAATAAAATCATTTAAACATACTCAGATTTTCCATCGATTAAAAATTTAGAATTCTTTTTTATACCAATACATTTAGAGTAAAATCACTTTACTCAAAACTTGTAATCACGTTAAATTAAATTAATTAGCACCTGTGTTTTTATGACATAATTAAAGAATAAGCTTTGAATGAGACTCTAAAAAATAGTAATTTCTATGGTTGAATTGAATACCACTAAAGGGAACCTTAATTGTTACACAACCAAAAAATATCTGGGCTAGAAAATATCTTAATTGTAATTGTCTAGTGTTCTATATCAGAAGCATGCCTGTATCTGTAATTACTCAACTTACATTCTTCATAAAGCTGGGTTAGAATTAAAATAAATTGCAGTGTGAAGCTTTATCATTCTCAGTGTGTTGCTGAAGTGTAATCCCATTCTTGAATAAGTGAGTTCTGTATGTGTTCCAGAAATTTGTTTTGCTTCAACCATTAGGTAAACAGTAAATGCACTGTTATGAAATGGAACGAAATCAAAGTAAAAAGAAATGTAAATTACAGAGCAATGAACACAATTGGTTGCAAAAAGTCACATTTTCCTTTAAGAGCAATCACAATAATATGCAATTTTTTCAAACCTAAATAGTTCAATTTTTCCTGTGGAAGTTAATCCAGCAAGTAGTGCTTGCTTATTGTTAAAAATTGACAGTTTTGATGCTCTGGGAACTGCACAGAAACCCATATTCAGCCATTACAATACCAAAATACAAGATGTATAAGAGTGCTAACTCGTGAAATAACAATTGATTTTTTGACTAAAATTCAGATACAGATAAATAGGCTGACTGTGTCTGTGTTTTTCTCTTTTCAGAATTTCACATTTGTTTTTTGAAATGTATTCTTATTTTTATAAAGTTTCTATTACTGCACATCTCTTTTAAACTATGAATGTATTTTGCAGGTTCTACAAGGGTACTGTGCCAAGGCTTAGTAGAGTTTGTCTTGATGTAGCAATTACGTTCATGATTTATGATTCTTTTATGGATTTATTTAATAAAGTGTGGAAAACTGATTAAATGTATTTCTCATATTTTGTTATGTTTGTATAGTTTATTTGTTAGTTTTGTATATATTTGGGAAGTAATCATAATCAAATGCAACAGTCTAAATGATGTACATGTTAGTACCTATTCAAAATGCACATAAATGGTATCATTTTTTATAGTATAAATGTTTTCTAGTTTATAATTTGGTAAAAAGATAAGATGTGAATTTTGTATTACTGTTTGTAACTCCAGATTTTAAGATGTATTTTATGTACTGAATAAAATCAGTTATTATATATATGTATACAGCTTGTGGCTTTTTAATTTCTTTATTGAATAGACTTTCATTGCTTTCAGTAATATGGCCCATAAACATCTTAGTAATTGTGAGTACAGTGGAATTTTATGTGTAATTTTTTTGTGTCTTGTTTTTTGAACAGTGACACCAAAGGGGGGGGAACGTCGCGGCATGCAAGTTGATTTGTCAGCACTATCCTCATCTTCAGGGCAGATGTTTTTATTTTATTTGGCTCATAATTCCATACTAAATGTAGTATTTGATCTCGCTGTACTCCGATAAGATTTTAATCAATTTCCTTGTCATTATAAATATCACAAATACACATAAAATAGTTTTCTGGTTGCAGTTTTCTAATTTCGACTATGCATAATGTATGCTTTACGCATGCGCACGTTGAAAGAAATGTTTAATAAAGTAAACAAATAAATATTATCATATTATAATCATCAGTTTAAATCTGGTAATATGGCATGCAGAAATTATACAATTAAAAATATGAAACCGTAAGAGCAATTATGATCTAAAGGGTATCAAAATTTACAAAAAAAAAAAAAAAAAAGCTTAATATTATTTGTTACTTTATTAAACATTTCTTTATTAATTATTAATTAATAAAGGATCATAATTGCTCTTTATTTCATAAATTACGGTTTCATATTTTTAATTGTATAATTTCTGCATGCCATATTACCAGATTTAAATTGATGATTATAATATTTATTGTTTACTTTATTAAACATTTCTTTCAATGTAAGTTGTTTAAATTGCTTTCTTTTATGTGCTAATACTTTCTCTTTCATTCTATAAGCAGACATAATTTCTTGTTCAGTTACAAAGTTCCGCTGTTCAAGTCCTGTAATTGCTGTGTCAAGAATACCGACTAACTTGTCAATCGAAATTTTTTCGTTTTCACTAACCTCTCGGTCACTTTCTTCATGCCTTTATCCATTTTTTGAAGCAATTCCACTTTTTGTTTGATGGACATCGAAACATGCTTTCGCTTTGTAGATCCTTTGGCATCTCCAGAATCGGAAACTCTTTTTTACATAATTGAAAGTTCAAGCTTACTTTTTATAAAATTGCTCTAACAGTCTGCAAAAAATAATAAGCCGAATCCAATTGGAAGATTAAGGAACAACACAATCTGCAGCATAGACTGAAATAGATAATTTTAGCCTAGCTTATACTATCTGTTATACATTAAACGCGAATGCATAAACATATTATGGACATGCGTAAACGCTACGCATGCGCAGAAAGTTTGTAGCTTTGAGGTCCGTATTATAGATCATTTCGGATTATGGACGTCCGGATTAAAGACTTTGTACTGTACTGTAGTTCTTGTGTTTTTATATTTTATAATTTAACTCTGAATTGCAAAATTTCGTTTCATGCATTTTTTTTTTCCTTTAAGTAATGCAGTGTAGCCAGTATTTTGAAGATGGGTAGTTATGTATGGATTTGACTTTTCAAAGCCGAGCAACTTTAGCAGAGATTCCAAGCTGTTTCATTAATTTGATATCAGTGTCTCTAGAAAAGTCCTGTAGTGACAAATTTTAGGATGACATATATGCTCATGTAATGCCTGCCCTTTGTATCCAAATATTTCAATGCAGATTTCCATTTGTGAACATTATGCATATAATTTAAGTAGTAATTTCTCCCCCCCCCCAAAAAAAAGGTCATGATAATCATTGAAAAGAAAAACGTGTGCATGTGTGTAGAGGGAGATACAAATGAAAGTACTTTTTATTAAATGCTTCATGCATAGCTATATAGCTCTAAGTTATTTTTTTTAAAGGAGAAATAGGAAGAACATATATATATATATATATTTATATAGATCACAATTTTTAACAATTATTTCTACACTTTATCTAAACTAGATTCTGCTGTTTACATAATTAAAAGTACTGTACATATATGCATGCATATTTCATTTGGCTAAATATAAAAATTCAAGTCGAAATGCATGTGCGAAGATTGTATGGAAATTTTTCCCCCCTTAATGTTCCTTCCTTAAAATCTAGATCTTAATCTTTGTACAGTTTATGATTCACTACATGAGTAGATTTTTTAAAAATAAGTTTGATAATGTTTAGTTTATTAAATCTACTCGAACATTTGTCAAAGAAATTGCTGTTTGGTATGTATTTAATATACGAAATGTACTGGAGGAAGTACTTTCAAGCCTAAAACCATTTCTGAAGCTAAATGATGCTGAACTGAGTCCTGAGAATTACAGCTAGGATGTATTTATACGTCATTATTGGCATCATTATTAATGAATGGTATATGAATTTGAATATTTCAGCTAAGCGATCGAAAGGGTTTGTTTGTTTGATGATTTTGGGCAGCAACGTAAATTCCACATTGGATATTTGTTTGGAAGCTTTGTGTAATCAACTGAGTAACGTTTTAGAGTAGTATTTACAAGTGGTTTATATTTTGAATTGCTTACCAAAAGTAAAACAATTAACATTGGCATTCTTGGTGGCAAGTTCATCTTCCATGTACTGGAACTGAATGAAGGTTTTAAGATAAAACTGCTCATTTCGTACATTTCAATTCTTATATAAGTTTCATAATGAAGAATTTCTTGATTAATTGTCATAGCTATATGGCAAAGATATAGCAGATGTAGGCATTAGTTGAAGATTTAATCTTTTAAAGCAATTTTCATAAGAATGGTTAACAACATACGCAATTGCCGTTTTTTTGCTGTCATTCATCATGACAAGAGTTTTTAAAGCAACAACGGCAACCTATAACAATAGCAAAATATTTTTAAGGAAGCAAATCCAGTGAAGCAGCATTTTATGCAAGCTTAGCTGTGGTGCACATCACTGCAAAATACCAAGTCCATTTGTGATGGTCAATTCATTGATGATTGTTTGATTAAATCTGCTGAACTTCTTTGTCTTGACAGTCAGTAGTTAGTTAAAAATATTAATTTACCAACTACACAGTAACAGAATGTATTAATGAAATTACTAGTGATTTACAATGCCAATAAATGAAAACAATTATAGATTTGGAACATTCTCAATTGCAGTTGATAAGAATAATGGCATCACAGATATGTAGCACAGTTTACTGTTTTCATATGAGATATGTTATTGACGAATTTGAAGAAGTTGAAAAATTACTGGTAATAATTTATGTGAAAAAAAATTGCTAAAATTCTTTCAAAAGAAACACAAAAAATTCTTTCTGAAATAAAAATTGTAATAGATAAAAATAAATTAAGTTGGTATAAAATGGTTGGATTTGCAAGTTACGGTGTAGCTGCTGTGGTTAGTTTAAAAAAAAATTGAGTAGCAGTAAAATTAAGAATTACAGTGAAAGAAGAAAAATTTCCAGAATATGTTTTGTGCTATGTGTTGCATTTTTTATGAAGAAACACTGTATGCAAAAATTTGCGAAGTGGATGATATGAAAACGATAATTAAAACAATAAACCTTATCTTTGGATAAGATCTGAATCATCAAAGATACTATTGTATCACTTGAACAAACTGCAAGTGTGTGTACGAAGAAATTATTTATTATAACAACATAATGTGGTTAAGCCAAGGAGCTGTGTTAAAATGATAATAATTTAGTAAATGAAGCCAAAATTTTCATGATGGAAAAAAATAATACCGTCGAGCTGCATAATGATAAATGGATAAAAGCATTTGTTGATTTAACTGGCCATTTAAATATTCTCAATAAAGAGCTGCAAGGGGAGCATAAACTTATCACTGACATGTATGCTTCTGTTAAAGCTTTTAAACTTAAATTGCTAATATGGGAAATACAATTGAAATAAAAAAAAAAAAAAAGGCTCTAGTGTAGAATTGGGTGCGCCTTCGATTAGCAACATTTTTTTGTAAAATTGTGGCAATGAAACCTCATTTCTGGTTACCATGATAGTTTAACTTTGCTTTAGCTTCCTGATTTTTCTAAAAAGAAAAATAGATTGATGTTGTACATGGACATATTTAAAGCAGTGCACAATGCCTAGTTTGTGCTATTCTTGGTTTTTTTTTAAGTGAAAACAGATCGATGTGTACATGGACAGAGTTTATGCAATTCGTTGACTTCTTATTTTGGTTTTGTATAGCGCCCATCTTGAAATTGTGTCTTCCTGGCGCCGATGTCGGCGTCAAAAAAGAATCGCCAATAAACAAGAGGCACCCAGTTGTAAACTTTTACCAAAAAAATAATAATAATAAAAAAAAAAAAAACTATTTTATGTCAAATCTTCACTCTATTATTCCAAATCAAAAATCTCAGGAATAAACAAGACTCTCTTATTAGGTATTATTTAAGCAATGTTTTATTTACCATTACTATGATAAGAATTTGAAGGTAGATTTAAGTAATTTAAAGATTAGGACACCGATTTTAAACTATTTTCATTTTCATTAAAAACAAATGTGAATAATGTTCCAAAAAATATACAGATGGGTTTAATTAATTTACAGTATGATATAAATCTGGTCCAAAGATTTGAAGATGCTGATCTGAATAACATTTATTTTGTATTTGTCAAAAGTTAAATATTTTCTGTTAGAAATTTTTGCAGTAAGAAAAATTGCTACATATGTTTGGGTATACAATATGTGAACAGATTTTTTTTGCAGTTGAAAATTAACACATTTAACAAAAGGGCCCAATTGATCAATGAGCTTTTACAATCTGGGCTGAAGATAGTTTCCAATAATTTAAATCCAAAATTCTGACAAGTGCCAAATTATAGTAAAAAATATAGAAATCTTTAATTACTTATACAGTACAAAGTCTTTAATTCGGACTCGTCGGGACGTCGGCGATTCCGGATTATAGATCATCAATTTAAATCTGGTTAGATGGCATGCAGAAATTATACAATTAAAAATATGAAACCATAATTTATGAAATAAAGAGTAATTATGATCTAAAGTGTATCAAAATTTACCAAAAAAAAAAAGCTTAATATTATTTGTTTACTTTATTAAACATTTCTTTCAATGTAAGTTGTTTAAATTGCTTCGTTTTATGTGCTAATACTTTCAGTCTATAAACAGACATAATTTCTTGTTCAGTTACAAAGTTCCGCTGTTCAAGTCCTGTAATTGCTGTGCCGAGAATACCGACTAACTTGTCAATCGAAATTTTTTCGTTTTCACTAACCTCTCTGTCACTTTCTTCATGCCGTTATCAATTTTTTGCAGCAGTTCCACTTTTTGTTTCATGGACATCGAAACATGCTTTCGCTTTGTAGATGCTTTGGCAGCTCCAGAATCGGAAACGCTTTTTGACATAATCGAAAGTTCAAGCTTACTTTTTATAAAATTGCTCTAACAGTCTGCAAAAAATAATAAGTCAGATCCAATTAGAAGATTAAGGAACAATGCAATCTGCAACATTAACTGAAATAGATAATTTTAGCCTAGCCTAATACCGTACGTTATACATTAAACAGCAGAAAATTTGTAGCTTTGAGGTCCGGATTATAGATCATTCCGGATATTATGGACGTCCGGATTAAAGACTTTGTACTGTACTTGCAAGTGGGCTTGATGGTGTCATTAAAATAGTAGTTGATTGTTCAATAAACCATGACTGCAACCCATTCTTTTTACTTCAGAATCTTATTTTGTGTAATTTTGTGTGTGTGTGTGTGTGTGTTTTGTATTTTGTTTTATTTCTCCTGCTCCCCCACCCGGAGATCAACATGTTTACTGATTTAACCTCCTAAATCTGTGCTGCTTACAAACTACCCCAGTCCTCTTCACCTTTGAAAATTCAAATTTGATATGAAGTAAAGAAGAGAGAATCAGGTATTCTGCATTTTCTTTGGTAGATAAAGCAATCTTCATTTATTCGTTATTTCAAACGAAGAATTTAAAGTAAGAATAAAATCAATTCATACCAAAGACTTGAGCATAAAAATCTTAAAACCCTCTGCTGCTTTAAAAAAGTGTAAGGCTTGAAATATCATATCTAAAAAAATTAATATACAGTGGAGCACTGATTGGATATTTCATGTTTATACATTTTGACATAGTTTCATCTTGGTTCCTATTCAATTCTATTTATTTTAATACTAAAATATTTCTTTTGTGCATCACATAACTTCGAATATACATGGCTTTTGCTGACTTACTGCATTGGTTTTACATGCGTGTTTTTGAGTGTTCAAGATGGAAAGGTTCCTAAGGTTGAAGCCATTTGCTAAAATGTTTCATTCAGTATCGTGCATCCAGTGATTGAATTCCAGTGAATGGTTCCATGTTAATCGAGAAGTCTAGAGAAATATCACTGAGTGTATGTGCAAGAAGCTTGATTTTCAACTGCATGGTTTGATAAATTTAAACTTCAGGTGGAATCTCATGCCATATAGAAAATGAAAAATTAAAAAGCGTTCTTGCTGAGTCAGTTGAAGAATTGTTCAAGAATTTATCCATAAAAATAAGATGGATATGAATTAAGATATTTTTAATGTTAATGAAACTGCTCTTTTCCTTAAACTTATGCCTCCAAGAACCCTAGCTTTAAAAAGTAATCAGTAGTGTTGAGCTAAGGAAAGTAAAAAAAGTCTCACTGTTTTACTTTGTGCAAATGCTGATGTTATGGAAAAAATGACTCCTTATAGGAAAGTCATAAAAACCAAGGTGCTTCAAACATGTTGAAACTCTGTCATTAAAACAAAAAGCAAATAAGAAAGCCTGGATGACTACGGACATTTTACAGAAGGGGGGGGGCTAAAGAAAATAGATAAAACCACAAAATTTTACTTTTCATACATCAATATACCGTCCATCCTTGAATCACAGATTTCTTGCAAGATGGGAAAGTTGTCTTCTTCTCTGCAGATTACACTAATGTAGGACAACTTTTAGATCTCGGTGCCATTAAGAATTTGAAATAGTTGTACAGTCAAAGGTTGATTCAAATAGCTTTCCAAAATATAACTACAGGAAAATATGCAGAAAACTTTAAATATTCTTGAGGCTAATGAATGTAATTTCACTTGTCTGAACACAAGTAAAACCATAAACAATTAAAAATTGCTTCATTAAAATAAAAACCATAAACAATTAAAAATTGCTTCATTAAATGGGGAATTTTCGAACCCAAGTGTAGTAATAATATCACGATTTTGGGGATGAGACAACAAACGGAAGATTTTTTGTTGTGGAAGTGCATACATGATTGCAAGCTGTTTTTTTTTTCCAAATTTGTAATTAAATTGTCATTGTGTATTGCTGGATAATGTTGAATTATTTCTAAGAGTGTTTGCAAGTGCATTAGATTTGTTTATGTTACTGTAAGTACAACCAGTAATGCCATGATGTGGAGGGATATGATTATATTTTCTGCATAATTTTAACGTGAATTTTTTTTTCACATTTGTAATTAAATTATCATTGTACATTGCTGGATAATGTTGAATTATTTCTTAAGAGTGTTTGCAAGTGTATTAGATTTGTCTTTATTAACTGTAAGTAATGCCATGATGTGGAGGGATATGATTAATTTTAGCATGAAGGTCGTCCAGAGAATTTTCTTTCCCTGAAAGATAATGCTGATCCACATTTATTGTTTAATACGTAGTTAACGCATTTGATATGGTTGTTTTAAGGCATTGTATTGATATTGTATTTTTTAATAGCGGGATAACATGTACTTTAGGTACTATATGTTTCTATATTCATGATTACATGTGCATATTTCTATTGCTCTGTGATACACAATTGCATAATACTCTGTGATAGAAAGAAAATATGCTCTATGATACACAATTTTAAACATTTTTGCGACTGATTGAATATTTTTTCCCAAACAGGTTATCAAGAAGTTTCTTTTGAGATAATTTTTCCCCGTTATTATACCAGTGGTTTGATGTAACAGGGATGATCGAAACCAAAAGAATTTGTGATTTAAAGAAAGATATCTGATGTTGACACCACATGACTTCATTGTACGGCCTATTAAATTACACATATTTTTTTGCTGCACTTCATCCAAACTTATTTCCTCGAATTACATCAGAGATAAATTTCTCATCCAATCAATTCAGTTTTCACTTTGCGGCAAGGCAAAAATACATAAACCTCAAAACAACTTCATTAAAAGTTGTAAAATACAGAAAATACCTAAAACACCAAATGCAGTTAAAAATAGTAAGAAAAAAAAAAGCAATTAAAGTTTCTAAGAGAAAAACAAGTAATTCGGACAACGGGCGGGAAGACAAAATTTTCGGTGAACCAAATTAAAAATTTACTTTTCGTTCCACTGAGTAACAAGACACTTAAATTTGTTCACCGACTGACTTAATTCACTATACTACTAAGAGTTTCGAATGTAAACAAATGGCAGCCTCGTTAGGCTCTCAGTAGTTGAAACAGCTCCGAATTATATAAAAAAGTGTAAATTTTGTGTTTTTGTTACTTAAACATGCAAATAACAGGAGAATCAGGAAGCTTTTGCACTTAAGGTTTGAAGAAGTAACAAAGGTTTTTGAGTCCAAGGCTGTATTTCGAATTTCAGCCTTATTCGCAAGGGATATCTGAAAAAGTGTACTAATAACGCTATTATAAACTTTTATGAATTTTCAATAATAATAGCAAGTTCATCATTTGCTGGAAAGCATGAACAAAAATAACATTTAGATAGCATCATTTAGGCATCATAAAATGTAAAATATATGTTTAAAATTATTCTGGGATTTAATAAGCTATAAATTTATTATTAACATATGAATTGTGGCAACATTTAAAAGAGCATGTAGATAACATCATTTAGGCAAAAAATATGAAATACATATTAATAATTAATTTATGATTTAATCTTAACAACAGTAGAAATATCATTTACATAACAGCATCATTTAGGTAACAAAATATAAAATATACATTTAAAATTAATCTGGGATTTAATCATTACAAGAAGCAGATCTGGCAGCAGTTAGCAACCAGAAAGAATATTTAAAGGATTTAACTGATTAACAAAAGGCAATCACAAAAATTCCAAAGTATATGTGTTACTAAAAAGAAATTTGAAGGTAATAAATTCGTGTTTGTGTATACATATATAAACATTTCAGTGCGTATAGTGAAGTTAATATATTAACCACATATATATATTTCTTTGTTTCTGCGCTTTTATCTTCGCTGGAGCTGTCGCTCTCGAGGCTGAACCGGATGACACAGATGATAATAATAATAATAATAATCTTGAGAAATAATGAAAATGTTATAAAATATAACAACTTTCGGAATGGCAACAATGCAGAAGTCGATCTTCAGAATCCTTATAGTTTGAAATCCTATCAGACATTTCTTCTGTATCGTTTATAATGCTTTTGAGTAATGTGAACTCTTGATTCTGGTATCCGAACTATTTGTTAATGTTTGCTGAGTAAGTGTATGGAAAATCGGCAGTTTATTATTCCACCGCAATTAGAGAATCTGCTTTTGGAATTCACAATTAACGTAATCGTTGAAAATCCTGAAGATTTAATCAGCCACGCTGCAGATTACTTCACTCGCATGAAGAACGAAAGGGACGAAGGACATTCCGCAAGGGATGCCAGTGGAAATAAAGATGACATAAAGAATATTTTGGGCCCGCGTTCTGCTAGACGGCCATCTGTAATGGGAGAAAGATATAATCCTGAAGAAGATGACATCTCTGATATTGAAGTTTATCCTAAATCTGATGAACAGATAAATCGAATCAAAGACTGCGTACAGGACGTTTTTCTCTTCCGAGCTTTGGACGAGAAAGACCTTTCAGCCGTTATCGATGCCATGATGCCACGATCTGTAAATAAAGGTGAAGTCATAATACGGCAAGGTGATGATGGAGATTTCTTCTATGTTGTGGACAAGGGATGTTATGATGCTTACATTAAGAATGACAAAGGTGCTGACGTACGAATCCAGACGTACGAAAATTCTGGTAGTTTTGGGGAACTGGCTTTGCTACATAATCAGCCCAGGGCTGCAACAGTCAAAGCGACAACAGATGGATTCTTATGGGCTGTGAGCAGACGTAGTTTTAATAGACTGGTAGTTCGCCGTGCTTTCGAAAAAAGAAAACACTACATGAAATTGTTAGATATTGTTCCTCAACTGAAACCACTGACCGAATATGAAAAGATGCAGCTATGTGACTCCTTATCCCCAATTTCTTTCAAAAGTGGTGAAGTAGTGTTTAATGAAGGAGACGATGCGGATGGTATGTATTTTATTGAAGAAGGTGTAATCAGCGTGAGCAAAGCGTCACCAAAGGGTAAAAGTCCTTCCGAAGTTGCTGAACTCAGTAAAGGCGAGTATTTTGGAGGTAAGTCCTTTGAAAATTTAACTGTTAATCTCTGAAAAGTTAAAGGTGAGTTTTTATTTAAATATATATGTGTTTATACCTGTATTACGGTAACTCATCAATAATCATCGAACTTAAACGAACGTTAAACAATAAGTGATGAAATCAATATTGGTATTGATACGATATGGTCAGCTGAATATGGTTGACCATATTCAGTGAATAATAAGACAGTAATGAAACAATTATCCCGAAGGGAATTTGTACTCACAGCCTATTGAAAAGGACGTTCCAAAAGTCGGAGGGCCTGATAAAATAGTAGAAATCGACGAAAGCCTTTTTACGAAACGCAAAAACGACACGGGTTGAATACTGGTTGTTTATTATATAAAGATGCATTCGTTCCTTCATGATTCCGCATGGTTCGATGTAGTCAACTTTCGAAGTCGACACGATAATACGTAAATACATTAATATTTTGCTTGATTTTCCCATTTTTATGTCGCTTAGGACGGTATGATGGTTTCCGGAGGCTGACTGCGTGGCTAGAAACTAAGGGTATGGATTCGACTTCCACATAAGGTTTGGGCTATATATATCCTTCCTTGTTGCGGATACAATATTGGTCCAGATCTGCAACCATGGTTCACTCTGGGCAATGCTCACGGTGCTGAGATGGTTCAATGAATGATGCATTCAATCATTCTCGAAAAATGCTCTTCAGGTAATTTTTCAGCGACTGGGAGAAAAGGTGAATCTTCGGATTATGGTAAATAAGCAACTTTTTTCGAAAATTTAGCGACCAACCGTGCTACAGCAACCTGCTAGTTTTTTTTTTTTTTTTTTTTTTTTTTTTTTTTTTTTTTTTTGACGCCATTTTGTTTTCACGAAGTAAAGACATGTTTTTTTCCTACTGAACATTTTTTCCAACAATCTGCTAGCCGAATTACGCTTATGCTAGAACGTTTATGGAACAAAAGTGCTTAATCATGACGAAGATTAGGTGCGAAATTGTTTCTAAGTACTTATTAGCTAAAATCACGATCGGAATTTTCCGGAAAGTAGTGGAGCAAACGTGCACAGAAATTTGTTTTTACAGGGCAAATTTATATATGAAACATGTAAATAATTTTTCTCATAAATTAGAAAAATTTGCACGAAAATGCAGGAAACTTTGAAGTCGGTAAAAAGGACATATATGAAATTACCTGATCGCTAAAAAGTATGTATACTATGCAAGCTTTTATATGTTCAGCTTGCATATACCCTTTACAAGGATGAACATTTGCACATATAAAATAAATAAAATATGCAAGAAATTACATTAATTTTCTTTTCCCTCTAAATTATCTATTATAAAAGTCACCACAAAATAATCTGTGATTGGAACTGTGTACTTCTCAGATTATTGTTAAAGTCCTAGCTAGTAACCTTTATCGCCTTACCAAAATGTCGCCAAACTACCTGTTACCATATTCCAAAGATTAGCCGGACAAAATTCCATTTACATCACTTTTTATTAAAAAAGTTTTTTATTAAAAATTTTATTAAAAAAAATAAAGAAGAAAAAAAATTTGTAATCGTTAGGAAATCAAATCTCAAAATTAATTTATTTAATGTCTATGGTTTTTACTCTTCTAAGGAATTTTTCGCTCTTGATTATCCCCCCCCCTCCAAAAAAGTGCAAAGTAATATTAATACGAGTATTTAAAAATGGTAAAGCAGAGGTATTAAAATATAAAGCATTGGATTAATTTGTACGCATAAATGTGGAATAAATGATAATAGTATTAAATCACATTAAAGAAAAAAGGTTGAAAGGTTTCAGATTTTAACGGTAACCCAAAGGCCTTATTAAACGTTTTACGCTCTCGCTGAGCTCGCAGTCTGCTATTGCATTCGCTCCTGCTAACGCATTTTTTCTCCCCCTTTTTAGCTTTATTATTATTATATAATGTTATAAAATATAGTAATTAAACAGAATCAGATTTCCTAAAAGTATGAATCTTTTATTGTAATGAGATGAGAAGGAAGTTATGCATGCAACATTCTTTTTCCGGTTTATGATTCTTCTAAGCACTTCATTATTTTTCGTTTAATTTACTAAAACTTCTTTTCGTTTCAGAAATGGCTTTGGTGAAGAAGATACCCCGTTCAGCGACTATCACTGTAGTAGAAGATGCCAAACTGGCTTTCCTTGATGTTGGTGCATTTGAACGACTTTTAGGCCCATGCATAGAAATCATGAAAAGGCATATAGATACTTATAAAGATTCTTAGACTATCACTGGGATAAATATGACTTACAAAAGGGGTACATCTCTTCTCATTAATACTTTCAAAGACTGTGCTTTGTTTCTTGGATTTTACATACATTTTATTATTCAAAATTACCTTGTTTTATATGATTAATGTCTACTTTCTAACTTTATTTTCGTGAAGAGAATTATATTACATTTAAAGACTACAATAAAAGGTAAAAAAATAATAATAATAATTTTGCCTTCTAAAATAAGAAATAATGTATTTTTTGCTCATTTAAAATTTGAAGTTTTTATTTCGAGTTAGTATATATTCGTACTGCGAAATTTTAGTTACTTCGCGTTTATGGTCAAATCCCTATTAAGCGGAATAATACCGCAGATGATGCCCGCAGTTAGCTCAAAATCATGGTTAATTTGAGGGTAATGAAAAACACAGGAGAGAGGTATAAATCGTGCTATTAATAGCTATTAATACTATTAACTATTTACTATATTATTTATTAATCGTGCTATTAATACTATTAACTATTTACCTGTATTTTCAAACCGTTTAATCTGGAGAAAAGTTCATTTGGTTACGTAAACTAAATTAATACTCGGAACAAAAAAACGTATTATCAATACCGGAACAATAAACTTCAATTGAAGGGAATAAACAGAGTTGCAAATGAAGATGAATAGCTGTATATTTGATTAATTTTTAGAATTTAATGTTTTATTTATAACGCGGGGTTTACCAATGATTATATCTTATGAATTAAGTGTAATGAAATTAATACTTATTGTGGATAAAAACAACTCCCAAATAACTATATCAGTATCTGCTGTCTTTGTTGTTATTCCATGCAATTTTCCCATCAAACCGCAAATAACAAGCTTATCTCTCTCCATGTCCCCCCCTTTTTTTTAATAAAGTTTTTTTTTTTTTTTTTAAATAAATGACAGAAACCAGAAACTGGTTAATTCGCTCCTGCTTAATCGGGAACTGATTGTGGATTTCTCTATCACATACAGCTGTAGTAAAAAATTTTCAGTGCCTACAGTGGCGTAGCGTGGCGGGGACGGTCTGCCTCTGGCAGTACCTTTTGGGGACGGCAAAATTTCACAAGAAATAATAATAATATCATCTTGTAATATGAACTAAAAATTTGAGCAATTTCGTTTCATATTTTTATCGCCTCTACAGTTCGGACCGATTAAAATGAACACGGAATTTTTTGTTATGTAAGTGAGTTGCAACGTTATCTGTATTAATCAGTTGGCTTGTGGTAATTCCCCGTGTTTTATTTTATGCTCGCATTGATAATTTTGCCCTGCGCGGCTAAACTCCACTCTACGCCATAGAGTATGCATCCATTTACAATGCCATGAATTAAAATAAAATTCTAAGACTCAAATATTATTGTACTTAATACAGAATGAATCCTGACCTATTTCGTGTGGGTATATTTTTTATTTTTGCACAAAAAGTGAATTAATGCTGAAGATAAAACTTATACATAGAATATTCAACGATAATTAATTATTTCGTGTAAAGAACAGAGAAGAACATAATATAGAACATACTGTTTAATAACACCTGCAACATCAGTCTTCCAATTCATTCACTCAATTAAACTGCTACAATTCATGGTTTTCCTTAAGTGCGCATTGTGATTTTGTGATTTTTAAATTATTGAACTTTGTCGAAAAGTTGCATGTAAACTATAAATCAGTGGTCTACATATTCGCCTCCTTGATATACATACAACCATGTGAGTGTTACAATTTTTATTTTTAGTTAGAAGCATTTATTTTATACTGTATGGTCAATTTTATATGTAATAACCCATATCTTTGTACATATACTAATTAGGATAAGATATAATGGTAGTTCAATATGTAGTACCTAAACAGTGAATATTGTGATATGACTTCAATTCTAATATGAACATTCACAATCACACACCAATTTTTTTAATAAAAATAACGAGTCAATTATTTAATCACGTAATTGTAACATATAAATTCGTTAATAGTTACGTAATTTACATATCTGTAATTTTGGAAACCATAGTTTGTAATATAAATACAATCACTGAGGGAAAATCGAGATTAATTATTCGTTAATTTACAGCTGGGGAGGGCGGGAATGAGGCTAGGTGGACGACGAATAAAGTGGCGGCAAATTTGGCCTACGCCGCGGGCGGCTGAAACCCACACTACGCCACTCAGTATGTATCATTTACATTCATGGTATTTACAGTGCCATGAATTATTGATAACGAACGCAAAAATTTAAAACTCAAACACTGTTGTACTTAATAGAGAATGAACTAAAAAATCCCGACCTTTTTCATACGGATATATTTCTTAATTCTGTCCAAAAAGGGCAATAATGCTGAAGATAAAAATTAAAAATAGGATATCATTTGAGATGACATGCCATTTTCAAGTTTATATTTTTAATACATCTTGTATTAGGTACTTTTCTGCCTATCACAGATGCATTCCATTATGCATTTCAGCATGTCCTGAATTGTAAGCAATGATAAATACTTATTTAGTTGCCATAGAGCGTCGAGAAACCTGATAAATGAGCACTGCCCTCACCAGGTTTCCAACTCCGGACCTTCTGTCTGCCAGCCAGACGTGCTTGCAGTTACACCAAGAAGGCATACAATAAGGAGGGATAAAACATCCTATATGTGTACCAATTTGACGTAGTAGATATTGCTGACATGCATGTTTCTTCATTTTCAGAACCATAAGATCCAGCAAGCAGCTGCATGTTTACCAACAGTGAAAAACATTGCAATACTCACCATATATGATAATTTGGCATCCCTTAATGGGCATTTCTCTAGATAATGACTATTGCTGGATATTCTACTATTCACAAGTCTTGTAGTTGAAAAAAGTTTTCATGAATCATTATCAGGGTATTCAGTAGGTTATTGTCACTGTGAGTGAGTTTATCTATGTAGCGTTCACAAAACACTTTCCTCCTGAAAATGTTACGTTTTCCTAGTTTGACCAGTTAGTGAGCTTAGATATCTGGAATCCACTGCAGAATGTCATCTAATGAAACGTAAAAGAAAAGCCAGACTTGCACAATAACAGTATAGAAACACAACCCGTGGGAGATCATCTCAGAAAGTGGAAGAGTGTTTTTTAACTTTTGGCCCATTTATATGAAATTCTTCAGTCACTGTAAAGTTAATTTTAGATAACACATTATTAGCCCAAAGAAGCAATTTGCCTAGAAGGGCTATTAATTTCGTTTTGGAATTTGCGTCGTCCACTATAAAACGGCGTTGCCACCAAATATTAGAGCTCTGCATTATATTTAAAGAAATTAAATAATGAAAATCTGCATGAATGTATGCATGTTTTTCGAATTGTGAAAAAAACAACGGTACCTAGAGATATCAAATTTTCAATAACGTAAATCCTCCTCTCGAATATGGAAGTTTACATTTGGAATTTGTTTTATTATCTACGAGTATTTTATATTTTGTAAAACTTTAACTAATTTTTGATTAACAAATTCAACGATTTCAAAACGAGCAATGGCAACACGGTATGGGAAAAAATTATCTCCAGTTCGCGAGACTGTGTATCGGAAATTCTAAAGATATGCTCTTTTTAAATATTTTGTGATATTGCTGTTGAATTGAATTTTATAGTTTCTCCTTTGGGTGTAATATAAAATGTGAAAGCTTTCAGAATTTTTTTTTTCAAATGTTATTTCTTTCAGGTAACTTCATTTCCAAAAGTATCATTTCTGTCTTTGAAAGAAAAATTTTGAGAAGTATTTTTGGCGGCATAAAATGTAACAATATCTGGAGAAGAAGAACTAACTCTGAACTCTATAAATCTTTTAAAAAAATAGATATAGTAAAATATATAAGGATTCAGAGAATTAAATGGGCAGGATACTTGTGCAGAATGGATGAAAATCGAGTAACTAAAAAAGATCTTCTCGGCCAGACCATTCGGCACCCGAAAAAGAGGTAGACCTAAACTTAGGTGACTCGACTGTTTGGAAATAGACTTAAGAATTTTAAAAATAACCAATTGGATGTATAGGGATAGAAAAGCTTGGAATTCGATTCTGAGGAAGGCCAAGGGCCCATCCTGGGCTGTGTGGCCATTAAAGAAGTACTTCATTTCCTTCCATCAGTCTCATTAGAATGTATATTGTGGTGAGGAGCATAAATACCGAGCAAATGCTTAAATTAGAGTGTTTTGACAATTTAGCAGCAAAGCAGTTAATCTCGTGAGCCGTTGGCCACTCTGGTTTTGCCTAGTGCTAGTGCTTACGAGTCGAGAATTCTTAGAGCTAAGGTGAATAGATATTTAATCTATTTATTCTGTTTTACTGATTTCAGAATTTATGAAACTGTGGATAGGTTTTGTTAACTTTTAGTTTTACCTAAATTTTATCTTTAGTTTGCCTAAATAACGAAACTAAATATCTAGAAGTAGTAAACAAATAAAATTAACCAATTAATTCAACCAATAAGAATGAATTTCAGAAGGGGGTTGGGAGTATAAATTCTTACTCAAATACAAAACATAAATAAAAGGTGAAAAACTCATGGAAGACAAAGTACATACCAAAAGCTTAAAAATAAAAAATATATACTTTTGTTTTCATACCGTTAGACATGAAATAATGTAACATACATTTTAACTAACTAGTTTAGAAAAGTGATTAATTTTGGCATTTACTGACTCGAAATACAAGAGAATTTCGATTTGTACATTTGATACAAATCGTTATTGACGCTCATAATAAAATGAAAGTTGGAATGCAAATCAGTGTTATTCTGTCATCATGATAGCTTTTTATATTTTATCTTATTTATATTTTATCTTTTTGTTTTATTTTATTATATCTTTATCTTATTTTATATTTTATCTCTTTTTTACTTATTTGTCATGCGCAAGACAGAAATTAACGCCTTTCATCGCAATCTCGCGAAACCTTCTCAGTTGCTTTTCATTACTGTTGATCACATCATGTTTGAATTAAATGTTTACGTTTGCCTGCCAATTGTTGGCACTGTCATTGCAGCTGGTATTGCTCTATATCTGCGGTGAGTAGAAAGAACTGATTAAAAATTCATGCTAAATTGAAGGATGATTTTTGGAATTTATATAAGTCTGAAAAGGATAATATAAATTCTACTCTCTGCAATTGTTTAAACAAAAGTTATTATTCCTCTCTATTATTTTCTCCGACTAATTAAAATTTACGCATAATGTAAATAAACAGCAGGCAGTGATGGATCAAGAATGCTTAATAGCATCAATAAATTGAGCACATATGTTATTTAATAAAAATTAAATTTTGGTAATAAAACTTCCATTTGTATTATATGATGAATATACAAATGAATCCAATTGAACTGTAGTTTTTTATTCATAATATTTCCTATTCATTTACCTAATTAGTAATTCTATAATTTATTTTTTTTAATATTAAAATAAATGTTATTGGTCCAAAGGAGCTTTGTCCTTGAGGGACTATTGTTCTCGTTTTGGCATTTTGCGTTGAAATCTTTAAAAAGCTGTATCACTTTTCAAACTGTTGCCACCAAATATTATCGCTCTGTATTATATTTGAGAAAATTAAATAATGAAGAATCTGCATAAATGTATGTATGTTTCGCGCATTGTGATAAAACAACGGCACCTAGAGCTATGAAATTTTGAATGACATAATCCTACTGCGAATATGGGCATTTGGAAAGCCCAAATTTGTAATTTGTAATTTGTTTTAATATCGATTTCATATTTTGTAAACCTTTAACGAATTCTGATTAACAAACTCAAGGATTTCAAAACGAGTAATGGCAACGTTGTACAGAAAAAAAAAAATATCTCCAGCGCGTGAGACTGTGTATCGAAAATTCTAAACATACATATGTTCAATTTAAAATTATTTCGCGATATTGCTCTTGAACTGAATTTTATGGTTTAAGTGCTAAGAACGTGATATCTAATAAATAAAAGTAACATACAAAATGGTGAAAAAAGCCCCTTTGGACGTAATTTAAAATCTGAAATCTTTCAGATTTATTTTTTTATTCATGTTTTTATTGCTTTCAGAGATTAATATTTTGATCATCGAAAGCTACCCATTTGAGTATGTTGAATCGTAACAACTTGTTTTCAGTTCAAGCATGAGTAAAATAATACCTAGTAATAAATTCTATTGTCAGGAGGGCAAAATAGAAATTTCGTTACAAATTCTTGTTTAATATTTCTAATGTGTTACGGCGTTTCAATTAAGTTATCATATTTAAAACAACAAGTGAATTTTTTTAATTGTACTTTCTCAAATGCTGTACTTTCCGAAAAGCAATATTTCTAAATGCATGATACTTCTAAGCGTTAATAAAATTTATTATTCTATTAACGTATTTATTTATATACGTTAAGAAAATGTTGCGTTTTTTTTTATCTTAAAATATTTAAGTTATATTCAATAACAAGATGATACTGTAGCTACCAACTACATATATTTCGAAGAGGGTAAAAAACAAATGATCAATTATTGAAAATTGTATGGTATTTAGTATTGAAAAAAGCTTTGTATTGCACTGTGATACGTATTGCAGAATTAAATAATCAGAATATTTCTGAACAATTAAGTCATTGATTCTGTATTGGGGAATTAAATCAAGATGACATTTACAGATATTAAAGTAATGTATAGTTTTATTTTCGAAAAATAATTTCTTTTCAAACATTATGTTCATAGATATCAGATTGTTTCTTTTAGGATGCCACCAAACTACTTTATTTTTTAAAGTTTAAATTTTTGCACTAGTTTCATTTAATAGCAGAATAACGCAATAATAAAAAAGAAGAAATCTGTTCTGTTAGTTATATCTCTTTGTCCGTTACTTCAGTACGAATTATTTGGCTGACGTGTTTAAATTCAAAAAATATTAATCCGCTAAAAATTTCATTCCGAACTGTATTCTTTGGTAGCTGCATTAGAGTAAACAAAAATACTGAATTCAAGTTTACTGAAATTACAAAATTTCTTTGGCTTTTAATGGAATGAATATGGTTATTATAATAAATAAAATTAATCATACAACTTCTTGTACTTACCTAGCATCTCACATTGCTATTTTACAGGGGAAATTTTCATTTGATAATTCTAAACATGATTTCGCTGAGAAGCAGTGTGATGTTACATATTTGGTTGCTATATTGAAGAAGTTCTTTATTTTTTACTTTGTTGATTTTGTTTGGTATTTCTACGGATAGTTTATATAACATTTGTTTTAAAAATAGAACTGTTTTTTCATTCGCGAAGACGCTTTATCTTTCTAGCAAAATAACGAGTTGAAAGGAGAAATTCAAATTTCAGACTATGGTCCTATTTGATAGCAGCTGGTGACTATGGAACTGTTCATATTATTTTAACTTTTTCTGATACATTCACCTTTCCTCCTGTGCTTGTGCAACTGTCTGCTCTTCTGTTTGAAGTTTTGGTATTATTTCTTTCAGAAATGAAGCAAAAGTTTAAACAGAAAGCTTATAAATTCTATGTCTCTTAGGAAGCATACACTATAGATTTTAAAAGGACTACTGAAGAATTATCTTCTAACCTTGTGAAACAAAACAGAAATCAGAAGAAGGGTGTATAAGAGCCTTTTATTCAAACATAAAATTAACAGTAACCAAACTTGAGTTTACACAAGCTAAGTACTTCTGACTTAACAGAAAAACGTATAATGTTGAACAAAAATCAAAATGTGGGAGATTAGTCTAACGACTCACAGGATAATTTAAAGAGCAAGCAAGTCTCTGGTTTGTAGAAAACAGGCGAGTCATATGGCTAGAAGCACTCAACGCCAATAAATCAAGTCCCTAATCAAGTCCCTCGTTGTCTCATTTACATTATGGTGTGAAAAGCGTGGGTGAAAAGATAGTGATAGGAAAGTCTTTCAACTTAAAATTAACTATTAGTTAAAAATAAATAGATAAACCTCACAAGCTGTACGCTTAATTATTCGGTTTGAAACCTTCAGATGGAAGAATTGCATTCTGTTTTACACGTATGTCTAAATAGTAGGAACTTTCACTGGCAATACTTCTTTGTTCATCATCATATCTTCAAATATATATTTTTTGAGTTTTATTTCTTCCAAGAAATTTTATTTTGCATTTTTAACCTATTATATATACAAGTAGAAGTTAAATTAAATTTAGAAGTAATTTATATTATTATTGTGATTGTGAAACTAGAAAGTGCATTTTCTTGCACTTCACAAAAACTATTTCTTTGCAGATACTTTTTTTGCAACGGAAGTACTTATATAAAATCTCACTAAAGATAAAGCAGAAATCTTCTTACACAAATATGCTTCGATTACTGATATTTTCAACTGGCGTACGATCAGACATATTCACTGTAAGCTAAAATACGGTAAGTCTTTTAACACACGTAGCGTGCTAGGCTCAGAGCTTAGCTTAAACCTATCTTGAATATACCCATGAATCTTACATTAACGTAGGTAAATTATTTAATACGAAACTTGTTTTATTGTAAAGTTTTTAAGTGTTAGAATAATTACTAACAGCATACTCGGGTGAAAGAATACTGGGCCTAAATAAATATGAAGCATTAAATTAAAATTAACTACTGCGTGGCTGGGAGAAAAGACAGCTAACGAAATCATCTGTTTCGCTATTGATGAGATTCTACATAACCTACAGAGGGTTCTTGGAAATAATTCCCAGTGGGAGGCTAGTGGTGATAGCATTATAATCGTATGGAATGCTTTGGAACTTCGGATTCCTCCTATCTTGGAAGCAAATGATTATACTGAAGAGATAAAACTGTTTGTTTCTAAGACTGTGCTCCTGTAGATCATAATCATTTTCAACGAGGGCAATAATTTCAGATTAGATGCGAGATGATAATTTTCAATAAGAGCAACAGTGGCAATATATTATGATGATGAAATACATAGGTATCGGACGTGTGTATGTAAGACTTTAGAAGACTTTAGGTTTCCCTTGCTCACATAATTTGATGGTAAAATACGGTAAGTAATCTAATCTAATCGACACAATCTAATACTTTTGAAACTGCTTCAAATGATGCATCAGACAGAGATGCGCAAAACTTCCGTACACATTTCAATCTTCATGACAATAAATGCCTATTGTAACTTTCCGTTGGTTTCTGGTGTTCCTAGTCTGATAGTTCCTGCAGGAGATGCAAATTCTGTATATACAAGATAGGTAATAATAATGCTATAGCCCTCCATATCAGTTGATTTCATTCGGCTTTTATACGAGTATATTCAATTCAAGTTAAGCAGAATCAATTGTTTTGTTTCACATTTAAATTCCAAAAGTATGCATTGTATAAATATTATTTAATTATGCAATTCATACTATTGCTGTTGTATTCTGTTCAGCTTGGTGATGAAATACTCACCGTTCGAATATCATTTTCTATGATCTAGTATTGTTGCTTTTCTAAATTAATTAATAGTCAAGCTGAGGAATATACGCATTTTTCAAGTAAGATCCGTTTTGCAATAAAAACAAAAAATAAAACTTTTTCAAGAAAAGATTGTTTTCTGAATTTACATACAACTCTCTATTTTCTACATGATTTCCTCGCTGGTTTAAACATTTACCGCAATCAACGACGAATTTTGAGACATCCTCCCGGCAGAACTTTACCGCCTCTGATTGATAGCTAATTATTCACGGTTGCCTTTTACTTCTTCATAATTATTCCGAGCTTTCTTGACAAATCGCAATTATGTTTATACTTTATTGTCCTCAGCGCATTGTCGCTATCCATTTCACATATATGGTGACGAATTTACGCAGGTTTCAAACTTATTGCTCTTAAGAATTGAATGACTGACCATATTTCACAGCTGATGAGATATCGATTTTTTAAATATATTAATCTCACAATATGGTGGTGGTGTATTGAGAATACGGCAAAGCACACTAGGGCTATCTGCCTAATGATATGAATATGAAGCATAATATGTTGCTTCATATTCATATCATTAGGCAGATAATCTATCTCTCACAATATGAAGCATAATATGTTGATGCTCTGAACGCTGTGTCGGATTATGTAGAAAGCATGAATGCACACTTATTCTTACGCAAGCGCAAAATTTGAAACGCTATTCTTAAACGAATCTCAATTAAAAATCAACCTAGGTAGCAACAATATTTTTCGGCTAATTTTCAATTTGGACAATAGATTCTAATTCAATGTAGTTCCACATATAATCTTTAGAATATTCCTGTACAATAACACAGATACCTGAAGCATACATAATTATCATTATGTAACACCACTGTTAAAAATGCTATTTTTCCCCTCTAACGTCTTCCTTCTTCTGCTTAGATTCTATTGAATAATAATGTTGCGTGCGTACGGGTTCGTTATGAAATGAATGCACAAGTCCGATGAAAAATGAACAAAATTTATTATTATCACAACAAATAATGCTTAAATTTCGTCAGATATTCGTGCAGTATTATAATCTCACAGTAGTTCTACTCAAACGTTCAAGAGAACTTAATTCAAAATAGCTAAAGAAAGCTAATCCGCAAATTCGCTACAGTCAACAAGAGCAGTTTTCTAAACAAACTCTTAAAACAAGCTAACAAATGACAATAACAACGAACTGAAATCGAAATCGAGTGAATGTTTAGGCGGCATTTAGTAGCCTCTGCTACTTTAACCGTCTCTGTTGGATATATGCCCTAAGGCGTTGGGAAGAATTAAAAAATTAAGGTGATTTACACCGCACCGACAAAGGTGAAGCAGGAACATGTGCTAATGCACGTGAGTTGGTCAAGTAGACTTTGGAGAAGGAGGGTTCAAGCATCTGGCCGCCGTACAACCTGTGATGTATCTTCACTAGTTGAAGAAAGATGATACGTCGAGGCCAGTCACATGGGTGGTCACCCACCCAAGTACTGACCCCGAGCTCTGCTGCTGTAAACAGGGAAACCTGAGTGTTGAAAAAGTGAAAAGAAATCGTAAACATAGTGAAATTCCCTCAAATGCTTCTAAGCTGGTGATTACTCTTCACTTTCAGCAAATCTCATCAGTGTCATGGCTGCTTTGAACCCGGCAGTAAACTTCTCAGCCGTGGTTTTTGCAGCGCGGATCTTCTCAATGTGCTCAACCATACTGTTCAGAAATTTTTTGATTTTAGGATCCTGGATCCAGTTTATGATATCATTGTACTCTGTGGGTGGGTTTTCCAATTTTTTCTTTACTCTATCACTGTAGAGAGGTTTTCATCAGGGTTTTACTGCTGTCTTTCTCTGTTTCGATAAATTTCGGAAAATCTGCCGGCGAAGGGATCTTAGCTGCTGGCTTCGCCTGCTGCTTCTTTGCTTCATATCGCTTCTTGTACACGGGGCAACCCCTGTATGAACTTACATGCAGTAGTGAGCAGAAGATGCACTTAGGTTTTTCTTCTGGCTTTAGAGGGCATTCTTTACTTCTATGGTGCTGTCCACACTTGCAGCATCGCTCAGGATTTGAGCAAAGATGTTGCGAATGTCCATATTCTTGACATCTATAGCATTGAATTACGCGTATTTTCGGGGCAAACTTCTCGATCTTGACATTAACACTTAACATATTGTTGAGTCCATGAATTGCACGTCCTTCCTTCGTTTTCTTCAGCTCCAACAGGAAAATCGGAAGTTTCTCGATAGCGTCTCCTCTTCGTCTGGAAAGCTGCTTGATTTTACTTATCGGGAATTTCCTTCTCTCCAGATCTGCCTGGATTATTTCTTCCTTCATCGTCGATGGGAGGCCCTTAAGAACAACCTTAATATGTTTTTCGCTGAGTAACTGGAAAGTATGAAATGGTATATTTCTTTTCTGCAAAATCAGAGTTGCTTTTCTGTAATCGTCTACTGACTTTAAATTAACATATAGTAGTTTCATTTTCATATCGGCTTCGAATTCTTCACTGCAGTTATTGATAAGGATTTCATGAATTTTAGGCCAATCAACTTCGCTTTGCTGGAAAACTATTGGGGGTGGAGTTTCCTCTTTTTCGGCTCCTCCTTCTTTTTCCATACCTTCCACTTCACTTAGCTGCTCAAATCGATTTTCGTCGTAACTTCCATTGGAGCTTCGTTTTCTGACACTTTCGCGGTTTTCTTAAGAGAAATCCATTCTTGTTCCCTGCTGTCTGTTCCTCTTTCAATTATCTTCCCTGGATAAAATTTTTTCGTGAATGTCTCTACATCCATCTCACCCTTAGTTCTTTTATGAAAGTAATTGCAAATTACGTCAAATCCAAATTTCGCAATCTGGTCCCGGATTTCTTCTTCAGAACATGACTTGAATTTTGGGATGTCCTCATCATTTCCCATTGATAAATCTTCTGGTGTCTGTTCATCAGTAGCTTCTCCATTCGGTGTTTGAATGTCTCTTTTTTCCTTACCAGGTTTAACATCTTTCTTCTTACTTGGTTGTTCGCTTTCCGTATCTGACATAGTTTTCGCCTTTTTCGCTATACTTTTCGTTTCTTTGGCCATAAGGATGAAATCCTCTTTCTTCAATGGATAGGCCTTGTTGGTTTTGGACGAACGCTCGCTTCGGTAGTCCTCTTCATCAGAACTATCGAGTGGTGTCCTATAAAAGGACATTTTTGTTTTTAGGTTTCGCAAATCAATGACTTATTTATAGACACAAAATTTTTTGACAACAGCGTACGTTTAGAATTCCCAGTAGACTGTCTCTCATATTATAACTCAGAATGCCTACGACTACAATTCTTTAACTCCATACACTTTAAATATCTTTAGAACGAACAACGAACTGAGAAGTTTCCTAATTTTTATAACATTTTAAATCTAGCGCGATAATTTTCTGGAACTTTCTGGAAATCAAAAAAAGATATTTATTTATTTAAATGTTAAAGGCATGTGTTCTTGTATTTTTAATATATCCGGCTTAGCTTTCTCATAATTCGTCACGCGCTGCATTGCACAGGGAATAAAACAATTTAATTTATAATTCTACTAACATTAGCTATTTAAATACCAAATCCGTAACAATAATAAAAAATTTATTAATTCTTTAGAATCTATTAGTGTAATAAGACACCTTTTGAAAAAGATTTTAGAATTTGGGGGGGGGGAGGGAAATTTGCAAGAATAAAATAGAATAATACATGTGACTTTTTAAAAGAGCGAATGAAATATATAGGTATTTTTCCTTAAATAAGAAATAAAATGCAATTTTTAACAAACGCTGGATTTTCATAGTCTTTAAAGTATGCTACTGATTTCCAAAAATTGAACACGCGACAGTGAGTTTGTCATAACTGGAAACGTTTTGCTTTGACTGACTCAAAATTTCGCATGAATATAGGCAACTAGATTATATATTTGTGATTATAATTATAGGAAAAAATATTTTTAGGTACATTTTTAATTATTTATATAAACACATCATACATTGTACATTAAAAAAAATTAAGCTATGCCAATAAACAAAACAATTCTGATCTTTATAAAAACTCTGCGGCGAAATTCAATGTCTTTAAATCATCAAGAGCACTCTAGAGGGAAATAATTGCCATTGCCATAACACCAGAACAACTGCTGGTGCCACTACTGTGTCAAGACTTCATCCTCTTACCCTTGAGGTGTCATAATACTTCTTCTTGTAAAGACGTGAGGTTAGTACGATAGCTGAAAGAAAAATCAGCTCACATCATTATATTGCTAGCACTGAAAGTGTGGGATTGAATGCTACCGGGCTTGTTCCTATTTCTTCCTGTTCAGATTTTCATGGTTGTTCCATTTTTTTTCCCCAGTTCTCATGCTGGCACTTCATCTGTGCAGCTCTTATTTGATGTTTAAGGAAACACATATTCCTGATATCAGAGCTTACAGTCCTATTATATACAGTCTTTGCAGCACAGTACTGGAAATATTGACTTCTTGATTATTATAGTAACTATTGATCATCCAGGTTACGCAGCAGCTCATTGGATGCGTTTAACTAATAAAGCCGTGTATTTATCATCAGGCAGTCTGGTAACCCTTGGACAACGGGAAATTTGTTTCCAGATAACTGACTTATTCATCCGAAAGTAAGAAATTTCAAAGTAATCAGCACCAAAGAAAATAACTATACGTTTAATAAACCGTTGTATATTTCGGTACTCCCAATCAAAAAATTGGATTGCCAGACGAGAATACCAGTTTTAATGAAAAAATTATTATAAATATGTATTAATATATTTTATTTTGCTTCTTTATAGCTACCTCAGAAGAAATGACGATTATTGGGCTAAACGTGGAATTCCGTTCGTCCCTCGATATAGTTTAATAGGCCTACTGCGTTTGCTGTACTCTAAGGTTTTCTGTTTGTTTACTCTTCTAACTTTTCATCTTATTGAAAAATTTTAAAATTTACTTCCATGTTTAATATTCTCTTTGACCCAATAATTAAATATTTTTTAAGCAGTTCTTTACGTCAGTACAATTATTTTTTCATGGCTTTATAAATAGAGATTTTGCAAGATTTTGAATTTCAAAATCTCTTGTATTAAAATAATTTGATACTTGCCTTATTTATCTTTTCTTGATAGCCAGCTCATGAAATCCAGTTAGAGATATATAAGAAACATGGCAGAGTGTATGGGTAAGTATCTTTTTTGATTGTTTGAAATTTATGCAATGTTCATCAGCATTATCCTTGTTAAGGTTGATTATTTCAGTAATATATTATTTGAGCAATCTTTTCATCTGAATTATAAACGTAGAAATGTAAGATTGTAAAATTATAGTTAAGGTACAGAAATTTAAAAAAATATTTATTAGATTAGAGATTAGTTAACAGTTTTTTTCTTTCCCTCTCCTTCCTAGATGATAGCAAAATTCTTACTGAAAATGTATACTTAAGTGCTAGAAGAACTTACACAGAGGATCTTAATCAAAATACATAACTAGTCACTTATATGCATATTTCTTTGCATCCACTAGTATGTACATAGAATGATACACATCCCTGGAAGCTCTCAAAGCTGCTGTTTACGACATGAGAATGCACCAACAACGATTTCGTTGATTTTCAACACGTTGTCATAGTTGGTGCCCGTGAGATGAGCCGTAGAATTTCAAAGGTAGAAATGAAATTCAGTAGTTTATAGACGACGATTGCAAGAGTATAATGTGAGTATAAAAACTCCTGCTGAATTTCAAACTTACGACACCAGTCTGGTCATAGAAAGACGTTGGATGAACGTGATTATCGTCGGCTTTTGAAGAATCATTTCACACGATAGACTTGCAGCACTCTAGCAGCTATACTGGAAATCAGTGCTGCTTCAGCATTCGAACTACGGAACTTACTTTACAGAATATGGACTTTAAAAGCTGACGGCCAACTTAGGTAACCCTAATAATCGCGCGAGACAGAGCTATGCATCTTGCTTATTCATGGAAATACCAACGTTGGCCACTTTCTGACAGGAAGAAGTGAATATAGTCTGATAAAAGTCGCATTTGCAACAGTATCGACAGATAGAAGGATTCGTGTGTGGCACAAAACCTATGAGGCAATTAAATTCACCTGGAACTACATTTGCTAAACAACAAGGAGCTATATTGGCTAGTCAAGGTCCGTAACTGTATAGGGTTTGTTCAGCTGGAAATCATCGAGACCCTTGCTAGGATTTTTTGAAGCAGGAGACGTAAAAAATGTGTAGTGCCTCCCCGGGACTCGAAATCTGGATTTCTTGAATACGCATCGAGTGTGCTTCTGTTACACCATAAAGGCACGCAGAAAAGAGGGAGAAAATACCTTATATACTTTCCCTTTGAAACGACGACCTGGGGGTGATGAATTATCGTCAGTTTGGGCGCCACTTGTAGAGTCTTAGTTTTTTTTTTTTTTTTTTTTTTTTTTTTTCCTGATAGAGACGAATGTGCAATGCCGTCGCCGGGAGTCGAATTCTGGATCTCTCGAATACGCGTCGAATGTGCTTCCAATTACACTACGAAACACGAAAGCAAGTAGAAAGGTGGGAGAAAATACCTTATAAGACAATTCATGCTGTTCCTTGAATCATTCAAGCCAACCATTACTTTCTAAAAAATTCTTAATTTCCGATTTCTTTCCGAATTTCTCCCGAATAAGAAGAAATTTTGTAGACAGAAAAGGTCTCCGGAATTTTTATTTATCTTCTTGTTATTGAAGATGAAACAGAGATGCTGAAAGTCGCTTTGAATTTTTGCAAAGTTTATTATTTTAAATACAGTCTCAAAACTCGTTCCAAATATTATAACCCTGCTGCGAATTTTCCTTACTATATTTGTAAAATCCTCAATTGGGTGAGCACGTTTTCCTTATGAACGACAGAACATGATAAAATAATTTTTTTTTTTTTTTTTGCCTAGACCAGGAAATAAAAGCAGAGGGATATCTAGACTTCGGTGGATACTTTCTGGAGAGAAGAATTGTTTGGTTCTTAAAACTAAGAATTGGAGGAGTTTGGCTGCTAGTAGAGGTGGTTGGAAAGGTTCAGAAGGCCTTGGCCCACCGTGGGCTGTCGCTCCATAGATGGTCATGAGACGATGATGATATCTGTAAAGTATTACTAGTTGTTAGAAGAATTTTTGAAGGAAAAGTTAAGAATTGTCTGCGATTAATTGTAATATACAAATGTGATCTTGTGTTGTTGTATTGTCATATGTGTGCATAACAGCGAATAAATAACGAAATAAACTTATCGGCTGCTTATAAAGTCGTCTTCATAATATCATCGACGACTTTATGAATAGGAAAGGAAAATGTTATAATTCAAATTTTACTTCAAACATAAACAAAATGCTTTAATTTATTTTCTGGCATATAATTTTATCATTTCGCTCTATTCTTGGCGAATACAGAGAAGAGCGGCAGACAGGGATTGCCTCTAGCGGAAAAAGCCCAGGTTGGGCAGTTGATATAATAACAACTGTAATAAGACAATTGTAATAAAACATGTACCTATCTCCCTAAAGTGATATTTCTTTATTTCTTTAATAGGCAAATTAAAGTGACGAAAAGTGATAGAAAAGTAGTGCAATGTAGAGAAAACATTTGCATGGAACAACAAAACCTGTTTTCCTTTTGGGAAACGCATAATTTTGTTCATTCCGCGGGTTTGAATGTGATTTGGCAGCCCGCAGTCAGCATTTTGAAAAGGAATGAGTAACCATCATGCACTATATAGAAAACGAATGGAATTGGTTGTGATTCCTCTAAAAAAATCTTAGTATGAGGAGAAACCTACTATTATATTACAAAGGTACTCCATAAATTGAACGCCTTGATCCTACTACTGGGGTGAAAGAAATTTGACTCTGTCGAAGACAATGCATTTTTGCTGGCAATAATATGTTTTTGTGTTTTTGAATGTAATTTATAACAGACAGAATTTAACAGCCAACTGAAAGCAATAACACCCAAGATATTAAAAGAAAAAGGACCTCTCAGATGGAATAATCCACACGCGATAAAATTTCATAGGATTCCAACTAAGAAAAGTAAAGAGCATGGCAGATTCTCAAAGCTTTGAAGATTTCCCTTTCGCTAAATTTCTCTGTTGGAAAGCTTCTTTTTTTCTTCAGAAATTCAAAAGTGATTTAAATCTTCACTGTTTTGTTCAAATCTAGTTTAAATAATGTATGTTTAGTTTAGAAGTCGTACACTCTTTTGTACGACTCCTAAAATTCCAAAGAATGCATTTTTGTGTTTTTGTTCTTGATAATATTAATACGTAGATTAACGTCAGTATTATGAATTAAATATGACTTATTTTTATACTCATTCAAAATGACTGTATGCTTTTACCGAAGCCATCTTTGTAGCAATTTGAAGCCATCTTTTTCAAGCAATTAATATATATTTCTACTTATTTTAGTGGTTTCGAATTCTCGAAACCAAATCTTGCAGTGGCTGATCCGGATCTTTTGAGAGATATTTTAGTGAAAGACTTCCATATTTTCCCATTCAGAATAGTAAGTTTTGTGAAAAGATATCATAATTTGAAATATACATGACATTTCAAAACTGTGCATTTTAATTCTTTTTTTAGTTGCGAGAGTCATAATCTTGTTCAAAAATGAATTTATTGAATATCGAAATCTAATTTCATGTATGAAATTACAATTTTATGGGAAAATATTATGTTATTTTTAGTTACAATTATATTTTTCGGATGGAGTTATACTGAATGACCGTTTTTGCATTAGCATTGTCAGTGCTCACATTGCGCTAATCCATTAAAACGTGTTGCGCCTACCGAAGCACAACGCAAAAGACAGCATTTCTAGAAATGCTTTCTTACAGAACTACTCACATTTCTAGCCGCATTACTCTTACAATTTCCGTTCGACACTGTATTTCGAAGGAAGCATTCACAGAACATAGCGCATCAAGCTACTGATTCTTATCGTTAAAAGGGTTCTTGTGCACTGATACTTTAATTAAACTACATAAATACATTATTTTTTTACATAATTACATTATTTTGTTCGCTAACGGTCATATCGGACATCCTCGTAATTACATTTCCCTTCATTCAATGACAAATTAAAACTTTTTGTTTATTTTGCCCTGTACTACAGGTTGGGAGCCGCTGACGCAAAGAAAAGGAAAGGGGTAAATGAGGAACCATGTAGCTTCGATTCGCATAAGTCAAGGTATTACTGCATTTCGTGCAAAAAAAAAAAAAAAAAAAAAAAAAAAAAAAGACAGGAACAGGAAAAATAAAAGAGTAACTCTTGGTCTACAAAAAACGAGCCTTCGAATACTGGGCAAACAAGATGCAGATCAGTGCGATACATTCTTTCTGAAAATTTATTCCTCCTTTTCCAATGAATAGCATCATCATCATCATAGGGCACCGCCCTGATTCTCCTAGCCGGCCATGTGACCAAAAAATGGGACTGCCCAGAAAATACGTATAAAAGAAACAAATTTATAAAGTCCAAAATCTGAGTCTCAGTGCCGAATTCCAATTCTACCTTTGCTCGTATTCATAATCTTCATTATTGTCTCTGCAAAATCCTTCCGATTTGAATAGTTCCTTTTAAAATCTTTCTTAAAATTCTTTCTATATTTCTCTCTTACACTGCGGGTAAGCGTACATTCATCGACGAAGTGTCTGGCGTCCCCAAACTTATAACATATTAAGCATTTATCATTATTCTGTAGATGGAGCCGAGTAAAATAAGCCGGGAAACCTCCATGATTAGTCAGTATCTGATTTACATCGACATTATTTATATTTTTCATTAAATCTTTTTTCTAACTAGATGACTAACATAGAATATCCCATTTTGTATAAATCCAGTTTTTCATTTCAGTAATGGTTTTTCTTTTGGAATCTTGGGTATTAAAATTATGGGTCCCATTCCCAAGTACCGCCATTTCAGCAAGGGTATCCGCCCACTCATTTCCGTCAATTCCACTGTGTACTTTTATCAGTGTAATTTAACAATATGTTTTCTTTCAGACTTTTTAAACAAGTCTTTTATTTCATTAATCAGTCGATTTTTATGATCTGGTTGAGAGATAGCCTGTAGCACAGAGAGGGCATCAGTATAAATATTTATAAAATATCGAGCTATTAATTTTTTGTTAAACCAATTCAATTTTGTTAATAGTGAGCATAGTTCTGCTTGATAAACCGAATTCATTGATTTAAGCTTTATTCTCACTTTATCAGTCTCCAGTCTATGAAAATAAATTACCGCAGTGATACCCATTCCTTTATCAATCCTAGAACGATCTGTAAAACGTGTATTTCGCAGCCAGAAGGAAAATCAAGATCACAAAATAATCCACATCGTGTCATTGCGTGAATAAAGTCCTCATTCTATTGTTGAAAGGCCATACTCGTAAGCCAATGGAGAGCATATAAACTCACTTGTATTTTTAATCATTAATATAGCATATTACTAATTTCTCATTTCACTAATCCCTGCTTGAAGCGGACAGTACACGACGGAACCTTAAGTTTCACTACTGAATTAATTTCTCATATTCTTTTCCCTCTTCTATTGTCATCTGCTATTATAATGTCAGGTATCTTCTGTTAGCTAAACAGTTATTATGATTTAAATCTTTACTACAGCTTCTCCTTTCCGTATTCCTCATCAGAATCCAAATTAGGTTTGTATGTATTTTAAGTTGAGGGTAATGAATCTTTAGAACGTTTTATAACTCGGCTTAAGTTCTTTGGCTAGCCGATGTTTTAAAATATATTTTAGTAAAATTCTGAACCAGATTAATTTAATCTCTTCTATGTGTAGTCTTAGACTATGTTCCTACGTTTCAATTTAACTTTAGTTATGCTAATTTAAATGTCCAAAAGTAGCGGAAGTTTCGTCTGAAGCTCAAATTATGCCTGTTCTGTTCAACTTTAAATTAAAGAAAAAGGTTATAGTATGTTCAGTATAACCTTAGTATTTTGTGAGTTGTTTAGTACGCATAAGATTAGTCTAGTACGGTTTACAGAACTTGCAGTTTCAACAAAAACTCTACAACGGGAATATGTAATTTTTATAAAATAGTGCTAAAGGTAATATTAAATAACGATAAATAGCTACATTTACCTTCAAGCAATTTTAATCGTAGCACATTCCACAGAAGTAAAATAATAGATTTTTTAATCGTGGCATAATAATATTAACTATCAGTTATAATAATATATTAACACACTATTGATGGTTAATATTGTTATATGATAGACTTAATGCTAGTTTTTATGATCATAGTTAACCCTTTGTTGCAGGATGTATCATTAGGTAATCATCTACTTGGCAAAATGGTCAGCGTACTAAAAGGAGAAGACTGGAAACGCGTTCGGACTGTAATAACACCTGCATTTACATCGAGAAAAATGAGGAAGGTAAGTAGATACGAAAAGTACACGGTTGAATCATATGATTTACCCGTATTTTACGGCATGTCAATCGATATTTTAAGAGAGCGAGCAGAGGAAAACTTGGAAAAGTAATCGACATTAGGGTGGGCATAAAAATTAATTATGCCATCTACTTATATAGCCAACTTAATTATTATGTTCAATAAAATTAATTACATAATTATTCCAAACAAGTAAATTATATTTATCATTCCAAATAAATCATTTTATCATTCCGAATGATGTCTCTTGTTATTAATTACATGAAAGTATTTTTACTTGTGAAAGGACATACAAATATCTGTTTCTGAAAGTTTTCCTCCAAAAAAACATTTTTAATAAAGTTTGAAAAAAAAAAGTGAAAGAAGTACCTTTAGTACGATAGTAATAACCACCGACGTTCTGCCAACGTTTTGGTAAGTTTTTTAAAGCCTTGGACCCAAAAACTTGGTGGCCGCATATACAAAAACCGAGAACCTCATTTTGGGCGTCTTGTGCGGAATGGAAGATAGCACCAGGAACATGTAGCTGCAGTCGCGAAAAAGGTAGAAGTCCGAAGGAGCGATGTCGGGGCTATATGGTGTGGTGTGCCAAAAGATCCCATTTGACTCCATATAGAATCCAGTCAGAGAATGCAGACACATGTGGTCTTGCATTATCTTGATGGAACATTACCTTTTTGCGCCAGAACTCAGTTCGACGTTTTTTCTTGATAGCAGCGTTAACACGGATTAGCATCTCGATGTACACCTCACTGTCGAGGATTTTACTTTCTTTCCAGATACCTTTTGTAGAAAATACCACGCAATATCACCAGATAAAAGCATAATCTTTTTGTCAGTTAAATTGTGCTTTGGTGCTGTCGACGGGCTAACCGGGAGCAGAACAACTCTCTTTTCGGCCTGTGTTGTTGAAGTAAAACCACTTTCCATTACAAGTAAAGATCCGGCCCAGAATTTCGTCCTTGCATTGATTTTCGAGCTGACAGGCCCGAGCACGTCTGTCTTAATCTGCTTGAGTCAGCTCACGCGGTATCCAGGGATTGAACTCGTAAATCAAGTATATGCAATGTATAGCTCGACTAATGAATATGGCGCTAAGGTCTAACTCCTTAGCAAGCTCTCGAGTGGTTGCACACTGATCTTCTTCCACAAGTTCTCGCAGGCGGGCCTCATCAACATCAGTAGGCCGGCAAGAGCGCTCTGCAACTTCGAGCTGACTTTTTGCAGTAGAACTGGAATTAAACGATGGTTCTAATCTGGTAGCGTGATAATTCCATTTCAGACACCTTATATTTAATGATAAGGATATTTTTTTACAAATTTTACAACACAGTGTTTTAAAGCATATCCCTTTCAAATGCCAAAAATCGTTTGACAAAATATGATTAAACACTTCAACGCGAACTGTTTGCGCAGACGATATTTGCAGTGGAAGGGGAACTTTTGTTAAAACCCGATAATATTTTACGCAAATTTGATGAAGGAAGAACATAATGGTAGGCAATTGCCTTGCTGCACAATGAAAATTTTTTTTATTTGATTGTTGATGATAAATAAATTTTTAAAAACATTTTATCTAATTAATCCTTAAATCATATCTGTAGATCTAAAGCCAGTTATTTCAACTGAAATTCAATATTATGTTTTTTTATTATCGTATGTGGATGCTATTTAACTCTTGTTTAGATCGCCTTATGTGTTAGTATTATAAGAAGTTTCACTTCTATTAGCATTCCACAAACAGTCATCATCTCCATCTAAAGAATTTAAAAACTACTTTATTTTTTAAATAATTAAAAAAAAGATTAGAAAGGGATAATTCATAAAGAATATATTATTGAGAACTAGATTGTGAACTCCATATTTTATAAAGACGTAATGCACTTTTGTAGAGAATTCATTATAAAGGGCTGAAAGATTTCAATTGGATAACTTCTTCTTGTTGCATAATAATGTGCCTTACCTTTCTTCCTTGTAAAACAGTTCTTAGCAAAAGACAAGGCGCCAATTCTCATCTATCTCCATTATTTTCCAAACTTGTCTACTCGAGACTACTTTCTGTTTCTTAAAATAAAGTCTTATCTCAGTTATTATTGTAATAGCACAGAAGAAAATTAAAAACCGTAATCTGAGACTTTAACAGTGTTTTGAAATATGAGTTCAGACAGCTGCAAGAATGTCCCAAGCGTTGTAAAGACTTACAAAAGAATCATATATTGAAGGTTAAGGAGTAAGAATATTTTTCCCTCCAACTTTCGATTTTGTATATTCTTGGTCCGATTGTGGCATTTATGTTTAAGTATTTTTAATAAATGTTATTTAATTTACATCTTTCGTTTCTGCCTCTTTTCGTCACAAATTTTGCTCTTTCCTCAATTTATGAAGATTTGAGTGTCAAGTAGTTTTACTATAAAATTAGAGGAATTACGAATAGCTGTGTGAGAGAAATTTGGCTTCACTGTTGCTCTCCGGAGAACCACATTCAAGAACACATTACTGCCAAATGTCTAATATCTTATAACAAGAGCTAGAACTACACCTCCATTGTGCAAAATAACTTGTTTATTAGGGAGTTGCGGTGCAGTCTAGAAGAAACTACACTACCGTCGCGAGTGCGCAGCCACGGGGCCGGGTACTCAGAAGAAGCCGTCACCGAGTATATAGCTACAGCTATGACTCAATGACACCGTACAATAGATAAACCAGGACAGGGCAAACAGGGGGGCGATAGGGCGGACAAACAGTCCAACGCATACCAAATGGTGGTTCATGCGAGATAATGATTTAAAGATGTTAGAGATGTAACGGTTATACATACAATCCCAGGAATAGATGTATAGCAGAGCTCTGCCGGAAAGAACCACAGTATAAAATTACACTAATCATAGAGACTAGCCGTCATAACCGTGGGGCCTTTGCGTCATTACAATGGCGAGCCACCAGAACCACTAGCTGTGAGTAGCTGATCAACTTAAGAAAATGCGAACTTCATAAATAAGGTCCATTTAAGTATAATAATAATACGCACTCCCAGTGAGCAAGTGGGATTTGTCCCCGAGTGATTATCTCAATCTGTTCGCTAGATTTGAGGAATCATTCAAAGATATAGCGTAGTTAAAACGACGAGCTACCAATTTGAGAACCTTCATCCAACAAAGTTGCAGAAGATTGCCCACCAACCTGCAAATAGGCATCGTAATGCCCTTCAAAGTCAACCAGTAACCACCGCCCCGGCTTGCCAACAAGGCAGATGTGGTAGTGTTGTCAACCACCGTGCAACATCACGAATGACACGCCCGAACACAGCTCAGGTTAGGTAGAGGAGCCCAGCCTGGTTACGTAGTGGCGCCACAAAGAGGCCTATAGTCGAGCTAGAGCCGTGAGAGGCTACGTACTCTGCATCACTAGCTCTATAGTCTTCCCATTCTCTCGGATTGGGCTGATCAAACTCCAGGTCCCTTTCCACTACTGCGGCTGGGTCCGAACAACCCGTCCAGTCCCTCTCCTCGAGGTGGCTTAACTATTTACCACCCTAATATCTTACACTCGGAACACGTCACACCAACTATGCGATAGCTCCGGTATAAAGTGGAACTTGGAAGGTTTGGCCTAGTGTCCTGCATTCCACCTTGCGAGTAAAGTCTGCTGCCAAATCCACCACTGGTCTTGGTTTAGATGCTGTGGTTGATAGATTCAGATTTGGTAAGTCTATAAAGTATTTTCTCCCTCCTTGCCGCGTGCCTTCGTGGTGCAACTGAATACAACGGCCGAGTAGCAGTCGGGAGGTCCTGTGTATTCGAAAGTTGGTTAGGATTAGCATATTTTTTTATCTCTGTGCTTAGAAAAAAAGAAAAAAAAAGGGAAAAAATCCTAAATGACTGTGGTACATGTGATAGTATAAATACATGTGCATCACATTCTAAAAATACATGTCATGCATTTTTGAATTTCTGTCTCTGCCTGCGCAAAGCTTGTAGTCTGCGATTAGTTTAGATCAAGTTGTTGAAATTTTAGCAATTTTAAAAATAACTTGTACTTTGTGTCTGTATATTGTAATTGAACCCCTCACAAGTGGTAATGTAGAATTAATTTAAAGTGATTTTAATTTTCCGTCTAGCTGTTTACAGACAAAACCTCTTGTGGTGCTAATTCACCTTTAGAACGTACATAACACCTTATTTTTATTGAAATTAAGCTAGCTAAGTTAATTGAACTCACGTCAAGTGTTATACAAAAAATCTGACCATGTAATGTGCATATATATATATATATATATATATACACTGTCTCTAAAAATTAAAAATTATTTTTAAAAATTGATATTTATAAATTATACTTTTATAGAATCAAAATTTTATGATTTATGTTTTTCTTTTTTATTTGCTAGTGCTTTAACTCTTTCTCTTTAAAAAGGCTTCTCTGTCGCTACGCCTTTTTCTTTTTGAAGGGGGGAATATGTAAGATAAAAATATATGAATCAAAATTATAGATTAAACTATAAAACATTAATTCTTCCTCTTTATTCTAAACTCGTAATAACTTCTCTGCATTGCGTCATTCAAATTAATCATGCGATCTTACGTAACCGCTAATGCAGATGCCTCTTGACCAATCACCAAATAACAAACAAAAACTTTCCTCTTCGAGGGCTTCCATCTTTCATAACGACGCACTTCAGCTTTTGCTCTGTACTGTGCTAAGATGTAATTTCGCTGGCTTGCTTGCTTGCTATCCCAACAATATCAAAAATGTAAATCTTCTGCGGAAAGGCACGACTAGAGTGCCAAGTGATTGTGGCCACAAATATCAATTGGAAATAAAAATGGAATTAAAACTGCGTCGACTGCCAAGTTCTTTAAATACTACGCAATCAAAATGCTTCTTCAATATGGATCTAAGCACGCATCTACAGTGTTCTGCTTTTCCTTTTCCTTTGCTCTTATTATGACAATTAAGCCTGAAACCTCAATGGAAAATTTAATTCAGCTCTTCAAATCATCGTTTTGTGATAAATCCAAGATAATATGAAAGAAGTAAATCATCAAGTTTGTTTTTTCAGTGTTTAATAAATAACAGATCATTCTTCTGCTGTGGTGTTTTGCAAGTGCTTCAAAAAAATAATCACGCGTAGTGTTTACAGATTGAAAGTAATCTCTTGATAAATTGAGAAGTTCGAATGCCTAGTAAAAAGGAATATTGAATTTGCTTCGCCGATGTCTACAATATTTAGAAAAAAAGTGCTTTAAATCATCAGTGTATTACCATTTAGGAATTAAGCATTGCAGCGGGTTCAAGGTCGATCTGAGTTAGTGTTTGCAAGTATGTGCGACAGAAAATTATTTGCACTTCCGCTTTTTCAACAGCTCAAAAATTGTTACATTCGTGTGACTCTAACTCAGGAACTAAATCATTTAATAAGCTGCGGATTCTATAGTTTTCATTTCAACTTTGGTTAAAATTTCTGAAATTTGTTTTGAGAAAGTCTGAAATTCTTGTTCATTAATGTTTCTAATTTTTCATATTTATGTGTGAGCAAATTAAGTAATTAATTTTAAGCTATTTAAATTATTCATAGGGAAGGATATTAAGATAAGTTTTTATGTTTTTGAAATTTTGTTGAGAATTTTGAATACGAATTTTATAATTATTCTAAAAATAAGTGAAATTAGTACAGATACGTAATATGAAATTATGGTAAATGCATGTTAAATTTATGGATGATTGTATGTTAAATATAGTGTATGTCGAGGGAGTACTGGTTCCTTCAACAGAGGCCTGTTATTACCTCTGTACAGTTGTTCCTTTTACCCTCTTCATGCAAGAAAATGTTGGAGGCTCTCATTTTATGAATGCATGTAAATATTTTATATTATTATTATTATTATTATATTTTTTTATTATGGAATGTATTAGTGCAGTTCTGAAAGGCCAGTTACCTTAATGTAAGGAACGGAGGCTTGTTCAAGTAACTGTCTTGGCACCCTGGGCCACCAGTGCAGAGAACACACTGGTTAGCTCAAGAGGACAGCCCTATTGATGGATATGTTTGTTTAGAAGTATTGCGAGGCTTCCAGTTTGGTAAAATCAGGAATTGTAAATGAAAGATGATAACGGTGAAACCATAAATTCTGAAAATCTTAATCCTATTATTTATGATGTTAAATTATAATTTATACTACGATAGAAATAAGTATCATAAATATTTTTGTGAATTACATTTAACTATAAGTAATGATTATGTAAAAGTTTATTTTGTGATATTCTGCGATAACAAAAACTTTCCCTGAAGAATTATGATTATGTGAACTCTCAAACAAAAAGACTTTTGGACTGAAATGCTGAAAAATTCAATAGGACTCTAAAAGTTAAAAATTTATTTAAAAAAATTGATCTTTATAAATTATACTTTACAGAACAATAATTTGATGACTTATGTGTTTTGTTTTTTTTTTCTTTACATTTGCCTAGTGCTTTAACTCTTTCTCTTTAAAAAGGCTTCACTGTCGCTACGCCTTTTTCTTTTTTGAAGGGGGGGAATATGTAAGATAAAATTATATGAATCAGAATTTTATTAAAATTATTCATATAATTAAATATTAATATAATTAAGATTTATTAATTAAAAATAGAATCAGATATTAAAAACTAAACATTAATCTTCTCCATCTAAATCGTATACTATGCATGCGCTCAATATACATCTATAACCTTATACAGGAAAATAGAAGGGCTAGGTCATTCCTTTGTTCGACTCCTCGCCGACGCGAGTCTCATAGAGGGGGGGAACCGGGAGTAATCTGACGTATCTCTGTTGCACCTGCTCTGATTTCGCGCCTTTAAAACTGTAGTTTCATTCAGTTGCGAGACGATTTTTTGGAGATCGCATATCCCAAATTCATTTTAATCATACATATTTGTTTTCTAATAATGCAAATATTTAAAATAATTTGTGTATATATAGTTTTAGTCAGTTTTCCTTTTAAATTCTATATTTAAAGTATCCTTTATGTAATATGGCTTCTTGTGCTGTAGCAACGTGCCGTAACACTTATAGAAATACGAAAGGAAGAGATATTGTATTTCATGCTTTCCCCAAGGACAATTTGCTTTTGACGAAAGAATGGATACATAAATGTCGAAGACAGGATTCTATTAATGTGAAAAGCAAGAATTTGCAGCGAACATTTTCTGTGCAGTGATTATGAAGATGACATGAGAAATCGCTTGCTTGGATTGCCGCAAAAGAAACTGTTGAAATGCAATGCTGTGCCGAAAGTAAATTTATCGTGTGCAGTAAACAAAATAACACCAAGAAATCGGAGACATTTGAAAAAACTAATGCAGAGTGCTTTTGAAAGACTACACGAATTAAGCCCAAAGAAAATTTATTTTGAGGCCGAGAACGAAATTGAAGCTGACAATAATAAATCAAATGTGAATGATTTTGAAATAAAACTCACAAGTGACAATGCCCTATGTGACAATATCCCTGAGTGCCCTAAGTGTAAAGATAAACAAGAATGTATTGATAATTTGAAGAACAAAATAATATCCTTAGAAAATTGTAATAAAATATTGAAAAATAGAGAAAAGAAAGATTTTAGAATGTTTGCTCAGCGACAAAGAAGGTGGACGACATCTAGAAAGAAATTTGTATCGGAAATTCAGAAATTAAAATCCCAAACAGCGAAATTTAGGAAAAAACAGAACAGATCGGAGAATTTGGAAAAACGTCTAAAGCATATTTTTACAAAGACGCAGATTAACGCATTGCTAGAAAAGAAGGAAAAAATCCGGTGGACTAGTGAAGATATTTCACGTTGCATTGTCATAAGAGCTCTGTCATCTAAAAGCTACGATTTTTGGAAAGAAAAAATGGGAATTCCTTTACCTAGCACTAGCACATTTATATGCGGATATTTAGGACTGCGCTAAATTTTCATGTAGCCCAGGAATTCAGAGTGATGTTCTTGCTGTAATGAAGGAAAGATGCCAATATTTGAATTCTGCAGAAAAAATATGCGTTCTCAGTTTCGACGAAATGCACATAGATTCTAAACTCTGCTATGACTCTAAACTGGACCAAAATCGGTCCTTTTCAAAAAGTGCAGTTTGTTTTAATCAGAGGTCTCATTTCGCAGTGGAAACAACCAATATTTTTTGATTTTAACACTCCAATGAAGAAAAGAACTTCTTTTTTCACTCATAAGACATATTCAATCATCTAGAGTAGAAGTGAAAGCAATAGTGTCTGATTTAGGAGGATCTACTACTTTGTGGAAAGAGTTACAGATTTCGATTAATAGTTCTCATTTTCCAAATCCAGTATTCCAAACGAAAAAAATATGGGTTTTTGCAGATTTAGCGCACTGCCTCAAATTACTGAGTGTTGGTGTATTTAATTATGACAAAGCACACTAGGGCTATCTGCCTAAGGGGAGGGATGCCTTCGTGGAGGACTTTCTAAGGGAAACTGGCTCGTATACACGTTACACATGGGGAAAACCACGAAAACGCCCATGCAGCCAGCCCGTTCGCGGGATTCGAACCTCGGACCGAACTACCAGTGTTCAGCGACTTTACCGCTCGGCCTCTGGTGGGCTCAAATTACTGAGAAACCACTTTTTAGATAAAGGATTTGTTTTAGAAGATGGAACTGTTTTAAATGTTGATATTATTAAAGAGAATTAAATTGTGTCACAAACTAAAACCAAATTATTTAATGGTCAAGGGAAACGAGAGACAAAAAGTAAGTATATATAATATGTTTTGATTTGAAATATTTCTAGATTGCATTTTAGAAGTTAATAGCGTAAAGCATATTTCAAATGAGAACTAATTCTGTTAAGATATTGTTACAGTTATTTTTATTGTATCCTCTGTTATTATTGATTCAATTTTGTGCTAGCTTAGCATTCTAGATAAAATATATATAAAGTATAATATTAAAGTAATTGGCATAAGAAGACCTGCCCCCTTAACCCCCACTTTTGAAAAATTAAATAATTATTTTAGGTACTGTGAATAAAGTTGTTTTGTCTAAATTAAGATAACAATCTTACATGTATTTATTTAAATGAAATATTGATGTAAGCCTAAGTTACAAAATTATTTTTTAAAAAATATATGTTATTATAATGAATCGGGAGAAAAATATGCTAATGTAAAATTTACAATTAGGCTGAAACTCAAACTTAGATTAGCAGAAATTTTGCCATATATAACCATACACGTTTAAAACTATGCCAATTTAAGGTTATTATTTTGATTAATTTTAAATAGCTGTTATTATAGTTATCTTAGCAGTAGTACAGTTCTCTTAGTTAACATGCAGATAAAGAAATGATTAGAAACAAACAGGCATTTAAAGAAAAAAAAATCCCTGCAAATAAAAAAAGGAACTTTATGCTAAGAGTAGCGCATTTTATCTATTATTTTAAAATTGAGTAAGTACTATTAAATTTTGTAATGTTCAGTGTAAAATGCATACTGCAGTAACATTGTCTCTTCCAAATTATAGCTACCTTTCACACACAGCTCATTTTAAACGCTGATTCTTAATCAGCGTTTAAAATAATTATTTTATAGATAGTTGACATTGTAAATCAGTGTGCCAAAACAGTAATGGAAACTTTGGAAAAGCACGCAAGAGACAAAAATCCAGTTGACTGTAAAAGGTAAGGCTCTTTTCTATTTACAAACTCATCAGATTGCATGTGTCTAATGTATTGTTACAAATTTATGTAAATGCGGCACTGTAAATGTTGCTTTTTCATACATGACTTTAATGACTTTCTTCAGAAATTCCAAAACTATCCAAATATCGAAATCCAAGTTATGTGTTCATCTACTAGAAAACTCAGAATTCTCTTCCCTCCTTAATGTTAAAGAGAAAACGTTGCGAAAAACGATGATCAATAAAGAAATAAGTTTATTTTAGTCAGTTTAGCGAAATAATCTAAAAGTTTAATGCTATTTTTTAAAACTTTTGTTTAATTGTTCTTCATGATAGCTTTTGTGTATATTTTTTTAGAGTTATGGGGTTCCAACCTTTTATCTAACAGCTAAAATCGTATAGGAACCTCGTGTACACTTAAGCGCCCAATTGGGCTTGAACTCAAAGTCATAAGAAGTAAAACTTAACTAATGCTTAACTAGAAAGATATAGCCGAAGCTATCAAGATTTCCAAGTAGTTGGACTCTAAATGATATGATATGAGGGACGTAGCCTGACCCTCCTGGCAGACTTTAGGTCGCCCTATGGCCTTTTTGCGGGCTGCGTCAGAGCAAGCTAGAAACAACACCTTCAACAAACAGACATGAAGAACATAACTAAAAAACAAAATTAAAATTAAAATCCCTACTGCAAGCTTATCATGATTAATCTTCTCCATCATTTTCTGGCAAATTTTTTCAGTCTTTTAAAATATCATAAAATAAACATATAAATATTAAAAACGTCATCTTTCTTAAACTCGTTCCTGATATCAGTAAAATATTTACATGTTTCCACATAATGCACCGAAGTGCCCGGCTTTTAACAGATATCACAGAGGTTAGGCTCTTGTAATTTAAACCTTTTAAAATAAAAAGGAAAACGGCCATGACATGTAATGATTTGGTTAACGTCAATGTCTGAATAACATAAACCTTTTAAAATAAAAAGGAAAACGGCCATGACATGTAATGATTTGGTTAACGTCAATGTCTGAATAACATAAACCTTTTTTAAGTTTAAAAAATTTCATATGGCCTTTATTTCGATCAGACCTTTCCCATTCCTCTCTCCATTTATCATAAATATAATTGTTCATAATAGTCACAGCTTTCCTTGTTGACTCCTGTACATCAGTATCACGAGCATTAAAATCGGTAATTGCCTCCTTGGCCAGTGCGTCCGCCCTCTCGTTTCCAAAATGTCCAACGTGTGCCTTCACCCAGTAAAACACAATATTTTGATCTTTTCTCAAGTCTTTATATATTTCTCTAATCTCTACTATTAAAGGATTGTCTTGATCGGGTCGTGAGAGAGCTTGAAGAACTGTCAGACTGTCAGAATAAATATGTATATCATATTTCCCTTTAAGAGTCTTCTTAATCTATTTCAATGAATAAAAAATACCCATAGCTTCCGCTTGATAAACTGCATTATAAATATTGACTTTAAATTTATTATTCTCAATCTCTGTTCCATAATACTATATAACATATGCGAAAGCAATGGTGTCTCCCAGACCTGACCCGTCTATATGTCAATTTCTCCTATTTTTGGAACATCCAAATAATACGGAATAAAATTCCTTTCAGCAGGGTGAATCAAATTTAAATCAAATTCTTCAAAAGCACACCGTGTTACAATAGAATCTCTATATAATTTAAAATCAATATTTCCTGTTCTTAAACGAAATTTATGGGACGAGAACCGGTACTTTCAGCATGGTACAAGTTACCTGTTTCGTTTTAATCTAAGATCAAACAATTTATGTGAATGTTCAAAAAGAGTGCCTCAGGATATGGAACATTTTATTTTCTCATGCCCGACATTTGATGGCCCTAGATTATGCTTATAGAACGATTTGAAAATGTTCGGAGTGACTGGCCAGTAAACTTATCTGTGTTATCTAACTAAGTCCAGAATGCTGTTCTCTGCTTTCGTTCGTTTTATTTATGCATGCAACTTTTAATGTTTTAGTTAACTTACTTCTGTAACCCCCTTGTTATATATATGTGGTGCACGGGGAGTCTGTATGTTTTCAAAGAAAAAAAAAACGAAATTTATCATAATAAAACAGAAATAGTTTGGGGAGAGTGGGCCCCTAAATATCAAATAAGCTGGCGAAGCTATTAAGAGTCTGAAATATGGCCGAGCATAATAGATAATAGCTTAGAGAGAGCGTAGCCAAAAGGCGAACGCGCGCTAGTCGGAAACTCTGGCTCTCTAACGAAGTCAGTGGAACTTAAATACCACTATTTCTCACTTGGATTAAACGCGATTCTAAAAACACATTCTGGTAGGAAATTGTAAAATGAAATTAGGAAGGACAGGAACGTAGCTTTAACTAAAGATAGCTGTTAAAAACTTAGGATAAACCTTACAGAGTTTCTAATATTAAATGTTTTGAAGAGAATATTAAAGAAAATACTTGCTGTTTCCTAGGCAGATTTCCCATTAATATTCTTCTTCATAGTATAGTTTCTTGGCTCTGCTGTTTATAGTATGTAGGTCGAGTATATTAAGAACTCATGAAAACTATTCTTTTACTTTCAATGGATCACGGCAAATCATTCACAGACTATAGACATATAGTCTGTGAATATTACATATATTTACATTATTATACATTTAAATTATTTACATTATTTTATATCATAAATATCACAATCATAAAACGTTAAATTGAACGAACTGCTTTGAAACTTACACATTCAAAAAATTAGTTTTTGTAGCAATTTGATAGTTGTAGCTGGCGTAAGTTCAAGTATTATTCCGATCACATAAAGCATAATATAATAAATAAATGAAAGAAGGATTTTGCTACACTGTTGCCCATAAATTTAGGAAAAGTGAAATGAAATACCGATAGAGAAAACCTATATGAAGAATCCCATTAATTTTCAGAAAAGCGTAAATTACTCAAGTTCTTTTATAACTTCATAAACGGGTTTTGTACGAAACCCATTTCCTTCAAGAAACTTGTATACGACAGAGCGTACCAAAACGTAGGTATCAGGCAACAATGGATTAAATTTATCAATATGTCTCTATGACTATGCAGATTTTGCGATATTCCAAGCTACTTTTGTGATAGTGTCAATTATTTAGGTGGGCTGCTTAACTAAAAAACTATTGTTTTTCTAAAGCAGTTACATGGGTGGCGAGTTGGGGCAGAAACAAGTTTCCCTAGAGCTTTCTTTACATCTGTGCTGCATCAAATTAAGCTATGGAGTCAGGTTGGACTACTGATGCGCAAATTGATCTCCTCTTTTAATTATATTGTTACATATTAGTCGACCTCAATAATGAGAAAATATCGTCTTATACCAAGAATATTTCTTCAGATATAATTGAATATGGATATAGTACTTAATAATTCGCAATGTAGTATCTATAAATCCGAGCTTTCCCATTTATCAGAAAGTACAGGCCTTTCTTCTCTCTAAATTAAGGCCCCTTCAAACATGCATACCACTACAATAACATTCTCTTTGATGACTGTTATAGCATTCTCTTTAGATCAAATAACTTCATCTGCCAAAGAACTGGATATAAAATAGTAGTTTTAGTCCAATTTACATGAATATGCTACTTAATTTAACCATACAGTGTAGTATAAACGCAGGAAAGAACGATTTAAGTTTATGAGAGAATGAAAGAAGATATCGAAGTAAGAAATGTTTGTAAGATATTACTGAAGTTGCTATTCAGTAGATCTTAGAGGCTTTTATGTCATCGTCTATCTAATGCCATTTTCCCTGCAAATGTATTTTTTTCTAGAAATTTATTCCTTGCACAGTTGCTGTAACGCAAGTCTCCTTTGTTCGAAAGTTCCGTGGCCTAACTTAGAAGTTCATGTTTAGAAATCAATTTGAGAGAACTTTTCCTGCTATATACTAACTAAGGAAGAACTCATTCAGTTAGCATGACAGGTCTCACTGTGGGATTTAGCTTTCTTAGCTGTCATGCGATGCAATTAAATTTACATAAGTTTTAATCCTTGCGATTTCTCGCAAAGACTTGAAGATGAATGCAATAGAGGAAGGGTGGAAAAGACTGTTTTACTGAACACAATATTTTACAGACGGCACGGACATACGTGCTTACAGTTACCGACCACCTGCGATGAGAAATTAAAAAGATAACGTAACACTCAGTTTGAAGGTAAGAGTAATGCAAGACTACACAATGCAATTTAATCTAACAGGTTGACTCAGAACTTACACCGGCAGGTTAATAATTCGACGGCAAAAATGCGAAGCCGATATTCAAAGTTAACAACTCATAGAAATAGTAACGTGCACTTACAGTAGCGATACCACGCTCTGACTACATTTTTCCTTACATCAGTTTAAATACTCTCGTTCACCCTAAGTTACGTACTGGAGAAGAAAGGCGAGGGGAATAAGAGAAGACTTTGGCTAACAAATAAAAATAAAAATAATTGACACCCTTACATCACTAATCCAGCTTGTCTAAGTAGTTATTTATGCTGCAAAGGTTTCATTTCGTTGGAGATGTAATGTCTGAAAATGATTTCTACAAAACCGCTGCTTCGAATGTCTGTATTCGCTTTCGTAGCCTAAAATAATGGCACTCTCCGAAATATCAGATTTTAAAGCTGCTTTTTGACAACGTAGTTGGTGATTTCCAGGACCTCAAATCTAAAAACGTAAAATTTGCACATATAGGATAAAATGTAGCACTGAATTTTAAAATACATGAAGAAATTTGTATAAATAATAGTCCCTCTCGAAATGAAGCATCTTTAAAATGTATTTTGTTTTGAAAGTTTGCTAAAAGGAGTAATGCTTGTAGGTTAGATGTTGAATTGAGATATACTGTAAAGCCGTGAACAGGAAAAACCATCTCAACAAAGTGAACTGAAGAATACAACAATGAAGTGCATTGGAAGAACGTTGAAAACCAGTCAAAGACAAGCAAATTAATGGACATGTAATATGATATACAAGCTTTGCAATTATTATCAGAGAGATGCAGAAAAAGCAGCATGAAGGGGTTTGCGTACTGGACAGATCCTATAGATGATATTATTTTGTGTTAAAATATACGTCCGTTTATCACTGCAGTAGAAACTCTTTCCTTGCCTACCGATGGTAATGTTCATTAATATTCAACACACTTCATTAAGATATCCTATAAAATTGAAAATTGTTTACAGCAACAGCCTATTTAGATCACCATATTTAAATTCCATATTATACAGTACCATGTAGAGACAAGTTTTAATTGCCACTTTAGTTCGAATCATATATGAATTTCTTTCATTTTAAAATTATAATAACACATGCAGTAATTTGCTTGAACAATTAAACTTATATTTGCTTGGCAAGATTCATAATTCCTAGAATATAATACGTGTCTGATTACTAATTTCAGGCTATTTGGAGCTTTCACCATGGATGTTATTGCAAGTGCTGCCTTCGCTACAAAAATAGATTCTCATAATGACCCGGACAACATTTTCGTGAAACATGCAAGAGAAAGCTTTGAGCAGGTTCCTGTTTTGAGAGCCTTAATAACTTGTAAGTAGGTTTGAGTGACTACACCAAAAAAATTCTGAATGCATCCCTTATATTAGTACGCTCAAATATTTTCTTTACAACGGAAAATTGCATAGGAATTAAATCGAGTCTTCTATGAATGAACAAAATGGCGTATGAAGAGCTAAGATGAGTTTAAATTGCCCCCGTCAAAATTAAAAATAAAAACATATTAATAGTGTCAAGTGATCTCTGTTGGTCAGTGTTTCAATGGCCTCAGGTGAGTATGATTAAAAACCATCAAATGTTCCAAAAATATAGCTCAAATAGTATGACTAACATCGTCAGTTCCTGATAAGACCCTTTTCTCCAGATATTCAAATGTCAAGAATGTTAGTCCACAGTAAACACCAGTAAAAGAATATATTTTTCTATTTATGAATGCGTGGACTGAATTCAAAAGCTTCTTTCATACTGTTTATGTGGTAGAAGCTTTTGTTTAGCAAATGTGGTAGAAACAGTGACAATATCTATTTAGAAAGACGGATATTTTCGTTTAGGATCTTTTAAACAAAACTGCATCATATTCACTTTATAAAAGGACCGATTACGCCTGAGGAAGCAGGAATCGCAGGAAGTTTTGAATTCCGATTCTTCAGAATTTTCTTTCTTTGAATTTCAAGATATCTTATTTTAGAGAAAAATTCATTTGAAAAGTAAAAATTTAGCGAAGGTCTATAAGGTATTTCACCCACCTCCATAGTATGCTTTCGTGGTGTAATGGTTGACACGCTCGGCGCGTAATCGAGAGGTCTGTGGTTCGAGTCTCGGCGAGGGCATTTGCTCATTTTTCAATCACTCCTGCTTCAAAATAACCTAATGACTCTTCCAAGTCTTGCAATCTGAAGTAATTAATGTTTTTGGATATTGGGTACTGAATATTACTGAATAACCCTTGGAGAAGATTTTACTGCATAAAGCTTCTTTAAAAGTTTATTAAATATAAAAAAATCATACAAATAATTTCCCTTTCTTCTTACAAAATACTATCTACTGCTGCCAATTTATGAGTCTAAGCTTTTACTGTTGAATAAAACTCAAACCAAGCGCTAACAGAATTTCATTTTTAAATAATTTCTTTTTGAACGTAAATTAATATAATTAGAAAAAACCATCAAATATTCAAAACGTATATTACCGCTTGAATAAAATTAGATACAGGAAAAAAAAGGCATCAAATAAAGATTTTATAAGAAGTGATTTTCTAAACTGGACTAATTGTAAAGGAAGACAAGAGAAGGAAAAATACAATTTCTTTTGAAGTTCGAGTAACTTATTTATATAAAACACATCTGGGTTGAACTGACAAAGGAAAGTACCATATAAAATATAAAGTTACGCAAGAAAGCAACCTTAGATTGGAGTCAGTTTTGATTAAATTTCTATCGATTTAGACAGGCGATCAGATACAGGTTTCATTCAAAATCACCGCAATATACGACTGCTTTCTCGTCTGATTTTAAACTTATTAGGGCACCTTTTCTCAACTTTTTTCAAATGCAAATTTAAACCATTTTTATTAAATTGGAATATTCTGGTAACCGCATTACTTTTATCTTTTTCGAAAGCAATTTTTAGCGTATATGAATAGCAGTACATTTATATTTTTAGAATGAATTAAAATTAATTTAATTTTATATTAAGTAATTAAGATAACAGAAGAAATTTTTTGGATTCATTCATTCAAGGTTATTAGAGTTTTTGGATAGGCTTTATTATATTAATTAAAAATTAAATAAATATTTATGCTCACATTAATGAGATGGAAGAGGCTGTGAATCACTCTTGGGAAAAATGGTGATTGACGATTGTCCTATCTAAATTACAAACTCTAAGATTTTCAGCTACAGTGTGGTTTATGTAGTTAACCTGAAATTTATTTTGTTTTTTCGTTTTTGGAAAGAATCACAAACGCAATCTTCTAGGACTACTTAGGGCCCGCGGACCATAGACTAATAAAAGCTGTATTAGGGTATTTTGAAGTATTAACAGATGCATAATGACATCTGAAATGTTTTATTAAATGAAATAATGCACTAATGTTTAGTAAAATTCAGAAATAAATTCTGATATCTAATTTAATTATTCCTTCTAGAATTAAGCCATAAAATAAAATTGTTTACTCAGAAATTGAAACGTAAAGTCTAATATTTCATATCAAAGAACGTCATTTAATTTACGTAATTTTTTAAAGACGTTTAAAATTACGTTGAATTTCAACCTTTGATGGTAAGGTACTAAAGTATATTCAGTTAAAATGACGAAGAGAAAAGCATAGATCTAATATGAGATAAACAACACACATTTCCGAATGTAACCCAATCCATGCGTAAGCCCAGTGTTAATCCTTAGCTCAAAAATTCAGCTAAAAATTCAAAACTCTTGTTTAAATCTAATTTAAAAGAACCTTAAAATTTCAGCTACCTTCGCCAAAATTTCGAGTAATAAATCATATAGGTTATCAGATGAGATGAATATAAGTACCAAATTCACATCCATTCAAGAAATAGATCAGAAACAATCATCCTATGATTAAAGACAGTGTTGCGTTACCAATGCTCTGAGTGGAACTGAACATGATTTTGCTTACGAGCGGATGACAATAACAGTAATGGTGGAAAATGAAGAAAGCTGGTATTTACTTGGACTGGACTGTAAGTAAAGAGATCCAAAATTGTTAGAAAATTTTCACTTGGGTATTAATATTGAGAAATTCGGTTTATATATGCTAGGTGTGATTAAAATAAAAATAAATGTACGCAATTATTCAATATTTCTTCGATTATTAATCTCTGTGAGCGACATACTTATAAGTTATTCTGAAAACTATATAAGCCAGTTCCCAAATTTCAATAACAAAACATTGGCTGAAAATTCTCGGATTATGATCGGAAATGTGTATTTTATTGCAATAAATTCTTTCAGCGCTTCTTCCCCAGTGGCTAACATTGAAGTTAAGAATAGGTAACTGGAAAGCAATTGATTTCTTCCATTCCGTAACTCTGGAAGTAATAAAAGAAAGAAAAAGAAAAGGTCAGGTAAGTTGAAAATAATTTTTAATTTTGTAACATAAGAAGAAGAAATAGGGCAACCGTGAAAGTGTTGTAATCACTCTGTAAAATCATTTTAATCACAGATTTTTCTTTAATGTCCTACAAGAGATATTGGACACAATATAAAGTAATTAGGAAAGATAACCATAATTTTTAAATCATATTCTTTAAAAATTTTCACTGAGCTCTGAAAGCTCTCACGCGAACAAATAAAAATAGCATTGCCAAACATTAAATACATTATTCCCGATTTCCAAAAATTCGTAGGAAGCCATTTCGACTATTCCCATCTTCGTACGACTTTAATCAGCCGAAATATTAATTGAAAACTCTAAAAGCGCTAATTTTCGCACTCATTTTATCCGAGTGGCAACGGTCTCGCGGATTGAAGTTAAAAATGCTTTATTTCGAAAACTATTTCTACTACTGTTAGCTTTCAAATCGTAGAGTTTTAAAGAAAAAATTTGTGATTTTTATAAAATTTATACATATAAAGAAGAATGCCTGAGTGCTTCTACTTTTGTTTGTTTGTTCGCGTTATTGATTTCTGATGAATTTTTTGCCACATTTAATCGACTAAAATTGAATATAGGTGAAATATTGGATGGAACTTTAGCTTTTACGACCATTTGATTTTACCGACGAAAATCCTTAAAAACTGCATGCCAATGTTGCTGATATAATGAGAGAGAATTAGCTTATTTTTCGATCGAAATTTTTTATGTGAATTCGCATTAGACTGAGAAATGTGTGACTATGAATCGTATTTCTTGCATCGTTATTAGAGAACGATTACAGCGATATCGTTCTCTCTGTAGTTAGATGCATTACTCTCAATCTAACTTAACTGGCATCGAGTACTTCCGCTAATTACTGATATTTTAAACAAACTTATTGTACAGTCTGAATTCCTAAAATAATTAACATATGTAAATAAATATGAGCTCATTTGGAATTAATGTAGGCCGTAGGAAAAGAAATACCATTACGGGCCGTATGCAGAAAACAAGCCAGCAGCTGCCCAATATTGATATAGTAATTAATTGATACTATTTGTATTATCTCTTATAGATAGTTAGTATATGGCAAAAATACCTGCTTCATTTTTTGGTAAATAAATGGTGTCCTCTATACTTCTACCTATACCTATAGTTAACTCGTATTGATAAATTTTGTGAAATTTTGCTTAATTAATCAAAAAATTCACCTATTACATATAATTGCTTACATCGGTAAAGAATATTGTTTTGGTACTGTGCTTAATAACTTAATAAAGAATTTTATTTTGATTCTCTTAGAAGCTCAGTGATATCCTGCAATTAATGATGGATGCCGTTGATGAGATGTCATATCAGTCCCAGATACCAAAGAATGCCATGGAAACAGACAATGATGAAGCAGATCAATTCGGAAGCGTAACGAACCATGAAATGTCTCAGCATCTCAAATACAACAGTAAGTGAATGAGTTCTAGCTATTATTTTACATCTGATTCTTAACCAGATTCTGTCTCTTATATCACTTTAGCCGCTATTTAATCAAAGGTTGAAACTTAAAACATACAAAATTTGAATTCAGTAACATAAATTTATTAAGAACGTAGTCTGTGTTTTACATAGTAAAATTCTAGCTAACACAGGCGCTGGTAAATACATAGAATAGTTTAACATATTTTTGCAATTTCTCTCAGCAAAGAACTAAAATATAAACAGGAATGCTCGCTTGCGAATTTCACTTAAATTCTTAATTAAAGAAAATTAATTTAAAACACCTTATAAAGAATTACCGCATCCCTCTACACTTACCTCTTCTCTGAAGATGGTATACCAGATCCGACTGGCAAGGGTTCGACCCCATCCTGTGGTTCGAATCACAGTGATAGTATTGTTGGTTTTCACGTTTCCAGCTCCAAAACAACAAATGATCTGTACAGTGCATCCCCAGTAAAAACGTGGTGGACGATGATTCGTTACCACTTAGACCTAGTTATCTGTGCAATATGCCATTTCCCAGTCGCTCTTTAAATGAGGAAGAATGTACTGAATGTTCGCATCTCCACGCGTGCTCTTGTAGTGCAAGTGCATTTGGAAGAATCCCTGTGAAAGCATAATTTACTTTCAATGGTTCTCGCTTCGCAGAAACTTTACAGTCTGTATTATTTAGCTCAACGAAGCAATAATTTCTGGATCATTATTTTTTAACCGTGGGTAATTTTATACTAATCAGTAAAGTTTAGAGTTAACAATAGGGACAGCAATCAGACTGGAGTACGATAACATGCCCTCGTTCTTGTCGAAACAATTTGTGAGTTAACTGTTACATTTTGGCTTCTTCGTAATAGATCTTGTATTTGTTTCATTTGCATAAAAATTCACAATTTTTAAGATTTTAGAATTCCAGCCTCTGGGGCTTTACACACATATTAACAATTTTTCAGTTCTCAGTGCAATATTTCATGGTAAATTTACTTCAGTACTATGAATTACTCAAATAAATTTAATTTCAAAATCTAAATTTAAACTAAAATACTTAACTTTAATTTATGGCTTGTAGTTAAAAACTAAAGAAGTAACTAATAATTTACTATTACTTGCAGAGCCGATATGGATTTAGAAATTAATTGAATCCGAGAAGAACGTGGTTAAGCTCAAGTAACTGAAGTCAGAGATTACTGCGCTCTCAGACTCTCAGCAATTTCAGACTTGAATGTCTTTAGGAATTCAGATTTTGACTTAACAAAATGGCACGTGCTAACTAGCCTACTGAGTTTTTCAGAAGTGGATCAGCGACGCAATCCTATGGAATCTAAGCCTGTGTTATAACTTTTTTTTTTCCTGTTGATACTTTTGATGCTCGAAACGTCACGTCAAATATTTGTCTAACTTGTATCTTTTGGACGTGGTGAAATGAAATATGAGAATGAATGTAAAATAATTAATTTAAAGAACTAGTTGCATAAAATAGAATTTGAGTTGTGACCAGTTTATACGTAGCGGGTAATTCATTTTGTGCCCACATTAATATGCCTCGTGTAGAATTAATCAATAACTTTTGCAAAAAATTAAAACATGCTTCATCACTTAGCAAAATTCTTTTTGATCTCCATTTTTTTAATATTCTCTTCAGAAAATTAATGACAAGCTTCGAGATGCCACAGAGTTAGTTACAAATCATTACTTGTCATTAATAGACATCAGTATAACAATCAGAAAGCTGAGATAAATAAAATTTCTTTTAAATATCACTGAAAAAAAAAAGAAAATATTAAACATTTTCTCAGCTTTCTATTTTGCACTATAGTCTCTATACCACACTATACAAAGAGACAAAATATTCCTTTCCCCAAATTCCAAGACAGAATTCTAAAACCTCCTAAAACAAAAACAGGTAATATAAAAATTTTGTTAAGTCAATTCCTACTTAGGTCAACAGAGAAAAATTTTATTTTAGTTACTTTTTACTAACATTATTAATATTTTTTCGTTTCTAATTTATGAAGCTGATGATGGTCTATAATTTCTCATTTTATCCATCTCTTGTTATGCTTCATTATAGCAAGAAACCTTTCCAGTGAGTTTCGAGCAGTCCAGTTCTTCAATTAATATTTCATCTAATGATTTCACGACTCAAGGCGACATATGCTTGACCTGCTGCGAAGAGTTTTCGTTAAAAGTTAGAGTTAAGATAGGTTTATTAAAAATATATTCATTAGCCGAAGTATTAGGGTACTAGAAATTGCGCTTACCAAGGACAACCCTTTTCATATTGCGCTACGTCACCTTTGCCACACAAAGCAGCTGCAAATCTTTATGAAACCGATTTTATAAATCTTTAGTAAACATACAGTGGAAGATTACAGCAGTTTTTTAAGCAGAGGTTCATGGTAATTCATGTTGATTAAGGAGGCTGTTCATGAATTCTGAATTTGCCCTCCTTGACATTGCAAATGTGTTCTGTAGAATAATTAATAAATGGGTAGTTAGAAGATCATGAAATCAGTTAAGGTCCATCAGCGTATTTCTCAAGCCGAAACAGCACAGTTTTGTCCTTCTGACAGAGAGCGTTTTCCTGACTGAAGAACCTGTTTTTGGTAGGAAAGGAGAAGCCATGACAGGGCCTAACTTGTTAACAATGATGTTCACATAATCCGCAGCTGTCATTATGTATTCTGTAGCAACTACCAGTTCCAAAGATGCCCATGAGAATGTCTCGTAAAATCGTAATGCTTGCATCACCGGCTTACTTACGTGTCGCAATACATGTGCCAATAAAGTGAAGACGGCATTAGTATAAAAAATGGCCGCACCCTGACACGGTCATCGACATGATGTATAATGAAATTTCAATTAATTTAAGTAGAAAGCTTTTCGAAGTTTACGGCTTTAGAGTCATAAAGATCTGATGGGTTAACAGATGTTCTTGAGTTCGACAAGTCCGCTGCGGAGCTCCATATCCAAAAACTTAAGTGCTGAAATGTTGATGAAGTTGTGTGCTCAGATGCTCTTGTAATTGTAACTGCATTGTATTTATTTATCAGATGCGCCCAATAACTGGTCCTCTCACAACGATTTGCTTTGCCTCATGACTGTACTTCGATTTATTATGCATAGGTAGAAACAGAGGTGATGATCTCAATAATGGAATTCGTGACTAAATCGTCAACGACGCTTGATTAGCTGATGTGTACATGTCCCATGTGGATCAGCTGCTTCGTTGGGGAAGAAATGTAAGAGTAAGTCATCGAAAGCCGCCTATCCGCCTTCATCAAGCGGGACACGTCCTACCTTTCCGTTTTCCTATATTCAGGTAGGGATATCTAAAGATTCGCCGTCTGCTATCGGGTTACTTTTCATTTTTAACCACGGCATATCCCAAACACTCGACGAACTGGGTCGTTTCAGAGATACTCATTCTTAACCTTTGCGCAATCAAAATATGGCCTATCATAGAGGTTTATATCAGCAGTCTTTCCTGTCAGTACGTGCGCATGGAAATAGTCGATAGCATTAGATGCACGTGATTTTCGACACAGTGATGTCTCAATACCCATAGCAGCCATTAAGCATTTCCGCTTTGTCATCTAGTGCATTCATAATTTGTTTGGTTAATTAGTGTATATATTTACGCACTCACGTAATGCCTATCTCTTTAAAATTTTTTATGTTTGTTGACTATGTAATTTGCCCTTTAACTTTTTAACTTGCTTAAATCTCCAAACACTTTGCCAAAGTTGAAAAACATTCGGCCATGAACGGAAGCGCGGAATGCAAAATCTCGTGATTCAAGGGTAAGCTTTATTTATTATTTAATATCGTGTTTTAAATATGCTGAGATCTAATTTTTGAAAGATAATCTAGTTTTTCTTCGTTTTCGATGAATTTGAAGTCTCAGTGCGAGTGTTTTGTTCTGCACTCTTTAAGCAGTTTACTTTCGTTACTCTTTAGGCAGGCTACTTTCAGTAACTGAAACCTTCCAGCGATCTTTGAAAGTTTGGCAATGGAATCGCTTGAGCATTCACAGCAACAACAGGATATAGAAATCCATAGATTTCTGAGGAAAATATGACGAGCATTGAAGGGTGACGATGGCAAGTCATTGAATGCTCACATGTAGGTTGTAGATCATCACCTTAATCTGTTTCGCATTATCTAGGCTGTTTGCTGTTCTAAGTAGATCTTCGTGACGTATTTTTTCAGCTTCACATAAATAAGAATGAATATAAATTCCCAACAACACGAAACTTTATCCAGAAATAAAGAAATGATGTTGTAAAGAAAGCGTTGAAAAGAGAAGAAAATTATTTCTTCTCCGGTGCTAAGTATGCTTCTTATCGTTTAAAGCACGCGGGAAAGAAATCATGATTATAATAAGAAACAACTAACAGTGTTTCTAAACTAATTTGGAGCATTTTCATAACGAAATGCTGCAGTAACACTTTTTTCTTTTTCTGACATAAACATAAAAATCTGACTGTATTGAATGTTCTTTGTTACTTTCTTTAAACTACATTAAAATTTGCGTTAAAATTCATATTAAAGAATCACCTTATAACGTTCACTTCTCATGTAAAATATAAGATCGAAATTTACAGATGCGCGTTATAATCGAATATATAAATGATAGATTTAAAATTAAGAAAAAGTTAAGCGCATAAAAATTAGGTTTGTACGTTACCTAAATGCTGTTTGTTTAAAAGAAATGACATACCTTACGAACCTAAAAAATTTTCTTATCTGATAACATGAAAATTTCGCCGTATTCGTCTTCCGTTATACCTTCAGGCACATCACTGAATTCTGTTTTATCTTCACCATCATTGTTACTTTGATCCATAAATAGGTAATTATCTTCCGTTCTTATCTACATTGTTAGATATAATAATTTTTAATGACTTCTGAATTATATCGGGCTTAATTTCATTCCATGCGTTTAATATTCACTCACACACTATTTCTAGACTGGCATGATCCAGCTGGCTTCCGTTTCCTTCCTTGCCTTCGATTTTCACTTCAAAATGGCTTCAGATGACTACAGAAAGAGGAAATATCTAACTGCTAATTACGCGAATTCATTCGGCTCGGAACTGCATTCTTACCTCAAATAATGTCTCCCTTTTGTCGAAAACCTAGAATAACATTCCTATGCATATCTGCATTGAATACAACGCATCCTTTTGCAGAATTATTTATTCCCTCAAGCATTCCTCCCTCATACTCCTCGTTATCGCTTTGTTAATTCAATATACCATTGTTCGAAAGCCTAAGAAAAATCTTCAAATGAATGACTTAAAAAGATAAGAGCATCGCACATGTACCTTTCAAGATTCTTCTTAAAGAAAAGGGGGCGCGTTATACGGCTAATATAGTTAATTAAAAAATATAGTTTGAAGTTATAGGTGCGCGTTATACGCTGGAATATACGGTATATTAAGTTATCTGAATGCATTGCAGAAATCTCTCAGGATGAACTCATAGCTCAATGTATCCTGTTCTTTTTCGTCGGTTATGAAACGACAGCAACAGCGCTTACTTTCATGGCCTATGCTCTTGCTTCAAATCCAGAAAGCCAAGAAAAACTTATCCAAGAAATTGATAATGTGTTCCTAAACCACGTAAGTAAAATCGTTTTATCATTCGTTTTGTTTCAGTTTCAGCTGCATCAAAATACAAAGTGTAAATATCAAGGTAACCAATAAATATTTGAGAATGAAATATTATTGGAACATGTCATAATATTTACTTTTTAAACCAAATTCACTTTGTGCTTTCCATTTATACTCTTCTTAAGACCAAGTGTGTTTTGTCGTTTAAGCGTAACAGGCAATAAAAGTAAATTCAACAAACAATGGATCAACTTCTGAGAAGTTTATAAGGATTTTAAGTTTTTACTAACGTTTATTTTATTTTAAACTCTGCTATCCTCGCTTATTTTCCATTTCCGGCCAGAAAAAGCGCGAGGAGGATTTTTATGCTAATGAGTTGCAAAACTGTAGAAGGTATTTAAGAAGTGGTTTCTAGCCAATAAGAGGCAGACAGCCTTCCTGCTGCCCTGCTACGCGCGTCCTTTTCAATCAATCCTGTCTGCCTTTAGGCCAGAACTTAATTCCTGCTGATATACTAGATGTATTATAGTATCTGCATTTAGCTCACTACATACGCAATGCAAAAAGGCCAATCTTCGCGTTAATAGTCTCTGTGAAGCTTTTAAGTTTAATTCTTATTTAGTTAGTTTGTTAAGTAAATATTTCTTATTTTTTGCGTTTTAGACCAAAAGTGTTGGTCTCTGCATCCTGTTATGCCGAAGTGCAGGAGCACCTGTGCGCTCTGTGAAATTAAAGTGTAAAGTTAACCCTTTTTAACTTGTTTGTCTATTCCTCGTACGCACGAACATAGCTTGAGTAAGCTCTCTGTTCCCACTCAGGATTCCTGTTGATGTTTCCCAAATCAATTAGAAGGAGCAGCAGTCCTGGCAAGTTCTTCATCTGGAAGGCAAACAGGCTGTTCTGTTAGACATCAGCTTGTAATAAAATATGAAGAGTTAAAGATCTGGTTTAGAAAGAGATACTATTTCGAGAGTCGGTTTGAACACCTAGCAAGCACCGGACCACTGAAAGAGATACTGTAATACAAACGCGTGAATATTGATAGACATCGGAACGTTAGTAAGTGAGATGAAATTTTCTCTTGCCGACGAAATTTACATAGCTCAGTTAAAAAAATTATTTTGATACTGACGTATGCAGCATGTCTTCATATCATGTTGTTATCTCCTTACTAAAATATTTTAATTTAAGTTCTAAAAAGTGGAATATTCTCAAAATTAAAGATATCTAATGAGAAAATGTTTTTTCATATAATAAATTTGTTTATGACAGTAAAGTTTAAATACGTTTTCTTTGGCACATGGGACCATTTATATAAGGTAAATCAAAGAGAATCATTCTATTACAAATGGTCATAGCAAAAATGTGTAATCGGCACATATTTTCTTGTGATATGTCAAATCAAGCTCTAACTATCCAAGTTTCTCGATATACACTGCAGATGCTTTAAGTGAGATCCTTTTGTGACATGACTCCTACCCAGCCCAAAAGAAAGAACGATGATGCGATCCTCACTCCTTTCGATTTTATTTTCCTTTGTGGAGACGTTTTTCGTGCCGCTTTTGCATTTAATAAGGATGACTTCAAAATCGAAGTTATCCAGTTACAGATAGACAAAAACTGCCTTTTTATGGGATCAGATCAATCGCTGACTGCACTGAATCCATTCTTTTTCATAACTCACCGCTCGTTAACAATAATTTTCATGAATAAGATTGGCGACGGGAAGTGAATTAAGAAAGGCTATCAAGAAAGGCAAGAAATGCAGGGAAGAGCGAAATGACTTGAACGAGCAGTGAGTCGGAAGACTGGATTCAATCGTACGGCTCACTTCCTTGTCTGATTCCATTCAGTTGTACTTTTGAGATTTCATAAAAGCTCCTTTTTACATAGAACTAATTATAAAATTCGAAATTTTTTTTTAAATTTCAAAAAGCTGGGAAATAATAAAAAATAAACTCACTTTTAAAATAGAAGGGTAAACATTCTTTTCTCCTCTAGAATAGAAAAAGAATTTTTCTGACATGCTTTCAGTAAGAGCTGTTGGTGTATGAACTATATGACTGATATCACACATCCATTTATTTCAATATAACTGTAGAGGCATTAGGTTATTTCGAAGCAGGAGGGATGAAAAATGAGCAACGCGCTCGCTGGGAATCGAATCACGGACCTCTCGAACACGCCCCGAGCGTGCAGACCACTACACCACGAAGGCATGCTAAGAAGGCGGGAGAAATACCTTATAGGACAACTGTTCCAACAAATTTTTCTACTTGCTTTAATTACCACCGAAAAAAGATGCATGAATTTTTCCTTTCTTTCGAAAAAATTGCAAGTTGTTCGTTTTCAATAACCAATCAGCTATCAGGATCTAATCTTCCATCATCAACCATCATTTGTAATGAAGTGCTAGTTTGTCCTTTACAAGTTAACCCCCAAACCCTGGTAATTGGCTGTTTTCATCTCGTGTGACAAAGCAGAAAAATTGTTTTAAAAGAGTTCTTCTGAAATGTCTTGAATATGTGACACGACCTTAAAACAGCTTCTGCTCTTTTTTGATCATTCAGTATTGACTCGTTTAGTAAAAGGAATCGGTTTTCTGAATTAGTTCGCAAGAAAACAGTGAATCTCTATTATTCATGGCATCGCATCAGGCTCATCGGTGATGCTTTAACTGTGCGAACTGAAAAGGGTTATAGACCGCATGTACACTGCAAAAAAAAGGGGGACAGTTCTATATCTCCCGTTCTACTGGGCCGATTGACTAAATTCAAATTGCGTTTTACATGTCTCAAAAGCGCGATTTAGGTTATATATATTATATATATATCATTGTTCTACCATAGGTATTATGACACAAAATCGGACTTTTTCTAAATAACATACCAATTTTTTTTCCATATTTCGATTCTACAACTCAAATTTGGCTTAATTATTAAATTTTGTAAAATTTGGTGAGAAATTTACGGAGAAATTCAAAAATTTATCTTGGCTTATTTTTTCAGTTTGCGCTAAGAATAATTCACTTGGCGAACTTTTTAATATATGGCAACCTATTTTCCTTTTCCTTCCAATGTGCATGAGCGGGCAAAAAAGTCACATTATTCCTACTTCCAAATAATTTTAACAAAGTGCCTAAACCTCATTTGATGTTTTATCTTTTTAACAAATACCCCAATTTTTCAAACTCGCCAATATGTAATTCATGGTATATCTTCTAAATTTTGAATAAAAGCTGTAATGTTTTGCGTATGGTGTAAAATACGTCTCCTTTAGATAGGTAAAAATTTTATAGAATAATTCAAAAAATTTTCGAAAATTTATAAAAATTATTTAAAAATTTTTAAAAATAAATCATAAAAAATGGATGAATTTTATTTGAATGAGGCAAAACTTCGAATGGAACGGAAGAATCAAAAAAGTTTATTAAAAAAAGATATTAATAAATATATACCAAACTCAATATTGAGGAGCTAAAATTTTGAGAGCTAAGTTTCGAAAACTACTCGTGCGCTTTTTACAAAACGGCTGTTTGGCGTAATTTAAGTTGTAGAATCAAAATATGGAAACAAAAAATTGGCATGACATTTCAGAAAAAGTCCGGTTTTGAACCAAAATACCTGTATTAGAACAATGCTGTATATAAATCTAATACATATCCTAAGTCACGCTTTCGAGACATGAAAAACGTAAGACGAATTTCGTCAATCGGCCCAGTATTACTGGCCCAGTCTACTGTTTCATCCTTTTCAATTATTAAATGCATTCTTTTTAATGTAAAAAGCAGTATTATATTATACACTAAATAATTATAAAAATCTCTGTTTTTCCTGAGAACATGGAACATATTTTGTCTTAGATGACACTGAAAAAATTACGTTCAATAATTTTCATTATATTAGCTCAAGCTTACATTTTACAGCAAGAGTTCTTTGAAAAACACTGAATAACTAAACATTGAAGCGCATTTATAAAGATTCCCGCAAATTTAAAAGAGCAATTTGAAGACATTTGCACTACATCGTAAGTGAATAAGAAGTTTGTATAACATTAATGTTAATGGTACTTCATAAGATAATTTCTGACCCTCGAAAATCATTTTGACGAATGAAGAGCATGAATATGTCAAAAAGAAGAAATGAAAAAAAAAAAAAAAATAACAATAAAACTCTGAAAGTTTCAGATTTTACATTACGCCCAAAGGTGGGTTTTTATTAACATTTTTTGTGTTACCTTTATTTATTAAATATCATAATCTTTTCACTTAAACCATGAAATTCAGTTCAACGGCAATATCACAAAAAATTTTTAAATGAACCTCTCTTTAGAATTTTCGATACACAGTCTCGCGCGCTGGAGATAAAATGGCTTCTTCCGTAGAGTGTTGTCATTGTTCGCTTTGAAATCGTTGAGTTTCTCAATCAGAAATTCGCAAAATGTTACAAAATATGAAAACAAATTGCAAATTTGGGCTTCCAAATGCCCATATTCGTAGGAGGATTACGTTATTCAAAATTGGATGGCTCTTGGTACGTTGTTTTATCACAATGCGAGAAGCATGCTCAGACTCTTCATTATTAATGAATACTTATGCAGATTCTTCACTATTTAATTTCTTTAAATATAATACAGAGCGATAATATTTGGTGACAACAATCTGAAAAGTGAACCGACATTTATAGGGAATCAACGCAAAATAACAAAAAGAAATTAATAGTCCTTCTGGGGAAATTGTCCCTTTGGACTAATAAATCTTCTACAGTTAGTTCATTGTTGGGGGCCCTTAAGCATTCTTTTAACTTTAGTTCCTTTAAAATTATTAAATGAATAAAATTTATGAATAAAATTTCCTTGAGATATTTTCAAATTCGTCAAATATATCAACTGCAGTTAAAACTTTTGATTCCAGTCCAGTATTTAATAATAATCTTTTAATTTTATGTTGTTTCATACATAGACTGAAAGCGCGTTTTTTACGTTATTGTTATTTATTATTTTATTTCGTCTATTTAACAAAATATTTCGGTAAGTGGCATAGGATAATTTTTCTCCTTAAAGAAAAGCAACACTTCTTAGAGCATTTCAATTTTTTTTTTTTTTTTGGTACAAATGTCTTGCATTTATAGTTACATTTGTCCTATTTTAATTTAAAATACTTCTTTCATTATATGCATTTCTGACTTAATCCTTTCTGTGATAAAAGTTATAAGACCTCGAAATTTGTGCAGTACACACAGCATGCCATTGTAAAAGGAAAACTATGACGGTAATTTTTTTTTAATTTTACAGGGCGAAATGGACCATGATATCGTTGGTGAAATGAAGTATTTAGACTGTGTTGTATCCGAGACTTTACGAATGTATCCTCCTCTATTAGGGTAAGTAGTGTATACCAAGTTAAAGTTTTCAGATACCAAAATTATAACCTAAGTACTTTCTGTTCATGAGAAATACCTAATGTATACTTAAATGTACTTTAATTTGTGTCTAAGCATGTTTATTTCTTTTTTCAAGTAAAAAATATTAAAGAAATAAAGAAATGTAGTCTCCAGAATAAAAACGTCAATAATAGAAAGCATAAATTAAAAAGATTGTAGATGTATAACACACAATGAGTCTACGGAGTTTAAGGACTAATTAATTCCTTGTACGAAGCAAAGGAACTATTTTAATCCCGAAGAGTTTCGGATGTATTTCAGAAGAAATATACATTTTTACTGTTCTCTAATCTATGTAGACGATGTTTTCGCATGATGTCTGTACGTACGGTTAGAATGAAGGATTATTTTTTCCCAAAACAGATTGTTAAATGGATCTAGAAGAGATTTTTTTCCGCGACATCTGTACGTACTTACCTATGTATCTCGCATAACTCAAATTCGATTAGCCGCAGAAAGTTGAAGTTTTGTATATGGGACTACTATAACTTCTAGTTGTGCACTTCCCCTTTTTTTATTGAAATCGGCAGTCCAAACGTATATTTATATATATACCCATCTTCTTACCTGGCCTTTATTTTCGCAATCGCTGGATGTAGTCATATGCTTCCAATTATCGAAATTGTTTAAATGACGAAAATATTCATGTTCTGGCAATGTCAAACTAAAAAAAAAAAATGTTTTAGACAAATAATTAGCTTTTAATACTGTCTCTTTCCTGTACTTGTATTTGGGAAAGTTTTATATTAGTTTTGATAAATAAAATTATAAGAAGTTTACTTGTGTATGGCCAAAATCGACTGAGATAATTAATTCCAAAATTTGCTGCTTTTGATATCATTTTCAACTTGTTTTGAGGTATCGGTCATTAATTTAGAATAATTCGAGTCAATAAGTTTAAATGAAGTGCATCAAAAAATGTATGTAATTTAATAGCCTGCTGTGGGAAGAACGTGGTATCCACATCAGACATTTTTTAACATACCTAAGTATACCTGCCAAACGATAATTGACAACATTTGTTTAGGAGGACATCTGAACCAGGTCATTTTATCTTTAGGTTAACTAAATTATTTTCAGCACGTTATCTTAAAATACCGTCTACTTGGGCAGAGAGTTTTCTATGCAGTTAACCGTTTAGTTCAATCAGCATCTGCTGGCATGGATTCGAAAGTTGAGCATAGAATAATAATAAAGGTTTGCTGTAAACAAGGCATTGCTCTTAATTTTTCCGAATTAATTGTGGCTGTATATGAAACTTGGTGCGTTACTTATACTGAAACAAAACGACAAATATCTGCTTCTTTTGGAAAGGTTCACCACGACCACAGTAATTTCAGTTTCAAAAATATCGAATAAACACTATGTTGACGGCCCTTTTTTTTTAATTTGAAATGTGTTAATTCACAAGAATGTTGTTTCTTGGAGACAGAAAATGAGTTCCATACTTGATGAAGATGTAAAAGATAGACTATTCAGCGTAAAAGTTCAATCGAATAACTGAATTTTGCTGCACGACAATACACTGTCACATAGTTTTATTCACCTTAAGTGGTTTTCAAGCAAAGAAAAGTGTCACACTTTCATCCCTCTGCTTTATTCACCAGAGCTTCAGGTTAATTTATCTTACCTAAGTTTTACCTTAAAATGATTATTTCGATACCACTGAAGAGATTCAAACTTCTTATTCAATTCTAAACACTATTCTTAAAGATGAATTCTGTGTATGAATCAAGCAGCTTCATGAACGTGGCATAGAACTACAAAGCGTGCAAATTAAAGGCTAAGAAGTAAGAAAGTTGTTTGAATTAACTTTCAATTTTCTGCGCACTTCGCAGATGCTAAAACTTCGCAGATGCACTTTTATTATTGAAATTGAAAATTCAAAATGTTCCAGTCAGCGTCGTTATTGTACAGTTATTGTATTCTTTTCGGCACTTAGATTTTTGTTTCATATTTTAATCCCTCTCCCTCAGAGAATAGTACCCCAATATCTTCTGTGAAAGTGTGTGTGTGTGTATTGAGAATACGGCAAAGCACAATAGGGTTATCTGCCTAAGGGGAGGGATGCCTTCGTGGAGGACTTTCTATGGGAAACTGGCTCGTATACACGTTACACATGGGGAAAACCACGAAAACGCCCATGCAGCCAGCCCGTTCGCGGGATTCGAACCTCGGACCGAACTACCAGTGTTTAGCGATTTTACCGCTCGGCCGCTCTTCTGTGAAAGAGATCTGTACTTGCATTCTGTAACACGCTATTCTACGAGAAGTCTGTTGCATTTTCTTAACAGAGCTTCTTTTTTTTTTTTTTTACTTTTCTCAAAGTTCTCTTTTTTCGTAAAATTTCAATTTAGGTTTATTCTTTCTTAAAACTAAAAAGAAGAAAATATCACATTAATTATCAATCTGATAACTTATATATGTTAATATAAACACACGAACTGTAAAACAAATCTATTTTGATGCCCGTCCAAGGATAAATTACTTCTGAATCGTTTGAATTTTCTGACTAACATCTGGCTGTTTCATCTACTTGATTTTAAAGTGCTCCTATTACCTATAAATTTGTCTACCTTAATAAATAGTTAATGATTTCCAAAAATGCGGGAAAGAAAACGTTACTTTATATAACGATAAAAATGTTTATGGCTATATTATAGTTTTGATATGCGCTGTATACTAGGTAACACCGTTTTCAGATCTTTTGGTGTTTTGAGATACATGATGGAAGTAAGCAACAGTCAAATTGGCCACACAGTTTGCCCACGCACAGTTAGGTCAAACTGGCCACGCACAAAGAGTAAGACAAGTACTTAACTGAATACTACTTACTAAGTAATAACCGTCGGAGGATAGGCTGCATAAAGGCCATTGTAAAATCCTGCTCTATTAGGGACGCATATGAATCATTTCAGGAAGTTCATGAATTGATCCAACAAAGAAACACTTCATTGCCGAGAAGAATGATGCAAGCAATAACAGGCTAACAGGGGTAATTTATGAGTAATTTTTTCATGTATATGAAAAAACTAGTTTGTCTTTGGGTCCTCTAAAAATTAACAGAATATCAAAAAACCGGAGCGTGTCAGAACTAGTAAAGAAACCCTAAAATTACTTAATGATAGAACCGCATTATTTCTAAAATCACAAGTTGAAAAATGTGTATTACATTCGAATACGTTATACATTCGAATACGTTAAGAAAGTAAGAGTTCTTTAAAGAGGATAACTAACCTATAGTGATGAGAATATAAGGAGCAATGAAAAACGCAATGTATGCCGTTTTTCTGAAAAGCCGTCAAATTAGAGTGGCAGAAGATAGTTACAGCTAAATGGTTCACGATTAAGTGTCGTTCAGAAATTCTTCAAGAAGTGAATATTAGGGGATTCATGCTTCAGCCTGATCTTGCTATGTGGACCACTAGATAGTCGAATTTCTCGAACAAAACACACATCAAAGTGATTGAAAATCCACCCTGTTGTCCTGCTCTTTCTCTATGGACCATTGGCTATTCTTTAATCTAAAACAAAATTTACTTGACCTTTGTTTTCATTCCGAAGATGAGACTGGTGAAGTTATAAAACACGTTTTTCATCGATTCCAAGAAATGGATAATTAGAAGAACTTAATATTTTTAAATTTCACCTACGAAATTTCATTGATGTTGGAGGAAAATAATTTGAATTTCTCTAAGGTTTGGTTTAGCTGTATCTCGAAGATTTTAGTGACCCGCGTACAAATACTATTAAAGGCATTTGTGAAAATGTAATTTGTAAAGCACTACCCAATTATTATTCTTTAAGCCTTTTTTTAAACTTCTTTGCGTATTCCTCACCAGAATGGAAATTAGGTTTTGTGTGTTTAAGGTGAGGGGCTTGAATGTTTAGATTGGAGCTTCTTAGCAGCAGCGTCCTTCTGTTTCTTACTCTTGCTAGCACTGCTTAAAATTATATACTGGCTTCTGTTTCTTGCTCTTGCTCTTACTTCTGGTTAAAATTATATAACGGCTTTAGCGTTTTGCTAGTCGATGCTTTAAAATACGCGCAGACCAAATTTTGAGTCAGCTTAATTAGTCTATTTTATGACTGTCTCCAACGTTATTACTTACACTGAAATTTCAAAGTTCTGTTAAGCTAATTTAAATACCCGCTGAGTAGGATTTTTTTGTGACACAAGCTGCGCCTATTCTATTCAGTTTAAGACTAAATTAAAATGTTGTTTTAATCTTCTTCGGTATTTGTGATTTGTTTAAAAATAAACTATAACTCGCTAGTTAGTCTAATAGGGTCTTCAGGACTTAAATACACGTTTCCAGTTACAGTAGAATCCTACAAATTTTAAAATTTCTAAAAGAAATCCTTTATAACAAAAGACATTAAAATAAAAATATGTACTTCAAATTCGAGTTTGAGGAGTATTTAAATTCGAAATTTTATATCTAATGACGTATTTTGCAAAGTGTAAAATCGGCTTTTTTCGCCTTTATTTTCATCGGGTGGTGATTTAAATCGTATTTTTGAAACTTTTCTCACCCTAATTTTTTATGTTATGGTATCGTTTTTCTGTAAATGATTTTTAATAAAAAGGTAAATAAATAAATAAAACATTAATGACGCATAAATTAGAACTTTCTTTAAAAACTTTTTGTATTAAAATTTAAGCTGCGCATATTTTTCGTATTTATCACATTAGCAAAATGGTCATAAACTGAAAGCTATTTGATTCATTTTATAAGTCGATCCATGGGTCTGCAACTGACTATTCAAAACATATTTAATCTACAAAATCTTTTGGAAGTATTCTGTGTAGAACGTTTTCCTTGCCAATTCACTATTTTTGATATTTAGATTTTGGTTGGTGTAATTTATAACTGAAAGGTATTTCTTCATTTTTAACTATCTGTGAATTTTTTAATATCTCTTAGATCTTATTAATCTGTTGCATGTTTAGATAAAGACTTTTTACTCAGTCTAGGTTAATAGATTATGGGAAAGTAACTCAGGGCTATTTGTCTGGGAAAGGAATGTCTTCATGGGGGTGTTTATAAGAGAAACTGGCTCATACACACGGGGAAAACCTCAAAACTGGCATATAACCAGCCCTTTCGCCGTGATTTAAACCCAAGTCGAACTACTAGTGTCCAGCGACTTTACCGTTCTACCCAAGACGAGATAAACGTTTTCTAACTCAAGTGAGAAAAGGCCCATACAATATTTCGTTTAGTTAACATAATTTATAGTCTCAAAAGTTTGAAAAATTTTATACAATATATAGCAACACAATATTATGCAATATGTACTCTCCTATAAATTTACTATGTATATGTATGTATATGTTTCCGTGAAAGACCGAAATTGGAGAATGTCGACTTTCACCGGAAAATATCAACATTCACCAAATACATCGGTGAAAGACCGAATATGTCACTACATTCCTGTATATTCGGACCCTCACCGGTGTATGTCGACAATCACAGATATGCTCTGGTGAAAGTCGAAAGGAGAGGTGCCATAATAGTTTAAGTTGTTGCAATAAATAAGATTTGAATCACATAATTTAGTAAGTTTTTATTACTGTTATTTTATTTTCTCATTTAGAACGTACTGTATAATTAAGTAAGTTTTTAACTTCTATTATTTTCCTTTCTCATTTTGAATGCATTGTGTGTTTTTAGGTTCTCAATGTTCTTAAGTTCTTATTTCAAGTTCAAGTGCGTTTTATTCGCGACTGAATTACGGAGACGAAATATAATATTTGTTATATGTTCAACATTCACCATTAGTACATGGTGAATGTCGACATTACCGGTGTAAGTCAGAAATAAGAGTATTTGGAAAATATTTCGGACATACAACCAAGAGACTATGTGAATGTTGACATTCACCGGTGAAAGTCGACATTCTCCAGATTTCGGTGTTTCACCGTAACATATATATATAGTAAATTTATACAATATATATAGTACTATATATATATATGTGTTGTGTGTGTTTGTGTGTGTGTATATTATATATATATATATACATGTATATATATATGTGTGTGTATATATATATATATATACACACACACTATATATATATGTGGTGTATGTATATCACCCACACACACATATATATATATATACACATATATATATATGTGTGTGTATATATATATATATATATACCTATATATACCTATATATAGGAAATTTATAGGAGAATCTTGATTTTTTATGTATATTTTTTCAGTTCTGTAAGGACTGCTGTAGAGGATTACAAATTAGGTGACACTGGAATTATCATCGAAAAGGGGATGAGAGTTGCCTTTCCTATATACGCCATGCATTACGATCCAGAATTTTTTCCTGATCCAGAAAAATTTGATCCGGAGAGATGGTAATATTTCATTTCTATTAATTGTATTTTATAGCATTACCACATAGAAAGAATACTTTAGTAAAACTTTATGGCGTCACGCTGGGCTAGCCACCACTTGCAAATTCGAAAGAGATGGAAATGCTTGAATTCATCACTGATGAGCTCTTTTGTGACGAGGTAGAGTATTTCACTCTCATGACTTGGACCCAGGTTCTGTCCTTCAAGGCAATTCTTTCGCTTCTGCTTAGGTTACCGCAGGCCACGAAACACAGGTTCCTGGCTCGTAGCCCTATCTCAGGCTAACAAGATGTGTGATAAACGCAGCATGAAAACATAACGTATAAATAATATACAGGGTGTTTATAAAGTCCCGGATCCATTTTGATGTTTAATAACTCATAAAATAATGAAGATATAAACAAACTTATGGCATTTATTGAAGGAATAACTTATATATTTTCCTTATCAGGTTTGAATATCTTTACTTTTGTAAATATCGTCTGCGCGTGTGGTTAATTTCAGATAATTTCATTTTCCAGTCTAAATATCTGTACATTTCTAAATATCGTCTGCTTATTAATTGCATTTTCTCTCTTTTGTTTTTAGCATCTTTCTGGCATTGTTAATGGCCATAATGTCCGCATATGGGGATCTGAAAACCCCCATGAATACCGTGAGGCACAAAGGGATTCGCCAAAAGTTAATGCGTGGTGTGGACTAATGCACGACCGAGTCATTGGGCCTTTCGTTTTTACAGAAAAGACGGTCTCATCAGTCGTATACTTAGACATGTTGAAAATCTTCGTATTTCTACAACTAGAAGAGCTTCAGCCACATGTCTTTTAGAAACAAGATGGTACACCACCTCATTGGGGTACCATCATTCGTAGTTCTTTGAATGACCATTTTACAGGAAGATGAATTGGGACGAGGAGGTCCAATTCCTTGGCACCAGATCACCAGATCACCTGATATAACGCCGATGGACTTTTTCCTTTGAGTGATTTGTAAAGGACAACGTTTACAAGGAGGAAGAGTGTCGAAAATGGATGACTAAACCGCCAGAATTGCAAACAGCAATAGCCTCTGTGGATGCCGACATGATTGCCGTTACCTGGCGTGAAATTGAATATCAACTTGATATGCTCCGTGCGAAGGGGGCACACGCGGAAGTTCATTGACTAGGGTCATGAAACCTTTTGAGTCTATCTAACCATTTATGTTATTAATTTTAATCTATCTTTATTATTTCATGAGTTATTAAACATCAAAATGGATCCGGGACTTTATAAACACCCTGTAATAACGTGTAATGAGCAGAATAGTCCTTGTAGTGTGAAAAAAACGATGGCAAAAAGTTCGCAATAAAGGCTATACGAAATGAAGTATGTCCATCGATGTCGAAGCTTGTATAGGCACCGATGGAGAAAATGCATCGCACGTCTAATTCGACTGGTGACGGAGGGCGGGGACACCTGATGTCTAACATTGGCAAAACAGGTGTATGTCCCATGCCCTCTCCAATCCAGAGCAACAGCTCTCGTGACCAGCCCACTGTACTCAGTGCTCTTCCATCATACATGCTTCAACTCTGACGACGGACACTGCTATCTTCTTTTTATGTTCAGCTTTTTGTTTGAGTCTACGAAATTTTCTATTTATCTTACAAAATGTTATTCTTACGTTACGTTTTACAATACCTTGTTAGTCTGGGATAGGGATAAAAGGAAAGATTTTATTCGAATTCATTGAAATTTTCACAGGTCGTAGGGTGTATATAAGACATTAGCTTTAGGGAATGCAAAGAAAATAACTGATAAATAATAACATTATAGCGGTGAAAAGACATCGAATTTTTTATACCGAACGTGATGACCTCTACGGTAAATACGTACCCGACAACACTGATTCATACACCGGTCATCAATGGCGGTTTGCAATTTAAACATGTCCAGTCAAGGAGCAGGCATATTTTTACCTCGTATAAATTCCGGTGAGAGTTATGAACAGTAATTTAGTGTTACATTTGTAACAATTAAATTAATAAAAATGAAATGAAAACAACTCCCTAGTAAATTTGATTACAAAAGTTTATTGACGTTGGAGTAAAACGATGTTGGAGTTCATTGATGTTGGAGTAACCAAAGACTATTTGAACACCCTTTGGCTTATCTGCCTCAAATATTTCAGAGTGATCGTCCTACAAATTCTGCTAAATAATGAAAACAACTCCCTGATAGTGTAAAAAGAAAAACAACTCTCTGGTGCAGTACAAAACAACATTTATTTACATACTTACAGCTTACTAAAAATTCCAAATGTAATTAACACTGCACTATTCGTTTATGTGCGACAAAAATGTCTTAACACTCAGCTCACCGTCTTATTAATAACACATTGCTGATCTATCGCCTCACCGTTGCACTGCCATATTTATGTAAGGATCCTTTGCAAAGAAGCATGTATAAAATACATGTATAATATACTATTTCATATTTCTCTAATAATATAATCTACAATAATAAATGTGTATGAAAATTCATATCAGTTATATTACATTTCCGTGTGTAGACACCAAAAATGTTAATTTTGGAGAAACTTTTACATTGTGACACATTTTATTAAGCAGACTTTCAAGTATTTTGACAAATTTAAGATTTCTTCTTGGGCCACTAAAAGAAAATAATATTTTCATTGAATAATCTTGCAATCGAGGAGAACATGATATGGTATGGTAAGGTACTCTAAAACTGGAATAAATCAATTTTGTTAGCTTGTTTGCATATATTTTATCACAAAAAATATTACATTGCATGTATTTCCCTGATTAAGTCAATGGGTTAACGGCATACTAAAAATTATTGAGCTATTTTATAGTAGTATTTTTATAATGCAGTTTATCTTTCTTATATATAGTAGTATTTTTATAATGCAGTTTATCTTTCTTATATATAGTAGTATTTTTATAATGCAGTTTATCTTTCTTATTTTAGGGTTAAAGATTCTGGAAGATTGAAACATCCTCAGTATGCATATTTGCCCTTTGGTGCTGGGCCACGGAATTGTCTGGGTATGCGTTTCGCCTTAATGGAAATAAAGGTGTGCATGGCCAATATTCTACGACGATACAGATTCAGTAAAGCAGAAACTACAAAGGTATTTTCATTATTTTATTGAAAATGAAGTAAGTGCAATGCGATGATAAGAGATTTCAATTCATCTAAATACCTTTTATCCTTTCACATTAATTATTAATTTACACTATTTTAATTTTGCGTTTCATTCGCTTTTTTGCCGAAAGCATGTAGATTCATTTCTCCCACCTTTGTCAGGAGTAAAGAAAATAATTTTGAAACTGCTGACTCTATCGCTGTTAAAGTTAGCAATGGCTTGTTGAATATCAAAAAATTTCAGAACGTTTCCAAAAGGTTTAAATTTGACGATCATTTGAAGAATTTTTTTCTACTGTAAATTTTAACAATCTTTAAGCTAAATTCCCCTAATCCCCTTTTTGCAGTAATAACAGCATACGTTGCGATCGTGGATGAGAAAAGGGCCACTACGACCTCAAAGCTTCTATTTTAAAGTAATAGACTGTTATGTAAACGATTTCGCGTTTCTTTGCACAATGCCGATAAGTCTTTTATTACAGTTCTTAATGCTAAAACGGCACTGTCCCTATCTACTCAATTTGGCTAAGATCCGTGCCTAGACAGACTCGTTTCTGGGGTAAATTGATTGTCTTCGTAGGACTAGAGCCACCGACTTAGACAGACTCGATTTCTAGGTTAAATTGATTGTCTTCGCAGGACTAGAGCCACCGACTATTTGGTGCTCCGTTCAGGTTCGACAGGGACCGTACGGGCACTGTCATGTCTGTCTCGGGCTGTGTGATAGCTACATATGTGATACTCTAAAGGCTGTCCTCGAGGGTTCGCCTCCACTGGTCAAGCTCAGGCGGACCGACGTTGCCATACGCTGTCTTTGTATATTCGATCATCAGTTAGTTCCTGCTTGCCGTGTCAGACGCTCATATACCTGACGTTGTTCATTATCGCCTGAGATTGACCACTGGGGGCTGGCGCTCCCTTGGATCACATCTAGAGCTTGAGGCGTCACTCCATATTAGGGGTGTTCTACAGCCTAGGTCATGATTCTGTTCCTTCTAGTGCATTAAAACTCCTCTTTCTGCCGATATATAGTTAGGTTATGTTCTTTGAAGACGGCAAAGTTCCGAGGTCTATCTGCCTAAGAGGAGGGAGGCTTTCGTGGAGGACACTCTGAGGGAAGCTGTCTCATTTTCTCGTTACTCATTGGAAAACCACGAAAACTAACCACGCAGACGGCCAGTTGGTCTGGGATCGAACCGAAGCCAAACCGAACTACCAGTACAGTTGTCTTAACTACTTGGCCCCTCGTGGGGCTGTCTGCTGATAAATGATTACTTCGAAAACCACGGGTGCTCTAAAGATGCTGCATTCTGATCCTTTGTATGATTTCTTAGTTTTTTCCCAATTCTCTGTATGTTTATTCGTATTTTAATAAAGCATTTTTAAATGAATATAAGTAATAATTTCATTAAAGACTGCTATTCCGTTCTAAATCTAAATATTTTATTTTGATCATTTTCAGGAACCCTTGCAATATAAACTGGCCCAAAGTTTTTTAAGTGTAAACAGTCTTCCTCTAATGGTTGAAAAAAGAACAAATCTAGCTGGGTAATTCCACAGGCAATTAGTCATTCATAGTAACGATCATTTTCATGTTTTGAGAAGAGATAGAAATTTACCTCTAAATATTGTATGTGACTTATATTGTATACCTTGTATATAATTTCAATAAAAAGAATGATATTATTTTTTTCTTTTAGCTTTTGCCATTTTTATCTTTTTAAACGAAGCCAATGTACAACCACGTCAAAATCCTTTTCATTTAAACAAGCAAACAACTTTATCTTGAGTTTTTCGAGCGAAAGTTTTTATGTTTTTAATTGTGGTAATGCTTTTGATCTTGAAAAACCTTACCTTGCGTACGCTCAGTCGGTGGCAGAGCAGTATGGGATTGCTCCTTGTTTTACATAGTAATAGGTGTTCGAGCAGCCTTGCTTTTTGTTTCTAATAAACAAGAGGGAAAAAATGAAGACACAGAAGGAGCATACCAGATATAGTCTTCCATATAAATAAATATATGAAATAAGATGTGAGACAGAAGTACATCGAATGATATTTCTCCAACAGAATACCATCTTTTTTGTTCGATACACAGTTTCTTCAAGAGGGAGGCACATTTATTCTCAACTAGAAACGCAAACTCAAAAGACTGCGTACATTGAGTTGACGTAAATCCTCACGATGTGCCACCAACTCCTTTGCACGAAGCTAAAGCGACTGTGTGGTGCTGTGAATGTGCACTGCCATCACAATCGTTCTCGGCCCTTGTTTTTTCGAAGTGGTCACTTCCCAAGGTATGTAAACCTGCTCCAACACAAAGGTTCGGGATACAACAATGCATAATTACGTAATTCCAGAATCGCAGCAGGAAAATGTCGTTGACATTGTACGGGAGCTAAAGGGTGCTCCTCCACACGTCGCCATATGTGTTCGACAAGTACTGCAACCGAATTTCGGAGATAGAATTATCTCCCTTAACTTTGCAGTTTTGTGGCCACCATGATCCCCGACCTCACTCCGATGCATTTCTGGTTCTAACGTTATTTGAAATCTAAGGTTACACATCAGATTCATGAAATTTGTCAGATTTGAAAATTATACAGAATCCTCCTGCGATGTTACGTTCGTCATTGTTGTCAACAATCTCCCGCATGTAATGCGTTATCGTCTGCGAAGATGAGCACGTTGAAAACTTGTAATTCCAATAAATGTCCCCCCCTCTCTTGTCTTGTGTTATCATCGGTCTTTTACAATACTGTTCTTTGCAAATGCTTTGCGCGGCAATTTTCGCAGTACATACATCGTTCTACCGCCATTTATGGCTTTTTTTAAATGCTTTAATCAATTTGCGCAGGAAAAAAGTGGATGTTGCCATTCAGAAACTTTGAAATGTTTTCGCAGTTTAATGTTAACCGTAACCGTGAGAGCTCTATTGTTTTAAATCATCACAATTTCGAGCACATACCTTCAAATAATATCTGAAAATTCATTTCCATTCGTTGAGAAGTTAGGCCGCTAGGGGTTCATATATCGGGGAATTTCTTTTATGACCACCCTGTACTTACAGCAAATGTTTAACTGTAGGTTGTTTTTACCTCTACCAAGCAAAATAATACATAAAAGAGTTTATAGTTCATGATTTTAAAGATGAATCAGTCGTTGTGGCTAAAAAACCCGATGGAGATAACAGTTTAACAGGAGAGATTGCTTTGCATCAGTATCAGAAATTTCAACAAGAATAACCGTCAGCAAGTTTGTCCCTAGGTGGCTCCAATGCATAACAAAATTAAAAGAAAATAATGAAAAAATTTAAATTATAACCCTACATTTTTTATTTTGGTTATGAGTTTCATAACACTAAAATTATCATTAAAAATTGCAGCATTAGCGAGAAGAATTAAAAACGTGGCAGCAACTCTGAATCTTCTCTGGAAACAAAAATAGGTTCTTTCAGAGCCGGAATAAGAATGAGGGAAAAGTGAACAACTATAAGGAGTGTTAGTTTTTTCACTATCCCCAACTCTTATGCTTAATAAAAAAATTAGATATACTTTTAGACTCTGAAATCTATCAAGAAGTTTAGTTTCGAAATATAATAATTAATAATAATAAACATTTGTGACTGCTATTTACAATAACTTGAAAACATTATTTTCTTGATACTGTTTGCTTTCATTCTCGGTTACTGAAGGTTCCTTTTATTTGTATGTTTTCTGATCAATTAAAATTATTACAAAATATTGTTTTTATTCCTGTGCCTGATTATCGTTATGGTAGAAATATTTCAAAGGGGAGTCGTGAAAAAAATAGCCAAACTCTAAGTGCGCCGCGTGCTGCTAAAGTTCAGGAACCCCTGCTCTACACGTAATGTAGACAACTTACAGACAGTTTGCCATTCCACAGAACACGAGATTTTAAATTTATCTTTCAGATCTAATCACTTTTTATTAACAATATTATCGATTTCGGAGAAATATGTTCTCAGCGCGCGAGGTATAAGACTTAATTTAGCTGGAAATACGCCCTTACGTTTATATAGTTTTTAATCTTTTGTCATTCAACGAAGTATAGGAACATTAATGTATCTTTCAAAAACCAGATCCGCCGCTTGTGTCTTTGCCATCATTTACCTCTCTTTAAATTCTGCCATTCAGAGTCACCCTAAATACTTAACGCTTGTTGTTCTAAATTCTATTCCCCTAAATTCTGTTGCCGGCCTTGCTTTCAGTTTTAATCAGTCTGTTATTGATAAACAAACTAAGCAGTAAATGTAGATTTAATAATTAAAAGCTTTAATTTTTTTAATATTGTATTCAAATGGTATAAGTCAAAACGCATTTAATTCAGAATCTATAAAACTGGTAATTTTATGACTATTTGAAGCTTTGTTAAAATAATAAAAATTAATTAGTAAATTAAAAAAATAAATAAAAATATTTGTTATATTTTTACTAATTATTTTATAAATTACTTAACTGACACTATAATACTGTAATATTATATATTACTTATGAATTTCAATTTTTGTTCTTTGTACTATATACAATATCTTATATAATAAATAATTATTCTCTTTCTCTCTCTATATATATACACGACAATATATATAACAAATACTTCATATACTGATATAATTTTTATAGTATTTTACGTTTCTTTTTTTAATAATTTATTTATTTATAAATTTTTAGAGCCAAACTATTTATTCAGGTGTGAGAATGTACACTGAAATTTACAATTTTTTTTTTACCGATTCCCCCCTCCTTTTTTACTTCCTTGTACGAAGTAAAAAGGAAGTATTGTAATCGCGAAAAGTTTGAGGCAGCATATTTCAACGAAAATATCCATTTTGACCGCTATCGAATGCAATTTAACGATGTTTTTGCGTGATATCTGTATGTAAGGACAGAATAAAAGACTGTTTCCTCAAAAAAATTATAAAACTGCTTTAAAATTAATTCTGAAGAGAATTTTTCGTGGCGTCTGTACGAACGTATCTCGCATAAGTCAAAAACGAGTAGCCTCAGAACGTTGAAATTTTGTATATAGGACTGCTATAACATGTAGATGCAACCTCGTATTTTGGTTTGCAATCGGCCACACCAAACGTATATAAAATATATTTATATATATATCCACTCTGTTACCTAGCTCGGTGATCTTCAGTTTTCTTTACTCTTACATATTTGTAAAATTGTACAATTTTTGCTTTAAATGTGATATGAATTATGTTGTTCTTATCTTCCGGTTAAAGGTTTTTATGCCGTTAGTTAAATCTGCATACAATATGCTGTAGAATTATCAACAATTTTACAGTTGTTTAAGTGGCCGAGTTAAGCCTTTTTCTGAACCGTGGACATTGATCTGTTTACATTTGAAAACAGTAGACTAGAGGATTTGTTGCCAATCTTAGAAACTTAGCTTCGCAACAACAAAGATAACGCCTTCATTTATTATTGCCAATTAAATCATGCTTAATCTTTTCTGGAATTTTTGAGGAAATAAGTGTTTAAGATTTATTTCGTAATTTTTAATATAGATATTTTGAGTTTTTATCTATTTTTGCCTTCTCGCGAAGTGAGAACTGAATTAATTGAATGAGAAATACTCAATCGTCTGTGAAAAACTGTTTCTTTTTTGTTTTGTTTGCTTCATTTCTTTTATACATCATTCTAGCTTATTATAGTATTTGATTAGAACATGTGGCAAAGATTAGATAATTCTATTCTTTAAATGATATAAATTTTGTTCATTATGAGTTATAATATGAGCGAAATATGATACTGTTAAGTGAATTTAGCGCCAGAGTGTCGCTATGCTAAACAAATACTACAGTGAATTTTAAAGAATGCATTTATTCTATTGTGTTTTATGCGGTGTCGGTGAAGTAGATTTAATTCAATCCAATAAGTTTAAATGAAATGCAAGAAAAAATGCGTATAATTTAATATTCCATACAAGGAAGTCATTTGGTGTACACATCAGATTTTTTTTAATTGGCTTAGTGGAGCTGACTAAAAATTTGCTCTCTTAAAGTTTCATTACAACGGCGTTACACTAAAATTGTTTGGCTTTTCCTGTTTTTGTCCTCCTACGATTAACTTTCATCCTGGCAACCCTGCATAAATTATCCTTTCGCCAAGTGAAGTAGACCTTGAGCTAAGGGCTTTTTCCGTGACTGCTCGCGCTTAGCGTGACAATCAGTAAAAATCAGTTTTTCGTTTCTGATGAGAAAACGATGTAAAACCGTTATTTATCGTATCTATTCATTGGATTCTGTATGAGTAAAGAAACTGGTTCTTCAAAGTGATTCTCCTTTCTTGTTAACAAAAGCACATACGATATCTAGTGACTGCCTGAAAGATACAACGTTTGAAACAGAAATCATGTGGCCGGTCGCTATTTTTGTTGCCTTTATCACCGCCATTTCTCTCTTCCTTGGGTAAGTGAAATTTGGACTTCAGCCAAAATTATGGAATTATTACATATTTGTTAAAGTAGTGCGTTTGCGGAGTCGTAATTTTAAGGATTTTCCTCGAATGTCGAAATGTCTGAAAATTCCACTCTTTTCCTATTACTGTCAATTTACATTTTAAATATGAGTATATTTACTAAATATTACTCATCGTATTTAAATCATTATAACTTTCTTCTGACCGTGTATGTCCATAATCTGCTCTCCGAAATAAATGTATTTCAAAAGTAAAACCAAAACTTTTTATCTTACGAAATTGCACTCAGTTTTGCTAACCTTCTGACGTACTGAAAACGATTTTTTTTAATAGGAACGAATAGTTCCGATGTAACAATTTTTATTTAAAAAAAAATTCCTTTAAATTTAAATGTGGCTGTTAGTAAAAAAAAAGGTTTTATATTCATAGCAAAATTCACCGTTCACTTAAACGGAAATCGTGATCTCAAATAATGACGTTAGGCCCACCAGCGGCCGAGCGCCATAAGCCGCTGAACACTGGTAGTTCGGTTAAGGGTTCGAGTTTCGGCGAACAGGCTGGCTTCATGAGCCTTTTCGTGGTTTTTCCCATGTGCAACGTGGATACGAGCTAGTTTCCCTTGAAAAAACCTCCACGGATTATCCCTCTCTTTCCGTGTAGCTCCTAAGGGCGGAGCACGTAATAAGTAAAAAATAATAATTATGACGTTAGTTATATTACCAGAATTTGTTTAAGAAATATGTAATACTAGCAGTTACGCTGCCAGCCTTCGTCTGGCTTTTAAATGTACCGGAAAAATGCCTGAAGGGAACACCATTCGTTAAGTTTAAAAACTGCGCAGAATTTTACTCTGCAAAACAACTTCATTAAAAAATAAATAAATAAATTTAAAAAAATGTATCACATGTAACAAAATTACGATTAAATAAGCAATATCCCTTAATACAAATATTAATTAGTTTAATGAATAAATTAATCCATTTCCCGTTGCCTTCTTTCAACAAACGCCCAATATCCAAGAGGAAAATTAAATTTAAAAACTGCACAGAATTATCGTCCCCATTTTTCCAAGTGGCAACAGTGCTGATTTTCAACAGTCAGTAGTCCAGTTTACGACTGAATGAAAAACTGTTGCCAAAACCACATTTGTAAAAGAATGAAACTATTCAAAATGATGCGATAAAAACGAAAAGATAAAATAAAATTAACAACGGTTGCAAAAATCGGTTCGAGGTCCACTGGCTTTTATCTAGATGCATCTAATACCAAATTTCATAGCCCTGGGTCTATTAGCTTACGCGCAGCACGAACAAAAGACACACAGACTCTTTCTTTTATTATATGTAGAGATAATGGTTATATGACTACATGCGATTTATTTCTGCCAAAGTTGTGTAAGTAAAATTATTTGTTTTCTCTTCTTATGGGGGGGGAGGAGAATAGGATGCTAATGCGAATTATCGCAACAGTGAAATGTTTCACGAAATTACATGCCGCTAAAATTTTGTGCTGTATCAATTTTGTAATTTTTTTTCTGCGATGAAATAAATTACATAATGCAATATAAAACTGGAAAACTGTTATTAATCCTGGATAATCTGGAAACTCCGTTTTTCTCAGTGAGTTAATGATTATTACAAAGTGAAATTCAAGAGTGAAAAGTTTTGTGAATTCGGTTATTCTTCTATTATTGGGACCGGATTCAGAAATGAATGTATGCGTTCGAATATGCACGTATATATGTACGTAAGTATGGATGTGTGTGTGTGTGTATGCACACACATATCAGCACATGCATACATATACACTTGCATACATACATACATTTCTGGATCCAATCCCGAATACAGAAAAGTATCGAAATATGATTAAATGCGGAAGCTACCATAGTCATGACTGAAATATTTTAGTCATAAATGTAATGTAAAATTAGCAGTAACTGAACGGAAATTATAATTGCAAAATGCTTGCTTGGTGCTCTTTATTTTATTTATTTATTTATTCATTGACGCATTCTGTGGGTTTTGATACAGGCTAACGTAATTGCCAAGATATTGAGTATGCGCTTCGCCCCGATCAAATGTGAATATAACGACTGTCTATTACTTTAGGACATGTCATGTTGTCTATTACTTTAGAACAGGCACTTCAGGGTCATCTAGGCCCACCCGACTTGCTGCATAACCATGGTAACGAAGCTGTGGCAGATATTCATGTTTCCAAATTGTTTCCCCCCACTTCATTTCTTGACTACTTTGCTTTGGGAAAAGCGCACGAACGAAGGCTGACTTGAATTACATTCTCAGAGGAGGCGAAGGAAACAAGTGCTGTGCAATGATAATGATAAATTTTACGATCGTAAATGGGGATTGTTGGAAAGATCTTGAAAATGCCTGTTTTAAAGTAACAGACTCGAGAAGAATGGGGACTTAAAAATCTGTCAATCCAAAAATAATTTCCTGTGACTGGTAATATAAAAAGAGGCATACAAAGCTCTTTTCCTACCATCAACTTTATACTTCTTCACATTCGATGGTAAACAGTGACAAGAGCAGGGCTTGTCCTTTGTGTCTGTAATAAAGCTCTCTTTAGTTCAGGTATGATAAACTCGCCATAATAAAGCTTTGAAATGGATAGTTGAACGCAATGGTAATTTTGACGGTGCTTGACAAAGAGAAACGAAGGGTCTTTTCTGTAAGGCAGGGAAGGTCTCGCTAGAAACATTCTCAGTTTCGTTTGTGAGGCTGATCACTTGGCCATCTTTTTCACAGCTTAGAAAGTAGGTGGTCGTTGTCCAATTTCGCATGCTTTTTAAACTCTTTTCTATACTTTACTAGTCGTAGGGAAATTTATTCCAGACACACAGAATATGTATGCCTTTAGTTTTGCTGTCGTATTTTCCTTGCTTTTGCTTTTTTTGAAGGCTACATAGGTTTGACAAAATGGGGTACGTACGGAAACGTCCCCAAGACTTTCTCTGTTTCGTCAGACTTTCGTGGCATTTTATGTTCCACCGTGGTTTTCAATATTTTAGTTGCTTTGTTAAGGTATCGACAACAGAATTTAGCACAGATACGGAATAATAATATCATTAATAACTTTTGCTCCATTGTCGACAAGTACTGTTGCATCATTAATGTGATTAAAAGCGCCACCTATTTATTATCGTTTTATATTTTGAGTTAAATTGCTCTTGAATGGCAACATTGTTGCTATGTCTGTTTTTTTTTTTTTTCTTCTATGTGTGAATTGGGAAATCCCCGTTCTAAGCAAGCAAAAATTAAGTTAAGTGTTAATAAATAGGACATTCAACGAAGTTGTATTTTGAGTCAAAGCAGTTTTATTCAACATTTGGTGACCCGGACGTGATTTGAACACGCAAACCGAGTTAAAACACCCAATTTTATTACCCAGTAAACACAAATAGATTGAGCTATACATCCAAGGACGGCATTCAGAATTTACTACATTGTGGGTTGAATACTGTATTGATGGATTTAAGAGAAAGTGTCTGGATCATAAATTCAAGAAAAACTGTCAGAAAAATAATTGAAAAATGTATTAGATGCAGAAGACACACTGCCAAGGCAATTAAGACAAATTTCTGTTGCATTGTAGAAGACCGAATCAGGGATGCATCAGTGTTCAAAATTTGTAGTGTTGATCTTGCCGGTCCACTTGTTCTGAAGGGACTGTCCACTTGTTCTGAAGGGACTGTATAGAACTGGAATGTTCTATACATCTGTGCAGAATTTAGAGCTGTTAATTAGGAACTTGTGCAGTCTTTGTCAACTAAGGTGTTTTTACTCAGCCTAAGAAGATTCTTAGCCCATGGAGGGCGACCTCTAATTATTTATAGCGATTACGGGAGTTATAGCGATTTCGGTACAAATTATTTTTACAACTCGACTGACTGAAAAGTAGTGTAATTGGAGGCCAGGTTTAAGAAATTAACTTGGAAGTTAATTCCTCCTACCGCGGTTTGGTGGGGAGGGTTTTAGGAACGCCTTATATAGTCAGTGAAGAAAGTATTGCGACGTATGCTAGATAATAAAAGTTTGACGCACGAAGAAATGTCAGCTTTTGTGATTGCGAGTCTATAATTAATGCAAGACCTATTACATACATATCATAAAATCCAGATGACTTGCAGCCTTTAACTCCAGCAATATTCCTGCAGCCTATTCAGGAAGTGAGCGTTTCTGATCTGGATCATATAGGCAACATAATGTTTATTATTATTATTATTATTATTATTATTATTATTATTTATCAAGAAATATTCCAGACATTATTAGTGACGCTTTTACTTCATAATCCTGCTAACATAGTTGTCATCAGCACTAGTTGTACCAGTAGAACCATCTCAGTCCTCACAACTGGTGAATTTAAAATTTGTATGATGGGCATTATATTACTTTCTATATGAAACAAATGTTCTCCAAAATTCATACTGAAGCCAGCACCGAATACATATAATACTAACTCTCATATATTAGTACATTTTTTTAAAAAATTTAATGGTAAGCAGCATGCTCTTAATGGAAATTCATATACGCCCTTAAGAACACCTGCACCCCTACAGACACATCCAATGACAACATTGCTGTTTCTCACAAATGACGTTTCCTAAACCTAGCTTTGCTTCATTTTCAAGACGTTGCCTGTAGAATAAAAAGTACTGGATGTTACATATCGATCAGGATTTGATATTCACTAAATATTTAAGAGTAAAAATCAACCTGAGGACTTAACAATATTATTTGCTCTGATTACATGGAAGCTGACGAGGAACTAGAACTTTCTAAACGCCTGCTTGGCTTGGTGCTGCCGTGGCCCATTGACCGCGCTGATGTTCGGGAATGTAGTTGTCTCAATTAGCAGGTTACCTGAGCGCAGCCATTTGAAGTTCTTTACTTCGTCCACATAGGAATGTATATATTTTTGTATAATAAATGGTGACCCCCCCTTTTTTTAAGTTGTGTTAATA